TCTGAAATCTTAGCCTAAGGCCGCATCCCTTAGAAAGCTGTGTGGAGCATGTTAGAGCGAGCCTGTGGGGGTGAGAGCTCTCCTGATCATGGAACACAGCCTGGTCTTGAGATTCTAGAGTTCAGGGGTCCTTCGTTGAGCCAAGCACCCATCTCTGCGTTTTTAGTGTCTGAGAGGTCTGCCATCACCCTCTCTTATTCAGAATTTCAATCCCTCGTGGAAATACCATATGCAGTATTGGCTCTGTCACCTGAGCAGATGGACTTTGGAAAACTGAGAGTGGCAGTTAAAACAACCATGGAGATGTTCAAGTGTGAAAACATTTTTAGAAAATACTCACCCAAAGATATGGCTTTTAAAAATCGATTTTAGAGTGAGAGGAAAGGGGGAGGAGGAGAGAGAAACATGGATCAGATGCCTCGTACTCACCCTGACCTGGGATTGATTAAACCTGAAACCTTTGGTATGTGACGACGTTCCAACCAACTGAACCCACACAGCCAGGGCTCAAGTGTGAAAATTTTAACATGAAATATATTTCCCCCTTCTGAACAATATCATCAGGTCCCATTCCCTGATAAATATTCATTAGTAACCAAGCTATAATTGAAAGAACCAGAAGTGCTTCCTCTGACCTATTATAAGAAAACAAAATCATTAGAAACGGACAAAATGTCTTTTAGTCGCTGCAGAAAGTTGTTCTTCACAGTCACAGCCCTGCCCGTGGCCTGGCCTGGAGCACCTGGAGGACTTCTCCGGGTCCCTGCTGCAGGGCACCATCCCCCCCAAGGCTGACTATAGCCTGCAGCTGCACTTCCAACCCTCCAAGCCCGTCAGCATCGAGAAGGCGATTCGGTTGGAGGCGAGGCTTCACCCATCTACAGACTTGGCCGTCAGAATATGTACACATTGGGATCTCTGACACACACACACACACACACACACACATTACCAACCCATACACACTAAGCCAGGCCTCCTCCATCTAATGCTCAGTCAGTCCTCAACCCACAGCATCTTGCTCTGCATACACTGTAAGCTTCCTAAAGGCAGTCTTGTTTGTAGCTGATGTCCCAGCGCTAAGAACAGAGCAGTCAATCAATGGAGAGCAAATGAGTGAATGAGTGAACAAACGAATGATGTTGCTATCCCTGGGTGAGCATTAGGTTCCTGATTTCACACCCCGAACCCAGTCACCCTCAAATTCCTCTTAGGAAATGTTGCCATACACCCGGTGCTCCCAGATACCCCAAGAATCATCCTCGATTCCCCCCTTTTCCTGATGGTTCCCCTTTCAACCTAATCCTCCAACAAGTCTTGCCAACTCTGTATTCCAGCGTGTCTTCTGTGCATCCGCTTCTCTGTCTACACCGCCGCGACCACCCTCGTCCAGGCCGCCTGCAGTGTCTCTCACCTGGCCCTCAGCACAGGCTTCCTAACTGGTTTCCCTCTTCACATTCCCATAAGTGTCCAGGGCAGAGGTCCCCAACCTTTCAGACCTCACGGGCCAACAGTGGTCCAGGACCACCGGTTGGCAACTGCGGCTCCAAAGGTTTCCTTAAACCAGCGGTCACTGACCGTTAAGACCTCACAGACCACCAGTGGTCTGCGGGCCAATGGTTGGCCATCGCTGGTCCAGAAAGGTGGAGAAAATGTCAGTCATTCTCCTTCCTAACACACTCTGCCGGCTTCCACTTGCAGGGAGAATAAAGCCCGGGGTTCTCACCTGCCTCCAGGCCCTGCCTGCCTCTCACTCCACCTTAGCTCTCACCCGCTGGTTCCCGTCACATGGTCTCTTGGCTTTTTTCTGATGTCCTTAGGCTCCATGGGAAGCTGGCTTCCCTTTTTGGGGGAAAACTACTCATTGTGGTTGGGAAAACTTTTGAGACAGATGAACCTGGGTTTTTAAAGTAGGTTCTAGTTGTGAAACCTTCAAGGTTTCTTGACCAAATGGGATAACACTTTCTAGCTAATAGGATAATCATGCAAAATAATTTTTGGTCAAACAAAAGGAAGCTTCTCTCTCCTCCTCCCCACAAATCTGGCAAAGAGCCCTTTACATGTGATGACTTTATTTTTTATTTATTTAAAAAAATGTATTTTTATTGATTTCAGAGAGGAAGGGAGAGGAAGAGAGAGACAGAAACATCAATGATGAGAGAGAATCATTGATCGGCTGCCTCCTGCATGCCCCGTACTGGGGGGTCGAGCCCGCAACCCAGGCAGGTGCCCTTGACTGGAATCAAACCTGGGACCCTTCAGTCCACAGGCCGATGCTCTATCCGCTGAGCCAAACCAGCTAGGGCTACAAGTGAAAACTTAAAAAAAAAAAAAAAAAATCACTGTTATGGACTGAATTTTGTGGCCCCCTCCAATTCATATGTTGAAGTCCTAAATTCCACTGTGACTGTACAGTGGTTCCCTTATCCACGATTTCACATCCCAGTTTCAGTAACCCGTGGTCAACTGTGGTCTGAAAATACTCCGTGGAAAATCCAGAAATAAGCTACCCGTAGGTTTTAAATTGCTTGCTGTTTTGAGTAGTGTGAAATCCTGTGCTGTCCTGCCTGTGATATGAATCATCCCTTTGTCCAGTGTATACAAGCGATATGTTCAGTACAATAAGAAATTTTGAGAGAGCAAATTCACATAACCTTATACAGGGCATTATAATTGTTCTATTTTACTATTAGTCATTGTTAATTTCTTACTGAGCCTCATTTATAAATTAAACTTTAACACACATATGTATGTACAGGAAAAAACTTAATATATATATATATATATAGAGTTCGGTACTAACCTGCGGCTCCAGGCATCCACTGGAGATCTTGGAACGTATTCCACATAGGTAAGGAGGGACTACTATAGTCTAAGGCAGTGGTCAGCAAACCCATGAGTTAACAGAGCCAAATATCAACAGTTCAATTGAAATTTCTTTTGAGAGTCACATTTTTTAAACTTAAAACTTTTTCTAACACCACTTCTCCAAAAAAGACTCGCCCAGGCCGTGGTATTTTTGTGAAAGAGCCACACTCAAGGGGCGAAAGAGATGCATGTGGCTCGTGAGCCGCAGTTTGCCGACCACAGGTCTAAGGAACTTACCAAACAGGGCACTCCTCACCCAGAGGCATATCTATGTATCACCTCTGCTGTCTTACTCAGTATACCAAATATGACCGAGGAAGGCCAAAAACTGACAGTAGGGTCTTCTAGGCCAGTGCTTCTCAAACTTTCATATGCACATGAATCACCCAGGGATCTTGTGAAAATGCATTTTCTGATTCATAGGTCTGGGGGAAGGCTGGAGAATCTCTAACAAGCTCCGAGGTGAGCCCAACACCGCTGGTCTGTGGGCTACGCTTTTGATCAGCAAAGCCCTTAGGCTGCAATGTTATTTCCCCACTGAGAATGGATGGCCATCCATTCATTTAGATGCCAACTGTCAAATACCACCAGACGCTGTGCTAAGTGCCAAGGATACCGTATTTTCCGGTGTATAAGACGACTTTTGAAACGGAAAAAAAAAAGTCAACCGATAATCGGGGGCAAAAGACCAAAATTGCACAAAAATTACCTGCAGATCTTGACGGCAAATAAGTCTTTTCTTTGAAGTGGGGGGTAGTCTTATACAGCGAATATAGGCCTAAACCTATGGTTTAACTGTAAAATTAGGGCGTCGTCTTATACGCCGGAAAATACGGGTAAATATAACAGGGTTTCTGCTCTGAAGGAGTCCTAGTCCAGTTAAGGCCATTGGGGGTTTCTCCAAATTCCACAAAACAAGGGAAGTGTCAAATACAAATTGAACCCAGTTAAAAAAACAAAACCCTTACAGGACGGCTTGCAGAATGAAAGCACTTATACAGGTTGTGCTGTAGGCAACACTAGTGCTGAGAGAAATGCCTCTATTCAAGGGCTCATCAGATGAATCCAGCAATGATAAAACCAGACATTCCCGAGAAGCAGAGTGAGTGATGGACAAAACCAAATGTCAATGCACCTTCAAAGCCAATAAAACCCACGGACATGGAGGCATATCTATACATCACCTCTGCTCTCTTACTCAGTATAGCAATACTCAAGATTGAGAGTTGCCAGCATTAGTGACAGTCAGGGTATAATCAAGAAAGCAGTCAAGAAATTAGTTCTTGGTGAGAGAAGCAGCCAGGTGGTTCTGGACATACTGAATGTTAGAGCTGAATGGGAGGGTCCTCTTAGCAAAGTGCAAGCTCTTTAGTTGAAGAGGAACTAAAACGCAAAGCAGTTAAGGCTGTGGTTCTCAATCTGGGCAGCCCAAGGAGGGACCCAAGATCTGACTGGGAGAAAACAAAAATGTAAACCAGTAGAAGAAAAATTGTAATAAAACATTCCCAGTTCAAGATTTTGTTTTGTACATTGGGAAATAAAGCATACCGTCCTATCATGGTCACACACACCTATAATAAGACTGCGGAAGCAAAGAAAGACCAAAATTACTCCTACTTCCACTTGCAAGGAAGGGAGACATGACAAGAGGCAACATAAACGGCCCTTTGAACCTTGAGATCTTGAGGTTTCGAACCTGACTTCTCCACTTGGTCACACCTAACTGTCCCTTTCACTTCTCAGGATGAGTCAGAAATAAGGCTGGTCCACTCGTTAGCAGATTCTCATGCTTCCCACCTCCCTCCCATCACGCTGAGGACCCTGTGCCCGGCACTGTGTGCTAAGCACTAAGCATCCGTCATGCCGCTTCATTCCCACGGCAGCCTTTTGGGCACCAGGAGGTAAATTACTTGGCCCAAGTCACACAGTCAGTCAGTCAGAAGAAGCAAAGCTGGGACTCCCAATCTCCTGCTCTTAACACGGCGCTGAAGGCTAGACCTGGGGCGGCAACCCTGGCCGAAAGGCGTGAGCTGTCTGTCCCCCCAGGGAGCTGGGCGCCCGCGGAGCCAGGGCGGGTCCCGCCTCCGCTCCCTCCGCTCCCGCGCCCAACCCGGGATGCCCGCGGCACTCACTTCTCGATTTCCAGCGCCGCCACCTTCCGCTTCTCGTAGAGCTTGTCATTGAGGGCGCGCACGATGTTGGGCGTGAGCGGCGCGAAGTCCTTCTCGGGGTTCATGGTGGCAACTCGGGGTGCCCCCCGGAGCTCCGCGACTCCTCCTCAGCCCCGCGACTGCCCGGGCTGCGCCGGGGACCAGGGGAGTCTGCGGCTCCGCGCTGCCCCCGGCGCTGGCTCATGGGCCACGCCGCCCCGGCCCGCCTGCCTCGCTCCGCCGCAGCGCGCCGATTCGGAAACCTGGGCCTGGACCCCGCCCCCGTACACCTGTCCCCAGCGACTCAAGCGACCAGGTCCATTCCCGCACCTGCCGCGCTCAAGGGGCGGCGGCCATGTTGCTCCGCTCACGTGACTCCACAGCCGCTTCCGCCTTCCGCCTCAAAGACCCGCCCCTCCCAAGCCACGCCCCCACGCCGGCCCATCGTGGTTGGCCACGCCCCCGAGGCCCCGCCTCCTCCTCTCACACTCCCGCCTTCCGTCCCCCGCCCCCTTCCCATTGCCTAAGCCAGGTTTGAGGCCTGATGGGTGGGGTGGGTATCCTTTGCCCTTAACTTCCCGCAGGTGGTAGGCTTGGGGCCCAGTGGGCTTCTGCAGATGCTTGTGAGACAGCAACTTGGGAGCCTGGCTTAGCGTAATTTATTCAATACCCACTGAATCCACAAGTTCATTCACGACTTTGATTTCGCATATCCCAGTGTTTCCCAAACTGGGAGTGACACACCATCATGATTTTTGCCACATTCTAGCCATTTATTTAAAAAAAATAGTTTTCTCAGATCAACTCACTTAAAATCTTAAATTCTTATTTTATTCTTGCGTATGACCTAAAACCATGCGTTTGAATATTTTTTTTGTGCGTGTATTTTTCTAAAACATTAAAATAAATTCTCAATAATAATAAAAAAAACCCCCCACAAAACTGAACTACCCGTCTGCCACCTAAAAAATCTCAGGTACGAACAGTGGCTGTCACCCCACCATTTGGGAATGGAAATGGGCTTATCATGCTCTGATTCCTGAAAAGGGCTAGATTCCAGACAGCAGAAGTCCCACATCTGGGTGTAGGTCCCCAGACGGAGCCACTGTAAAGCAGCCCCTCCAAGCACAATGTCACACTAAGTCGTGGAGCATAAATGGAAGCGATGTGGTAAGTTTTTAAAAAGCACTTTCCGGATGTCGTGTGGCTAAAGACGCAGTAACAGTGAGATGCGTCAGTGTTCCTTATTGTAACCTCCTACAGTGGACAGGGACTTAGGACAAGGGCTAGACCACAGCAGAGCCCAGTGAGTATTAAATATGAACATAACACAAGGTGGTACTTTTTTTTTTTTTTTCTGAGTGAAAGGTACACTTCTAAAGCTTAGAACAATCTTGGAAATAGAGTATTCTCCTCAATTCATAGAATAGAATTTATGAAACACAAGTAAGGGGCTATGGTAGGCAGAATTCTAAGATGGCTCTCAAGATTCCCACCCCTTTGGGTACATGCCTTGTATTATTCCTTCCCCTTGAGTGTGGCCAAGACTTGCAAATATGATGGGCTGCTACTCTAGCAATTATTATGTCATGTAGCAGAAGGGATTTTGCAGGTGTAATTAAGGTCCCTAATCAGTTGGCTTTGATTAAAAGAGGGATTATCCTGGGTGGGTCTGACCTAATCAGGTGAGGTCCTAAAAGAAGTTAGAAGGGATTTCAAATGAGAGAGATTCTCTTTGTGGTCTTGAAGAATAAACAGTAACAACAGTGAACTGTCTATGATGGGCCATGTTGTGAGGACCTTAGGGTGGTCTCTAGTTGCTAAGAGTGGTTCCCTATTGTCAGTTGGCAAGAAGAGGAGGACTTCAATCATATGGCCGCAAAGAAATACATTTTGTCAACACAGTGAGGGAGCTTGGAAGTGGATCTTTCCCCAGTTGAATCTCCAGATGAGGATGTTGCTGAGTAGCATCTAGATTTTAGCCTGGGGGACCCTGAGCCACGAATCCAGTTCAGTCCATTCCTGACCCATGGAACCTGAGATAAGAAATTGTGTTGCCTTAAGCTGCTAGGTGTGTGGCAATCTGTTGTGCAGCTTATCAAAACAAATACAGGAACTAATCCAAACTCAGTAATTCATGAAAAAAATCCTGTCTAGGAAAATCTGTGAAAAATGTGTTTTTCTTTACTAGTGGGATTTTCACAGCTTTTAAAACCTTTGCCAACAAAATCCAATGAATGAAGATTCACCTCCAGAGAAAATGTATCACTTAATGTTTCCATCTCCTACCTTGATACCAAGCAACACTGATAAGGACATTTCCAAATGTCTTGAGAGGTTGATGTCTTTAGGATGCTGATGATGGTTGATAGAAATCAATAGGAAAAAAAAAAAATCAAATCACTGGGAATGGTTTGGGTTTATTTCTCCAGTGCATATTCATTTCCACTGGACCCATATCTATATATCTTTATATATATAAAAGCCTAAGCCACCCTTACAAACAGTTGACTGAACGACCGGTTGCCATGACACATACTGACCACCAGGGGGCAGACACTCAATGCAGGAGCTGCCCCTTGGTCAGTGTGCTCCCACAGCCAACCTTCCACAGTCCCTCTTTGTCTCCCCGAGACTGGGCGAGATGGACCCAGTCAGCTCTGATCACCAGCCAGGAACTGGCCTCTAATCTAATCTAATATCTCATCTGTTTCTTTTGCTGCTTGGTTTGACATTTTCTTAAAGGTGAACCAAATTCCCAAGGGCTCTATGTGATGCACTTTTTAATAACTGAAACAGTAAGAATTTTTATATGTTTTTACTGGAGGAACTCTTTTCTCCTGAGACCACATTTTGGACGAGGTTGCTAAGAAACCAGCTTCTTACTCAAGGCCCCAATCTTTGTTCTACCTTTAGTTCAGCAGTTCAAAGAAAGAAGTGGCTTATTTTATCTACCTTGAAAATGCCAACTGAATGAGGCTATTTATTCATAACTAGACTAGCAGTGGTGCTGAGAATTAAGCCCAGCAACCACCATGGCCTTCTCTGTACTCACCTCTCCTCCGTGCAGGCCAGCCTGCCCAGCCCTGCCATGCTTAGATGCTTCTAGACCGGTCAATAATTGATATTCCTGGTTCCACACTGGCCATCACTTCACAGTTGTAACCCATCTACATCGGTAGGATGCCTTGTTTTTACACTTCGCTGTTAGTGGCTTTGAAAATAGCGAAAGCAAAATAAAACACCCCATCCAAGTAGAGTCACGTCTAAGGGCTCTCTGAGCCATCATGGGTTTTTTAAAAAAGGAGCTATGGTGCCTCAGCCTCAGGCCCTGCTCAAGTTCTGTACAACAGAAGGCCATGAGTGTGACACCTGTGCGGTCTTACTAAAAAAAAAATGGGGATTACTTTACGTGGCACTTGAGCTTTTGCGGGCATGTTAAAGAGACCAAATTAGGAGACTTGCCTTTGCAAAGTAAAAGATAGCTCTGTTTTTGTATCGTGACCACATTTAATATGGAATACATTTCGTTCATGTATTTGGAATACATATAATGTGGACAAAAGCGAATGAGGAGGATAACACGCGACCTTTGAGAATTCGGATTGTTTATTTTCTCTATTCACCAGGCTAGAACAATATGTAGATATCAAAGTGGAGGAGACGGCTTTTTAAATTTTTTTTTTTTATTCTTCTTGATGCAACTGTCCCTGGCTACAGCTTAAGGGGTCACCCCCTTCAGATAATAAACCCATTTGATGGTTGTGTCCCTGCCATCGCCGGGAGGGCACGACACGATCAGCTTGCTGGTGATGGGTGTTTTGTAGCCGGAAGGGTTTCCTTCGAAGGAGACGGAGATGCTGTTGATCTTCTTGGGCCGCACGGACTCCGCGGCCCGCACGGAGAAGGCCGGGTGCTCCACGATGAAGGAGTAGGTGGCGGTTTGGTAGAAGACGTTCTTGAAGGGGATGACTATGTTGTACCCGGCCCGGACCTGGAAGGGGCCCTGCGGCTTCGGGGGCAAGGCCACCCCGAAGAGGGGGATGATGTACTCTCCGCCGGCGATGGAGGACAGGGACAGGGTGCCCTTGGTCTCCCCCAGGTGGCTGGGCTCGAAGTAGACTTCCACGCTAACTTCCGTGCCGCCCTGGGACCCCGCCGCCGCGCTGATGACCTTTTCCGTGTGGAAGTCGACGCAGTCGGTCTGGAAAAGGGGGAGCAGGTGCACACCCGGTTCACACGGGGGTCTTGGTGGGCATGGCAGCAGCCCAGCCCATCCCCAGGCCCTCCTCCACACTCGGTCGGGCAGGATATAAGAAAGCTGTGCGTCCTTATATTACTCCCTTGAAGATAGGTAGTACTTTTAATTGTTATATCTATCTATCTATCTATCTATCTATCTATCTATCTATCTATCTATCTATCTATGTAAAAGGCTAATATGCAAAGTGTCCCCCCTGGGAATTCGACCAGGAGAACGGGAGTTTGATCGCTCGCTATGATGTGCACTGACCACTAGGGGGCGATGTGGAACATGGCGGGGCACTGAGGGAGTGAGGGAAGCGGGAGGCGAGGTGCAGGTAGGTGGGGGGAACCTGATCAGCCCTGATCGCTAGCCAGGCCTGGAGACCCCCCTACCTGTGCATGAATTCATGCGCTGGGCCTCTAGTTTTACTATAAAGAAACGGAGGCCCGAAGACACGTGGCTGGATTACGTTAGTATGGCAGTCATTGGTGTGGCTCGCCATAATCGGCTCTTCTTTCCTTCCATACATATGGGAGACCAAACAATCTAGATCCTCATGGACCCGGTGAGACTAGTTCTGGACAGTCAGTTGAGAGAAGTGAAAGGTGCCACTTCCACACCAGAGTATCCAGTTGCTCATGCAAAGTCCCTGTAGGGACCTCTCACCCCTCTGGTACTGCGCCTGGAAACATGGGAGACGGGGGCTGCTCGTCCTCCTGGATCCCCGAGGGGCTGTGAGGAGCAGAGTCCCCGCTGAGCCTCACTGCATAGACAGTGCGAACGAGACACACCTTTCTGCTTCTTAAGCCACTGAGATATCGAGGCTCCTGGTATATGACAGCGTACTCTAGCTCCTCCCGACGGATAGAACTGATCGAGTGCCTCTGCCCCTTGACTGTACCTCTGATGTTGACTGGGCACATGACCACCCAGTGTAAAGGCTACATCTCCTAGCTCCCCTTGTTGCTAGGTGAGGTCCTCTGCAGTTCTGTTCAATGGAATGTGAGTGGAAATGGTATATGCAGCCCCCCTCCCACCCCCAATCCTTTTCCCTTGTCCCTGGCTGAAATGTGGATGTCACCGTAAGCTGTCCTGGTCCATGTGGACCAAAGCAACTCTCTACAGAGGGAAGAGCTTCAGCACAGGAGCTGGGTGGCTGATGTCATCGAGCTACCATTCCAGCTCACACTGCGCATGCCCGCAGTTATCTGAGAGAGAAATAAGTGTCTATTTTTGTTGTCATTTTGGGTTTCTGTTTTTCGAGGTAAGCCTACATTCCGACTGATATATTAGGCAACATACATGGGACATTCACTGTGGGCCGGGCTCTATGAAAATGGTTTTCTATATGTATTTTAAAATCCTCATAGAGATCCTGTAAGGTCAGGGTATGATCACCCTTTAGAGAGAAACTTAGAGAGATTTAGTAAGTTATTCATACAAAGAATATAGTAAAGCCCAGCCGGCGTGGCTCAGTGGTTGAGCGGTGACCTCTGACCCAGGAGGACACGGTTCGATTCCTGGTCAGGGCAAATGCTCAGCTTGCAGGCTCAATCCCCACTGTGGGGCATGCAGATTTTTAAAATTCTCTCTCATCATGGATGTTTCTATCTCTCTCTCCCTCTCCCTTCCTCTCTGAAATTATATATATATATATATGATATAGTAAAGCCAGGATTCAAATCCAGGTCTGTTGGCTTTCACAGCCCATCCTTATGACAGCCCTCCTGTCTCCTTTAATGACTACTGAGCATGCACTGGGAAGCAAAACTCCCCACACCCCCTCCCAGCTTGTTAAGATAGAAAGTCTTTAAGGAAGAACCCAGGCCTTGCACTATTTCTTTCTCGCTGGGAGTTCCCGGGCTATATGATGCACCCGACTCTCCTGAGTTTCACAGTTCTGCACCCCTGAGTCCCCCTCCCGTTATTCCCGAGGCCAGCCTCCACGCCAGGGAAGGGCCAGAGGGTGGGGCCGGGGGCTGCTCACCCTGCAGTAGTATTCTGTCTTCTGCCGGGTGTAATTGATGAACTTGGCAAAGATGCTCTGGCCGCTGCCAAGAACCGTCTGGAAGTGGATGGGCTTTTCGGGCACCGCTGGCAGAGCCTTCAGGTTGAGCTCATATTGGAAGTAACCCAAGTCATTGTTGTGCATAACTAGTCTCCCGAAGGTTTCTCCGGCTCGCAGGGGCTGGAACTCGAATGAGAACGTGCCCTGTGAGGGAAGACAGAGGCCTCGGTGAGGCGGGAGGTCCCGCCTATCCCCTGCCACCCAGGGACCTCAGAGCAGGTTGGCGGCGCTGGGCGTGAGCCCCGGGGAACCTCTGCCCAAACCTCAGCCCACTTTCCCTCCCCGGGACTCTTCCTAACTTCTGTTCCAGGTCTTTCTAGACCTGGGATCTGCTTGAATCTAAAAATAAGTGATGGGGCAAGCGCACTCTAGGCCTCGGCCAGGGCTGGCCCGGCCTCCGGGGTTGCGGGATGTAGATCCAGAGGCCCTAGGGGCAGAGCCTCCATCGCGGCTCTCCGGGGCCCCGGGCGGTGGGGTCTCACCTCCGAGTTAGCGGGCACCACGAACTGGGCGGGCAGGTTGATGTCAGGCACCCTGCACTCCGTGGCGAAGGTCACCGAGTAGGGCAGGGGGTTCTCCACCTTGACGGAGGCCGACGCGCTCTGCCGGACGGGGCTCACCATCTCGATGGTTTTGATGACGCCCGAGGGGATGACCCTGAAACTCACCACGTAGTACAAGAACTCGTTGGTCGCCTCGTTTCGGAAGATCACCTGGGTTCACAGGAGGGCGGGGAGGAAGCAGGGCAGAGGAGAGGGGGTCAGCGGGCGGGGGGGGGGTGTCTTTCTCTCGGTGGGCAATGCCTGGGCACGGGAGCATGGGTGCCAGGCTGACGTGGACCCTCCCGGCCTGCCTGTATCCCTACCAGCTGGCCCTTCTCTTTATTTTATTATTTTTATTTTAATTTTTTTTTATTGATTATGGTATCCCATAATTGTCCTTTCCCATTCCCATCCCAAACCCCCTCCCTACATATGCCCCCAACCCCTGTTGTCCATGGTCACTGGCTAGGCCCATATGCATGCACACAGGTCCTTTGGTTGATCTCTCCCCCTTACTCCCTTCCTCCCCTACTTTCCCTCTGAGGTTTGAGAGTCTGATCGCTGCTTCTCTTTCTCTGGGTCTGTTTTTGTTCATCAGTTTATCTTGTTCATTATTTCCTCTAGATGTGCAAGATCATGGGATCCAAGAAATACCCTTGTAAGAACCTAAACTGCGACAAGTCATAATGGTTGTGCTGAGAGGCAAATGAATCAGTCTGTAGTGAGTTCCTTTCTGGGCCAACAGTTCTTTTGAGTCCCAATTTCAATGTCAAACAGTTCCTTATGTGTACATGTCAGCCATGGTATTTCAGATCTAGTTGGCGGACAAATGGTGGTAATGCAGGTCCGGCTGTCTCTGGTTTGGTCCTGGGCATCCTTCAGCAACCCGCGGCTGCTGTCTGCTGGTGTGGCGAGGTGTCTTCCATCTCTGAATTGTGGCCCTTCTCTTTAGATACTCTGCTCTGGCGGCTCTTCCCAGGTGAGAGGATGTGACACAGCCTGCGTTTGCTTTGGAGGCCATGGCAGCCCTGTCTAGAGCTGCAGGTGGAGAAGGTCTCCTCAGAGGGGACAGCTGACTGGCCCTGAGAGCAAGCAGTCCTGGAGAGGTTCATGTTGTAGTGGGTTTCACTCCTAACCCCGTTGTTGCTGGAGTAGATGATGACGATGATGACGTCGATGATGATAATGATGACGACGACGATGATAATGATGATGATGATAGCATGTAACACTTAATGATTTCTGTGTGCCAGGCACTAGAAGTACTTAATTGTTTAATTCACACAGTTTTGTAAGCGGCATGATGATTCCCCTCACTGTGGTGGTGTTGTTTTTTTTAAGATGATGGAAATGAGGCTTAACAGCATGAAGGATTTTTTTTTTTTAAGCAAAGGTTGTGATTTTTTATTTTTTAAATTTTTAAATATTTTATTGATTTTTTACAGAGAGGAAGGGAGAGAGCTAGAGAGCTAGAAACGTCGATGAGAGAGAAACATCGATCAGCTGCCTCTTGCACACCCCCTACTGGGGCTGTGCCCGCAACCAATGTACATGCCCCTGACCGGAATCGAACCTAGGACCTTTCAGTCCGCAGGCCGACGCTCTACCACTGAACCAAACCGGCTTCGGCAGCATGAAAGATCTTGACTAGCGTCACATGCAGAGAAGTGTCAGAACCAGGATCTGATTGGACTGATTTGGGAGCTCATACCTGTAACTGTCATATATTGTCCCCTCAGCCCTGCAGCTGACTTGTTATGGGCAGACTGCTCACCTTTTTAAAGTTTTTTTCCCCGATGACTGAGGAAGGTGAGCATCTTCTCAGCTGCTTATTGCTCATTCACATGTCTACTCTGTGAAGTAGAGTCTATTTGATTGTTTTTGCCCCCTTCCCTTTTTTTTTTAAAAAACACTTTCCGTTGTTTATCGTATTATTATAACTATTCGGCCATAGTTCTTAATGTGTCTGGCCTTTTTCCTTTCAGCCTCTTCCTGTGTTTAGATTTAGAGTGTTTCTGACACCCTCTGTCTTTTCATCGGAGCATCCAGTCTTTTACATTTAAAATAATCATTTATGTGTTTGGGTTGAAGTCTGCCTTCCTGCTCTTTCTTTTTCATTGGTCTCATTTTTCATTCCTCTGTTGCTACCTCCCTGTCTTCTGTTGGGTCAGTATGTATTCTTTCAGAATATATTTCATTTCCTCTAATGGCTTCATGGCTCTCTTTTTAAAGGAAAGATTTTTCATGGTTGCTATAGAGCTGACAATGTGAAGTGTTAACTTGTCAAAATGTAGAGTTAGTATTTCATCACTTTCCACTTTACAACTGACCATTTATGCTTCCTACCTCACATTGCCCACAGCACAAATGTCGTAGCTGTACTGACCTATAATTTCATTGTCCTGTCCATCCCATTTTTGTGCTTTTGTCATCATACCTTTTACTTCTATGTAGGTAAGAACATCCACATTATAATGTTATATTTGCTATAAACTGTCAGTTGTCTTTTAAACAAAATTATGAGAAGGAAAACATGTTTTAATATTTGCCTATTTATTTACCATTTTTCGTGCTGTTCTTCCCTTCCAGCAGACCCAAGTTTCCATCTGGTACCATCTCCCTTCAGAATGAAGAAGACATATTTGCATTCCAATAATGCTCATGCATTTAGTAATGCAAGTCTCCTGGCCATGAATTTTCTCATGTTCTTTTTTCTGAAAATGTCTATTTCACTCTCACATTTACGGGATATTTTCAGTGAATAAAGAATTCTAGGTTGATAATTTCTTTTTCTTTCAGTACTTTGTAGATGGCTTCCATTACTTTTGAAGAGAAGTCAGGGGGCACCTTTTCTGTATGTAATAGATCTTAAATCTGGTTGCTTTGAGCTTTTCTTTTTATGTTTGGTTTTCAGCAGTTTCACTATGATGTGCATAGTCATGATTTCCTTTATATTTTTCCTGCTTGAGGTTTGCCAAGTTTCTTGGATCTATAAATCATTTATATATATGTATATCAAATCAGGGAAATTTCAGCTATTATTTTTTCAAATAATTTTGTCCCATTCTCACTTTCTTTTCTTCTGACTCATATTACTCATGTATTAGACCATGTTATATTTTTCTTACAGGTTCCTTAGGCTCTGATTGTTTTCCCTTAGTCTTTTTACTCTGTGTTCTTCAAATTGGAAACTTTTTATTGATTTGTTTCAAATTCAATACATCTTCTCACATCTCTAATCAGCTGTTGAGCACATCCAATGCATTTTTCATTTCAGTTTGTTATACTTTTCAGCTCTAGAGTATCCATTTGGTTCTTTTTCATAGTGTCTATTTCTCTGCTGAGATTCTTTATTAAGATAACTCATTAAGATAATATTTTATCTAATTACATAAAATATTTCCTTTTAGTTCTTGAATCTGTTTATAATAGCTTCTTTGAGGTCTTTGCCTGCTAAATCCAATATCTGTCCCATCTTGGAGTCAGTTTCCATTGACTGACTTTTTTTCTTGCCTATGGGTCATATTTTCCTTCTTCTCCACGAGTCTAGTAATTTTTGTTTGTGTACTGGACACTATTGATGATCATTGAAGAGATTCTGTATTCTGTTAACTTCCTGATGAGAGTGTTGATCTTATTCTAGGAGGCAGTTCAATCACCGACACTTTAAACTTGTGTAGCTTTGGTTTTATGCTCTGTTAGAGCAGATACGAGTAAAACTCAAGGTATTCCTCAAGACCTTCCAACTTGGTGGGATTCCATATCCACATTTCTTTAGTGAAGGCTTTTCCAGGCCGGCCTCTAGAAGATCTTTCCGAATGGACATGGTGCTTTCTTCTGGCCTGTCAGGTGTTTCAGCTGGGTTACCAGGCTGAGGAGGTGTGGCTAATGCAGCCTCTCCACTCTGTCGGGGCCAGACCTCCCGTGTTCCCCAGCGCTGATTAATGTAGTGCGTCTTTATTCCACATCACCCCTGTAGCAGCTGCTCTCCCATGTGGTCTCTTCCTGTGCATGTGCAGTCCATCATCAGCCAAGGACTTCGAAGAGAACTCCTGTATAGACTTTTGTACTCCCATGCCCTCCATATCCTGCTCCCTCCTTTCTGGTGCCTTACCCTGCAGAGATGAGCGATTTCGGCTGCACCAAACTCTGACTTCTGTCACCTCAGTTCACTGGGGCTGCTGCACTTTCCTGAGACTCGAGCTCGCTGCACTGCAGTCAAAAATTTTTCCCTGGGCAGAGATCCAAGACAATCATGGGGCTCATCAATTTCCTTCTCTCTGATGAATTGCAGTATTGTGCTGCTTGTTTTCCAAGGACTGAGAAGACTTGCCTCCGACATTTATTTTGTCCAGTTTTATGGTTTATATGGTGGGAGGGCTAGTTACTCCCTCATAACCAAAAGTGCTCTTGATTTTTAAAAATTCTGTTGTTATTGTTGATTTAAAAAAACATTATTGTTATTGTCAATTTAAATACTTATTACTGTAAAGACATTATGTGATCTGGCTTCATTGTCATTTTTACTCAAAAGTCTTTACACTTACATTTTAATACATATATTTATTTATATGTTTCTCTTCACACCTACAGTTTATGAAAATCTCCACTTTCTCCCCACGCTTCTCTATAAAAGAGAAAATATCTCTTACTTCTCCATTTACTTCCAACAGAATGAGAACATTATTTTCATTGCCTTATTTTATTCTTTCCCTTCCTAATTTGAGGCCATATGAAGTATTTCAGATTGCTTTTCAACAATTATTTGAAATTACCTATCAATTTAGATTCTTTGTTCATTGTATCCTTGTACTTTCCCTTGGATTCATTTACTTATCTTTAAAATTTTGTTAATTTAAAAAATTTTAATTTGAAGTACTTCTTTCAAAGTATACGATATATGGGTGGGTTACTTTGAATCATTGCATGTTAAAAATATCTTTATTTAGTTCTCATAATAGTTTTGAATTCTAGGTTGAAAATCATTCTAAGTAGTTTATATTTTGGGTATATAACTAGGAGTGAAATTGCTGAGTCATATGGTAACTATGTTTAAGAATATAAAGAAATGCCAGACTGTTTTCCAAAGTGACAGCACTATTTATATTACCATAGCTAAGAATTCATCTCTCTACACTCTCACCAACACCTGTTATTCTTTCTTTTCACCTTTAAAAAATATATTTTCTTGATTTTTTACAGAGAGGAAAAGAGAGGAATAGAGAGCTAGAAATATCGATGCGAGAGAAACATTGATCAGCTGCCTCCTGCACAACCCCTACTGGGGAAGTGTCTGCAACCAAGGTACATGCCCTTGACAAGAATCGAACCTGGGGCCCTTCAGTCTGCAGGGCTCTATTCCCTGAGCCAAACCGGTTTTGGCTCTTTTCATATTTCAATTTCTTTGTACTCATGTGCTATAGCCTGGTGATATTACTCAGTTCTGTATTCTAACTTACAAATAATTCTTCCTCAGAGTTCATTACACTCTTCATCTGTACTCTATGGTTATATCTTTAAAAATGTTCTTATTGATTCTTAGAGAGAGGGAGAGAGAGAAACATCAATATGAGACAGAAATATCAATCAGCTGCCTTCCGCATACCCCCGCACTGGGGATTGAGAATACAAACCAGGCATGTGCTAGACCAACTGGAATTGAACTGGTGCCCTTTTGGTGTATGGGACAACACTCAACCAACCGAGCCACACTGACAAGGACCTTTATGGCTTTCTATTCCAAATATCCTATTTTTCATTTCCAGGGTCTCCAATTAATTCTCTTCCACAACAGCCTGTTCTTATTGTATGGGTATGATTATCTTCCTTTATTCCCTTGAGAATATCTATATATATAAAAACCTAAGTGACCATTATGACCAAATGACTGGAATGAGCAGAATGACTGATCAATCAGTGGCTATGACACACACTGATCACAAGGGGACAGATGCTCAATGTAGTATGCTCTCACAGCCAACCTCCCTTGGCCCCTCCCCCTACTCAGCCTGCCATGACCCCCTTTTCCCCCCATATGCCTTGATCACCAGCCAGGCTGAGGAATCCCACCTGTGCATAAATTTGTGCATCGGGCTCTAGTTGATAATATTCATTGGAAGTCTTCTTCTGTTTGCTTTAATACCTCTTATCTCAGGAGTTCTTTGTTGAGCTGGTATTTCTATTTTATGGTGGCCTTTCCCCCTTCAGATGTTTTATGATTCCTTGATTTTTAAGGTTCTCTGTTAACTTGTTTGTGAAGGTGACCTGAGTGGAGCAGTCTAACTCAGTGATTGTAGGAGAGGAGATGACATACTATTGGGTGGGTTTTACCAATATCTCTTCTGGCAGGGGAGATGTGCTCCTACTTTCTGGGTGTTTCCCCCCCCCCCCCCCCACACACACATTAAAAATATTTCCCTATGAATTATAGGTAATTCCATTCTCCACATAGTTTTAAATACTACCGATAAATAGGTAATTCCCATATGTTATCTTCAGCACTGACCTTTCTTGTGAGTTCACATATGCTCCATTTCTTCAAAGCACATACCTCATTTTATGATAATGCATTCATAATGCAATTATTTGATTAATGTTCATCTCCCTTCACTGGACTGTGCAGTCCATGAGAATAGGGACTGTGTCTAGTTTTGATGATTGCTGTGTTAGCAGCACCTAGTATATGGCATATATGCCCCATAGATGTTTGTTGAACTAATGAATGAGTTAAGAACAACAGCTCGAATGTGAAAGATGCCATGGTGTCTTAGAGGAGATGCCTGAGTTGAATCCTGGCTCTGACATTACCAGCTACGTGCATTGAGTGCTCAGCACAATGCTACACACTCTATAAGCACCCAGAAAATGGGATATTTTATTCCTGTGGCCTGGTATTTGCCAGTCCAGTGTTACAAACTGTGTAAGAGTTTTTATGACTCTTCTTCCTTAAAGATTGGCATGGGCCTACGTGACGGCTGGCTGGCCTCGCAACCTGGTCCCGTCTTAAAGAGGCTGGGGATCCGGACTGCCTTTGCCAGGTCTCTATACATTTATAGAGACCTGGCAAAGGCAGGTCTCTATAAATGTATAGAGACCTGCCTTTGCCAGGTCTCTATACATTTATCAGCCTGACTGGATAAGGATAGGCTGGCTATGGAGGACTTCTTCACTCCCTAACACCCAGATAGTCAACCTCAGGGTCAGACCTCCAGGGTTCCAGGGCAGTGCCTTTGGCATACGAATACCTTTGCGCTGTATAGTCCCTCCTTGTGGGAAAAGAAGTTCAGCTTGTAGTCTTTCTTGGATGTAGACAGTACATCAATGTAATCAAGGCCCTTTAAGGTGGCACTTAGGTCTGGCTTCTCTGGTTTCACCATTTCCACAATGACCCGGAACCTGGGGGAGCCACAGGAGCACAAGAAGGGAGGACAGAGAAAGTGAGGTATCTGCCCAAAGAGAGGAAGGAGAGGTGCTATCTCTACTCTTGATTTTAAGTAAAACACCTGGGTCCAGGGTTCTAGCCTCCGCTCTGTCTCTAACAATCGCAGTAACTGCCACTTACTGACCACCTATTATGTGCCAGCTATCAAGTCAGTGCTCTGCATGTGTTACAGGCCTTTAATTCCTGTGATGTCTGCAGGAGGTGCATGTCATTTACCATCTCCATTTTCTTGAGGCCAAGAGAAGGGAGACAACATGCTTGGGTAACATGACCATTTATTGGCAGAACTTAGGTGTGGGCCTTTACCCACAATGCTCAGCAAGTGGCCTCTTCTCCCAACCTTTGGCTCCTGAGCTATAAGAGAAGGAGACTAGGCTGTTTGGCCTCAAGCTCCTCTAGTCCTTGTATTCTTCTCTACTCCCACTGCAAGTACAAGGTCTAAGGGATGTCCTTCTCTGGCCAGTGGCTTAGGTCAATGGTCAGTAAACTGCAGCTTGCAAGCCACATGTGGCTTTTTGGCCCATTGAGTTTTTAGCAAAGTCCAGCTTAGGAGTACCCTAATTAAGTTAATAACAATGTACCTACCTATATAATTTAAGTTAAAAAAATTATCTCTCAAAAGAAATTTCAATCGTTGTACTGTTGATATTTGGCTCTGTTGATTAATGAGTTTGCCGACCATTGGCTTAGGTAATAAGACTGAACACTCAATAATAACCACCATGATTATTGTTATGACAATAGTAATAACTAACATTTATTGAGCACTTTTTTTAGTGCCAGGCACTGTTCCAGGAGGCTTGTAGGTAACCAGCAGCCACTCATAGAGAGCACTGAACAGGAGGATGTCTCTGAAGGCTTCGAGTTCAGGCAATGCCTGGCCACCTCAGGGACCTTGATCTCTGGCCCTTTTTGCCAATGTCCTCCAGAGGCCCTGACCAGGGGAAGGGCCAGGCTAAACAGGAGAAGTCTTCCTTCTGTCCCAACCCCACTCGAATCCCATGCCCCACTCCCTTACCTCTGGGGCTTGTTCAGCCAGTTGGTGATTGGCAGGAGCTCAGTGTAGGGCGTCTTACATGGCACTTCACGGAAGATATTGGCCACGGCTTTGGGGGGCTCGGCAGTCCCGTGCAGCGCATATAGCCAGCCGGTCCCGTCCGGCAGGGGGAAGAAGAGGGTGCCCTAAGGAGGGGAAGAAATGCAATCAGAATGATGCCAAGGGGCCTTTATTAGGCACCTCTCAGGCCTGGTAGTCACACGGGATTAATGGAGGCTCTGCCGATGAGCATAACACTTGGGGAAGCAGCTGCTTCAAGAGTCAAATAAAACAAACAAACAAACAAACAAACACATTCCCAGGTGTTTGAACCAGGAATCACAGACAAAGGATCTTACTTTAGAAAAATCCATCTGGGGGAAAAAGTTGCCTACCTATATAAGAATATATAGAAGAATCATTTATAGGAGCATGACAATTGGGAGCTAACTTGAATATTCAACACCTGGAGAATGCCAAATAAATCATGAAACCCTTGTTCAAAATTTCAGGCAGTCATTAAAAATGATTGTGAGGACTAGCTGGTTTGGCTCAGTGGATAGAACATAAGCCTGTGGTCTGAAGGGTCCCCGGTTTGATTCCAGTCAAGGGCACATGCCCAGGGGGCGTGCAGGAAGCAGCTGATCAATGATTCTCGTTCATCATTGATGTTTCTCTCTTTCTCCCTCTCTCCCCCTCCTCTCTCCCTCTCCCTTCCTCTCTGAAATCAATCAGATATATACTAAAAAAAGAAAAATTGTCATCATGAAGACTACCCAACTAAATAGAAAAATGCTCATGATAGAATGTACAGTGAAAATAAACAGAATGAAAAACTGATGGCAGCCAAGGCTGTATCTGCATAGTATTGGGAGTGAAGATACTGGAAGATAGGGTCCCTTCTCGTTCTAACGTTCTCTGAGCTGCCAAGCTCTGTCCCCTAATCTCCCTCACACAACCTCTCCCTCAGGTCACACTTTGAAATGAACGGATGGGGTGCTCGGCCTACCTGATGCTTGCGGTTCTCCACATTCATGGTGCGGGGCTTGTAGGTAATCTCATAGGGCTTGTTTTGCTGATGGGGCTCCAGAGTGATGAACTCGGGCCCCTCCCAGTGCTCGCCCTCAAAGATGGGGTGCAGATTCCAGGTCTGGTTGGTGCGATTGGAAAGCAGGATGGTCTGCGTGTGCTTGGAGCGCACCTGGCAGGTGAAGTTTACCGTCTGGAAGAGAACAGGCGCTTTACACAGGCAGTGGAATCTACAAGTTTGGAGTCCACAGCCAAGTCCAGACTGGAGGTGCATATTTGGGAGTTGTCAGTTTAGCAATTTTTTTTTTAAAGATGAAAATACTGGATGAGATTATCAGGAAGTTAAGTGCACTTAGAAAAAGGAAGGACCTTATGGATGAATTCCTGACTGGCACACTCCATTGTTAAGAAGAATCAGAAGAGATGGGAAGGAGCAGCTAATCAGATAGGAAGAGAACCAGGAGAGGGTGGTATCCTGGAAGCCATTTAAAGGAACCGTTTGAAGAAGAAGGTACTTGTTCAAGGTGTTAAATGCTACTAGGTCAAGTGGGATGAAGGTGAGAACTGGCCATTGAATGTAACAACATGGACCAATGTGGTAAGAGAGTCAAATAGATCAATGGACAAGAATAGAGTTCAGTAATAGACACACACATATATGATCCATTAATTTTTCACCAAAGTGCAAAAGCAATTCGGTAAAGAAAGGAAACTATTTTCAACAAATGGTGCTGCAATAATTAAATAGCCATGTAAGTAAAAAGAAGTTTGATCCATATCTTGTACTACATACAAAAATGAACTTGAAACAGACTGAAGACCTAAATGTAAAACTTGTGTCCTGAATATATATAAAGAGCTCTGAAAATTCAATATTAATAAAACAAACAACCTAATTTGTTAAAAAAAAAAAGATTTGAACAAATACTTCAAAAAAGAATACATATGGACGGCAAATAAGTAGCTGAAAAGATTCTCGACATCATTAGCCATTAGGGAAATGCAAATGGAAAACTACAATGAAATACTATGACATATCTATTAGAATGACTAAAATAAAAAAGAAAGACCATATCAAGTGTTGATAAGGATGTGATAAAAATAGAAATGTCAGACATTGCTAGTGGGAATGTGAAATGACACAGCCACTTTGTAAAAACAGTTTGGTAGGTTCTTAAAAAAGTGAACATATATCTATCCTTGGACCCAGCCATTCACTCCTAAGTAACCAAGAAAATGAAAGCATGTGTTCTTGCCAAGATTTGCTCATGCATGTTTACAGCATTCTGTATGTTTCCCTTTACACACCATGCTTGAAATAACAAAATTAGAGAGATGGGGGTCAGGTCTCATTTTCACCATAAGCAGTGTTGCCAGGAACACGGCGGGCAGGGCACTGGTAGGCTTCTGGGAACCAAGCCAGCAGAGGGTTAACCCAAGGCTATTAAAAAACAGCAACACATAGTAAGGTGTTCACCCCTCACGCATGGCTTATAACAGAACTGGGTCTAGCCAGAGATGTCCATGCAAGCTTCCTTGAGAATGTGATGCTTGACTTGAGAGCTGAAGAATGAATAGGAATTAACTAAATGAAGAGGAAAAAAGAACATTCCAGCAGTGGAAAAAGTATGTGCAAAGGCCCTGGTGGTGGTGGTGGTGGTGGTGGGGAGGTGGGCGCGCGCACGCGCACGGGAGCAGGTCGGAATATTTGAGGTGGGCACTGGGGACTGTTTGAACAGAGCATCTGCCTCTGGGAGGCCTGGCTGAGCTCACCTGTGGGGCTTGCCAGGCCCACTCTGGCCAATAGCCCTTCTGTGGGCAGCGCTCACTGACCTCTTTCACTGCGGGCGGTCCAACACAGATTCCAGACAGGGTCAGGCTCAGGGTAGGGCCTCCCTGGATGAAGCAGGGCAGGTTTCTGTAGAGACTCTCCTTGCCCACCTCCGTGGGATGGTAGGTCACCTCTAAGGAAACCTCCGTGCCTGTGGTGATGTAGCCTTCCTCCGGGCTGATGGAGAAGTTAGGCTCAAACTTTTTGACATCCCACTTAAACCTTTTCCAAGACAAAAGGAGACAAGGAAGTCAGGTTACTAGTGTCCTGGCGATGTCCTCAATGCTGCTGAGGACGAGACCGGAGGTTCGCCCCCTTGTGGGCTCCACGGGACCGGGAGGAGAAAGGTTGCTCGGTAACGCAGGGGCCGTGTGGACAGGGTAAGATGACGCGGCTCCCTCTCAGAGCTGAGCAGGGTGGGAAGTGGCTGCATCGGGGACATACATAGGAACGTGTTTCCACGTGTGCACTCAAGGTCTCATAGCTAGGAAGTGGCTGAGTGAAGACTGGAACCTTCCTCATGCTATGGCCTTAACCACTCCCTGCATGGCCTCCCCGGCCGGAGCCAGGAAGGTGGAGATGATCCCTGCCTGTGAGGGTTGCATCTGCTCTTGGTGGCATTGGGATGCGATGGCTCTGAGTGGTCATCACTCTGTGGTCTGGCATTCGGTCCAGGCAGGAGACAGAGGGTGGACAATACAGAACCTATCTTGGGTTCCAATCCTGTCTTTCCCACTTCCTGGCTGTGTGACCCCAGGCAAGCTACCTGACCTCTTTGAGCCGCAAATTCAGCTGTGAAATGGGGACAATACAGAACCTATCTTGGGTCCTGGGGCAGCCAAGTGGGATCTTCTATTTGAGAATACTCAGCATTGCACCTGCGCCTGGTAAGTGCTTGCTAAATGTGGGATTTTGGAAAAGGTACTGACTCTCTTTTCACTCCAGTTTTCTCATCTGTAAAACGGATCAGTCATAGCACTGGTCTCGTAGAATTGTTGGGGTTAAAGGAGATGAGCCACGCAAAGGGCATATCACAGGAGCAAATGCTCCAGAATATTAATTTTAGTAACCAGGCCATCGCAGTCACATTTTGAAGGAAGGAAAGAGATGTAAGAGGCAAAGGAAAGAAATAAAAGGTGGCCACGCTTGTGAAACAAATATGTAATCCGACGCAGGGCCTGAGCGCTCTGCTCCAGCTCTTACCTGGCACCCACGTCGCCCGTGTTCAGCATGAGGATGCGACGCGTGGCCTTTGTCTGATACACGACTGGCCCGAAGGGAATGTGTTGCTGGTCCAGGGAGACCTCCAGGGCGTGGCAGCAGCCGCTGAGCAGGAAGAGGGGGCGCAGGAGCCCCATGCTCTCCATGAGCACTTCCTCGGAGAAGAAGGGGATGCGCTTCTTCGGGGCAAAGATGACCTCCAGCTTGCGGACTTCTTTGGGCTTCAGCGTGATGTGGCTGAAGGGTATCAGGGTGATGACCTGGGCCAGAGGACAGTGGGCCTCAGCAGCTGAGGGCAGGGGGCTGCTGGGCCCTCCATTCCTACAGGTCTTGCTGCTTCACAGCCCAGGGGGCAAATCTCACTGCTGCTCTCTCTTACCAGCTGTGCCATCTTTTTTTAAAATATATTTTATTGATTTTTTTTTTTTTTTTTACAGAGAGGAAGGGAGAGGGGGAGAGAGTTAGAAACATCAATGAGAGAGAAACATCAATCAGCTGTCTCCTGCACACCCCCTACTGGGGATATGCCCGCAACCAATGTACATGGCCTTGGCCGGAATCGAACCTGGGAACCTTCAGTCCACAGGTCAATGCTCTATCTACTGAGCCAAACTGGCTAGGGCCAGCTGTACCACCTTTGACAAGTTATTTTAACATCCTGTGATGCATTCAGCTAGCTCATATATATATAAAATATATGGCACAGCCTGGCTGGTGTTGCTCAGTGGTTGTGCATTGACCTATGTACAGGAGGTCACGATTTGATTCCCTGTCAGGGCACCTGCCTGCGTTATGAGCTCGACCCCCAGGGTGGGGTGTGCAGGAAGCAAAGGATCAATGATTCCTTATCATTATTGACGTTTCTCTCTCTCTCTCTCCCTTTCCTTTCCTCTCTGAAATCAATAAAGATATATTTAAAAAATAAAGTAAAATGTAGAACACAGAATAGGCACTCAATAAATGTTAATTCTCATTCTAACCCCTTGCAAAGAACCACTACTCTCTGCTGGAGGAGGCAGAAGAGGGAATAAAAACACTCAGCGCTCTGTGGTTTTTGAGGATCGCCCCCCCCCGCCCGCAGCTCCCTGTGCTGGCTACAATGCAGATTCAGGGGCCCTGCCTCAAGGCCGCTGATCCGTGTTCTTGGAGGAGCCTGGGACCTGCATTTTCAAAAGTGCCCTGGGAGACTCGTGAGTTCTAAAGTTGGAGAACCACTGTCTGAATGTGTGTGGTCCCCTCTTCCCCGCCTGGTCCTGGTAAAGGCAAATCAAAATCAGCTCTAAGGAAGCCAAACCCCTTTTCCACCGGGAGCTCCCTTCGGTCCGGAGCTGGGCAGTCACCAGCAAATGGGCCCAGGCAGCGGGGCGTGAGATAACGGGCCGAGAGGCCGCGATAGCAAAGTGATCCTAGCGAGTTTTCCGAACACGAGGATGTTGGAAGCCAACCCCAGGCGGTGGGGTCAGCACAGGTCACTGGCAGCTTGTGTCTGATCAGCTAAAGAAACTGGTTGGTAGGCAAACCGTGAGGGCTCTGACCTACTGGGAACCAAGACTTTGACTTGGATTAATGAGGCATGCGACGCCTCATTAGTGGAAAGACAGACACCAACATGTTAAGGGATTATTGCTCTCTTTCTCTGGATGGCAAAGTGGGCAACACGGGGTTCTGGGTGGAGGTGCCCACTGTGTCTCTGGCTGTGGCTGGCCTCTCATGGCCAGTGCTTGTGGGTCCTGCATCCCCCAGGTGGTCCGCAGTGTGCCTGTCACACTGAATCGCATCTGAGTTTCCTAAAGCACTGACTCTTGCTGGCCGGTATGCCTTTGCCTGCCGGAAACACCCTCCCCCGCCTGTCTGCCTGGGAGATCGCTCTCCATCCTGTAACACTCAGAGCAGCCGCCCTCTGAGCAGCCCCCACCTTTTCCAATCCTCTGGGAAGTAATTAGGCTTAGATGAGACTATAAGAGAGGGACCTCCTGATGGGATTAGATACACTGGATAGCCCTCTCTTGCTTGCTCTCTGCTGTGTGTGCACACAGCCAGAAGGGGCTGCCTATGAGCCAGGAGGAGAGCCCTCACCAGAAGCAGACCATGCTGGCACTCTGACCTCACACTCCCAGCTTCCAGAACTATCCTATATAATAAAAGCCCAATAGGCTGTGTCTGACCGTTCGACCGTTTGACCAGTCTCTATCATGTGCACTGACCACCATGGGGCAGATGCTCCGACTGGTAGGTTAGATTGTTGCTGGGTTCTGACCGATCAGGATTAGGCGAGACAGGCCGGACATGCCCTGAAGCCCTCCTTCAGTCCCTCCCTGGCCTCCATCATGCACCAGTGGGGTCCCTTGGCCTGGCCTGTGCCTTCTTGCAATCTGAGACCCCTCGGGGGATGTAAGAGAGCCTGTTTTGGCCTGACCCCCGCAGGCCAGGCTGAGGGGCCCCACCAGTGCACGAATCCATGCACCGGGCCTCCAGTGAGAAAATAAATGTCTGCTGTGTAAGCCACCCAGTCTACTTGGTTAGGGCAGCCCAAGTTAAGACACATCTGTATATTTTTTGCACCTAGCACATATTTACTGAGTAAATGTAAGGGATGGATACATTTACCCTTGGGATGAATGAAGCACATCTACTCCATTGTCAAGGGGCCATCAGCATACTGATGACTGTAAGAGGGGAGCAGGCAGCTGGGCCGGGTAGCTCCTCTCTCCAGGGAGCTTGGGACATGGATGTAGGAACAAGGGTGCATCTCACACAGATGATGAGTGCAGAGGGCGACACCCTTTCAGGGGCAGGTGGTGATGGGTACTGAAACTTCCTCTTCTCCTTGAACCCACATGCTCTCTAGGAGTCTGCCCTGAGCAGAGAGCCATGGATGCACACAAAGCTTTGGCTGCAGGGACAGACGTTGTTGCTTATAACATAAAGCATCAGGAACACCTGAGTTGAGCAGAAATAGACAATTGGTCTGTCTACCTAATGGAGGGAGCAGTGGACACGTGGCAGTGGAGGACATGGACAATATTTACGATGTGTTACGAGATGGGTTCAAAATAATACGAACATTGTTGGACACAAAACTCTGGGGAGGGAGGGTATGTATGGGAGGGGAGGGCAATGTTAAAATATGCACATAGATAATAATTTAATAAAAAAAATAATACAAATATTGTAATTTTATTTTTGTAAAAAAAAAATGTGTAGGGCCTAACCAGTTTGGCTCAGTGGATAGAGCATCAGCCTGAGAATTGAAAGGTCAAGGGCATGTACCTTGGTTGTGGGCACATCCCTGGTGGGGGGTGTGCAGGAGGCAGCTGATTGATGTTTCTCTCATTGATGTTTCTAACTCTCTCTCCCTCTCCCTTCTTTTCTGTAAAAAAAAAAAAAAAAAATCAATAAAGTATATTTTTTAAAAATGTGTAGGAAAAACCTGGGAAAGACAGACATCAAAATGTTAAGTGATGCCGAGACCAGTTTGGCTCAATGGATAGAGCGTCGGCTTGGGGACTGAAAGGTCCCGGGTTCGATTCCGGTCAAGGGCATGTACCTTCGTTGCGGGCACATCCCCAGTAGGGGGTGTGCAAGAGGCAGCTAATCGATGACTCTCTCTCATCGATGTTTCTAACTCTCTATCTCTCTCCCTTCCTCTCTGTATAAAATCAATAAAATATATTTTTAAAAAATGTTAAGTGATTATTTCTGGGTCTGAGATTATGGGCAAAATGTTTTCTTTTATGATTTTCTATATTTTCCAAATGGTCTGCAATGAAGATCTGTGTTTATTCATTAGAGTTTACTGCCTCCCTTCTGTTTCACTGTGTTGCCCTGTAGAGGGATGTTGCCTCTTTAAGCCTCGGTTTCCTTGGATGTGAACTGAGCATAGTAAAAGCTCGGACCCCGGGCTGTTTCTGTGAAGATGGTCGGGGACGGCGCACGGAGAGCTGTGAGCGTGTCCGGGCACAGTGAGGGCGCAGGAGAACTGTGACTTGTTAGTGATGTCGGCCTGGTCGTTCACGCCGCAGGGAAGCATGGAGAGGCCACTGGGAGCGCCGAGCACCCACCTTAGGCTCCCGGAGCTCTGGAACCGAGAACAGGACGGAATGGCTAAATGTGACCGGGGCTTGGCTGTTGTTCATGATCGAAACCGTTTTTTTCACCACCTGCCCTGGCGAAACAGCTCCTAACTTCAGGATCCTGTTGGCCGGATCCAGGACTACAATCTGTGGGACGAGAAAGAGAGCAGGGAGGGAGGGTCTGTCAGTTAATGAGAAAAATGTCTATCGGGGGCGGGGAGCCAAGGGTGGTCCCTCGCTTTCAGTGTCCCCCATTCTTCACATTAGATGAGCCTTCCCTCGCTCAATAACATTTATGTGCATAAATGTGCCCACTAAACAACAATGACATAATTACAACTGTGCTAAGAGACGTGATGGGAAAGCTCAGGGTACTGGAGAGCCCATGACAGGGGATGAGATAGATGGGAGTCTGGGGACTGCCCCCTCCCTAGGCATGCTTTTATTTATTTATTTATTTATTTATTTATTTATTTATTTATTTTTAAGTCAAATTTGGAATTGAGTAAGAGAGCCATGACTCACTTGAGTCTGATCGGCTAATTCACCCCTCGGTGGGACTGCTGACGTGTGGCAGAGCAGTTTAGGGGCAGGAGATGGGGCGAGGGGAGGGAGGGAGAGGCTCAGGTGGGCCAAGGGGGCTGGGAAGGGCAGGGAAGCTGCCAGTCTGAGGACCTCCTCTTACCTTCATTTCGGTGCCTTTCCCTTTGATTTCAACTACATGTTGGGAGAGTCCATTGATTTCGAAGGGGATGAGCTCTCGGTAACTGATACTTTCTCGAGGATAGAAGGTGATTGGGATCTCCATAGACTTTCCTGGCTTTATCACATCCACACGGAAGTTCACCTCGAGGTAGGTGGTATTGGTGTACAAACAATCGATGCTGGAGAGAAGCAGGAGGAAGATAGGTAAATCCCCGCCTCCATGCCCGAGCTTGGTCCTGATGGATTTCCTGCCCTGCTGTCCTACAGTCATAGCATTTAAGGGCTGAAAAGGACCCAGCAATGATCCAGCCCACATTCTCTTGGGCAAAGTCAAACTACTTACCTCAAATAACACCATGAGATCCTGGCAAAATCAGGCCTCAAACTCAAAGTCCCATGACCCTTTGCCAGTGCTCTCTCTCTCTTTTTTTTTTAAACACGTTTTTATTGATTTCAGAGAGAGGAAAAGAAAGGGAGAGAGGGATAGAAACATCAATGTTGAGAGAGAGTCATTGATCCATCACCTCCTGTACACCCTACACTGAGAATTGGGCCCCCAACTAGGGCATGTGCTCTGACTGGGAATTGAACTGTGACCTCCTGGTTCATAGGTTGATGCATAATCACTGAGCCACGCCTTTCGGGCAGGGGAGGTACTATCATTATCACCTACTTTGGGCAAGGAGACAGAGGCACAGAGAGTTTAAAAAATTTGCCCAAGGTCACACATAGCTAGGGAGGAACCCAGACTTGTGTTACCCAATATGATAGCCACTTGGCACATGCAACTATTTAAATCCTATATAATAGAAGGCTAGTATGCAAATTGACCGAATGGCAGAACGACCAGTCACTATGATGTGCAGTGACTACCAGGGGGCAGACACTCAAAGCAGGAGCTGCCCCCTGGTGGTCAATGCACTCCCACAGGGTGAGCACCACTCAGCCAGAAGCTGGGTTCATGGCTGGCGAGCCCAGTGGAGGTGGTGGGAGCCTCTCCCGCCTCTTTGGCAGTCAGACATCCCTCGAGGGCTCCCAGACTGTGAGAGGGTGCAGGCTGGGTTGAGGGACCGCCCCTCCCCCTATTACCCCCCCCCCCAAGGGCACAAATTTCATGCACCAGGCCTCTAGTTTAAAATAAAACAAAACACTCAGTTCCTCAGTTTCACTTATCATAGCTACAGGCTGCCATACTAGATAGTGCAGAAATATAACATTTTTTTTCATTGTCAAGGAAAACTATTGCATAGCACTAATCTAGCAGGTCCCTCAGCCAATTTCTGGAGATTCTGTCTTGTTAGGTCTGTAATAGGGTCCAGAAACCTGGACTGGGACATTCTATACTGGATGGTGTGGAGAGGCTGAATTTGAGGCAGAAGGTTTAGGCTCAGTATAGATCCACTGTTTTCTGTGAGGTCCCTGGCCTGAGAAATTCACTTTTTAACTCTCCAAATTTCCGTTTCCACATCTGTTACACGAGGAAAATCAGCGGAGGCCCTCAATCCTCTCATCGGATCATCTGGCATTGCCTCCTCACTTCAGGAAGGGGATTTTCCGTGGAGGAGCCCGCGGCTCTCCAAGCATCAGTGTCAGTGGTGGGGAAAGGAGACCTCGGGACTCATGCCCCACTGTGTCTGACTCATCCCCACAACCCCTCTCCTTCTGACTTGGCTGCACGCCACCTGCAGACTCATCTGCGGGCTCTGGGAAGTCCGCTCACCTCATACCCGTTTCCTCCTTGTTGGTGATAACCAGGGTCTGTTTGTACGCGGGCATCCCGGCTTGGTAGATGAAGCAGGTCCCAAAGTTGTGGCTGGTGAATGAGAAATGGACAGCAGGGCTCACGGCATTGCCTGAGATGCTGCACGTGAATGTCGGGCCGTGGCTTATCTGTGGGGAGGAAACGGCAGGGGGAGTGTGATTAGAAGTGAGAGGGAAGGACTTTTAAGCCCTCGAGTGAAGGAGGGAGGCAGGCAAGTGTTTTTTTAAAAAAAACAACAACACAGGTCCCACGGTTCCATCTGCAGATTCTAACTCAGAGGTTAGGAGTTTATTTTTTATAAAGTATTTTTTATTGACTTCAGAGGGAAAGGAAGAGGGAGAAAGGGAAGAAAACATCAATGATGAGAGAGAATCATTGATTGACTGCCTCCTTCATGTCCCCTACTGGGGATGGAGCCCACAAATCAGGCATGTGCCCTGACCAGGAATCGAACCATGACCTCCTGGTTCACAGGTTGACACTCAACCACTGAGCTACGCTGGCTGGGCAGAAGTTTGTGCATTTGAGAAAAGCAGGATGGGCTACTCTGCAATCAGTCTCTACATTGGTTCTTGCTTTGCTCCTGAAGCAATGATTCATCTTGAAGGCACAGGGGTGTGGCAAAAACTACTGCTCCCCAATATCTGATTCCCAGCACTCCTACTGTTGTCAATGTGCCCAGGTGAAAATACTTGATTTCCCATTTTAAAAATGTTAAAAGTTAAACCTATTGCAGTAACATGAGTTAATAACATTATACAAATTTCAGGTGTACAACTTTATGACATCTGTGTGCTCCATTGTGTGTTTCCCACCTGAAGTTTAGTCTCCTTCCATCACATTGCATTGACTCCCTTTACCTATTTGTTATCCCCTACCTTCTTCCCCTCTCGCAACCACCATACTTTGTCTGTATGTATCACTCTATTTTTGTTTGTTTGTATGTTTGTGTTTTATGTTCATTTGTTGCTTTTTGTTTTATAGCCCACATAGGAGTGAAATCATATGGTACCTAAATGTCTTTTAGTGGATGACAGGATAAAGAAGATGTGGTACATGTACACAATGGACTACTTCTCAACCATAAAAAGATGAAATATTGCCATCTGCAACAACATGAATGGATCTTGAGCACATTATGCTGAGTGTAATACGACAGGTGTAAAAGGACAAGAACAGTATGATTTCCCATTCTTCCTTGCAGCTAAGAGTGGCCATCAGACATAGTTTGGTCATTGGGATGTAAACAAAAGGTGTCCTATTTTGAATAAAGAGTCAAAGTCTTGTTGGGGAAGTATTTTGGCTCCAGGCTCTTCCCCTTATTTCCACTCTGAAATGTGGACACAGGGCTGCAGGAGGGATGGTCGGCTTGTGACCATGAGATGACAGGAATGAGGTCAAAGGCCAATATGCTGAGGGTGAAAGAGTTAATTTAGTGAGTTCTGAAAAAGTTGATTTTGATAGTTTTTGCCATTGTTCTCAATGCTCCAGAAGAGCAGCTTTTCAGAGATCCTTCTCTGCCATCCCCGCTGACATCACAACTCATTGGTTTTTCATTTGATAACTTACCTTGGAAAATGTTGTACATGTTTGTTCTCTCTCTCTCTCTTTCTCTCTCTCTCTCTCTCTCTCTCTCTCTCTCTCTCTCTCTCTCTCTCTCTCTCTCTCTTTCTCTACCTCTCATCAATCTCCCTTGTTTATTTTATTTTATTTTGTAAAAATATGCTTTTTATCGATTTTGAGAGACAGAGGGGGGAGAGGACTAGAGAGAGAGAAACATGGATGAGAGGAACATCATTGATCGGTTGCCTCTTGCATGGCCCCTACTGGGGATCAAGCCTACAACCAAGGCATGTGTCCTGATCAGGAATCAGACTGGTGACCTCTTGGTTCCTTGGCTCCCTTATTTATTTTAATGGCTGCATGATATACCAATGCAACCATTAAAATAAATAAGGCAGTGCTTAACTGCTTTTTAGTTGACACTCACCAGGCACCTGGGTGGAGGCCATGAATACAGTGTATGGGACTATCTCCAACACAGCCACTCCCCAGGAGCTGCTGGCAGGATAGAGAAGACCAGAAACACGCAGGATAATTATTCTTCCAAGACAGGATACTGTGAGTGCTTTCAGTGTTGGGCAGTGTTCAATCAGTCTCACCTTGATTCTGAGTTCCAGGCCCTTCAAGACACATTTCTTAAATGGTTGGAAATTCAGGCTGGCGGATGCACTCTGCCCTATGTCCACGTTGCCCTCCATGGGTGAGAACTCTAAGTACTGCACCAGGGCCTTGGGGCCGGAGAGCTCTGCCTGGTAGCTGAAGTTGAACTTCCCAGTGTTGATAAAGGTGAACTCACACTGGACACATTCATTCAGCTCCACCTGAGAGACAGAGCACATGTCGAGTGAATGCAAACCATGGTTCACTCCTCTGGGATCAGGATATTCAACATGTTGGGGGAAAATATCCCTTGGAAAATAGAAATGGACAATGATGTTAGTGAGTTGAACATCATTAGGCTAATGTGGCCAGGATATCCCAGCAAGAACTATCAAGTGTTGGGGGCCCCTCATATCTGAAGAGTAAGAGGGCAATTTAGTTCTTTGACCTCTCTTGGTAGCCAAACAACCTGCCTATGTGCTTAACACAAGCATTATTCCCCTTGCCTACTGTCTCTCCATCCCTTGAAAAATAAGAAAACATTCACATCAAAATCATATACATTCTGGGGATGGAGCAGCTCCTGGTACCTTTCTGTTCTCCTGGTCTCCCTGGCATTTGAAACAGAAATTCAGCTAATAATAGTCACTGCACTGCCTTTCCCAGCCAGCGTAGAAACCAAGAGGGAGTAAGGCCCTCTCCCAACTTTACCTCATAGAAGTTGACAATGGTAGTCTGATTGGGAGTTAAGAAAGTGACTAAGCCAGTCCTGTCTTTGTACTTGACATCCGCATTCATGGTGTAGCCCTCAGCCTTGACATTTAAGGTCACAGGCTGGGCTTTCCTTTTCACATTGCAGATCAAATTAAAGTTCACATCTCCTTCTTGCTTTGGTGTGAAGAAAACATCAATTTGTACCCTGATTGGGGAAGATGACAGCAGGTTAGTTGAGTAGGCCACCTGCTACAACCTGCTAAAGAACATGAGCCCAATAGGTGAGCAGATACACTGTGAGGAAAAGGTATTATAACTCCAAAGTATGATGAATTTTTTAAAAAACATATTTTTATTGATTTCAGAGAGGAAGGGAGGGGGAAAGAGAGAGATAGAAACATCAGTGATGTGAGAGAACCATTGATCAGCTTATCCCCTGCATGCCCCACCACCTGGGCATGTGCCCTGACCAGGATTGGAATCGTGACCTCTTGGTTCATAGATCAATGCTCAATGAATTTTGAAGATTTTCCAGGCAAGGCAAGACATTGCTTTATGGATTCACAAATATAGTAGATGGCAAGGAAAATACTGAAAACAAGGGTTTAAAATCCTCAACACTACACAATTCATCAGGAAAACGAGTAATACGGAATACATAGGACAGAGATGGAATTGTTAATATCTAAGGGGTTCTCTTGGCTGCCAGGCCTGGGACTCCGGCCATTTTGGGGGGCTGAAGTCTTGGGGCCTTCCTATTTCTTTACCTGGACATCGGCGGGAGCCAGCCTTCCATGGGACACACGACCAGGTTTTCGATGAAACCTTCAGAATACCGGGAGCTGTCCAGGAAGGCAAAATTGAACCCTTGCTCCTCCCTGTTGATGATGTGCACGGTCTCCCGGGCTTCTCGGCCTGAGGAGGAAACATCAGTTCTCAGGAGCAGCCTGGACATCGGTGGGGAGCAGCCACCTGCCTGCTCCTGCAATGTCTCAGCAGATACTGCTGGACGGGCAAGAGGAAGTCTTCTTCCAAGAGATTCTCCAACTTCTTTCCTTTCCTCTTCCCAGCTCCTCAGCCTGTGACTACCTCTTTCTTCCTTTTGCTCTACAAGTGACCTTCCTCCCCTGGAAGGAGTCCAGCTCTTCCTCTAGAACTTGACCCGTCAGTCGCCTGCTCCTGCTAGATGGTACCTCTATCCTGGTGACACTGTTTTCCCTTCTTGTTCCTTCAGACCCAATGCCTTCCTTCTTTTGCTAATGGTGCTTCACCTTACCTGATAGGCCCCTTGACTCTGCCCATGCCTTTGTAAAGCAGAAAGACCCCCTGCATTGAACACTTTAAATAAGATCTGCATGTCATGAGTCTTGAAAGGGCTCTAACTAATGCATTGCTGTTCCTATTTTGCTTTTTCTTTCTTTCCTTGACTATTGTAGAGAATTTATTTTTCCACATAAACTTTCCAATCATTTTATCCACTTCTCTCCCCCCCACTCCACCCCGGTAATCCTTTGGGATTAAGGTTACCAGATGAAGCAACATTTTTTTTTATTTTTTTAATTTTTTTTATTTTTATTTTTTTTTAGTATGTGTCTCAAATGTTGCATGAGACATACTTATGCTGACATACGGATTCAAAAATCCTTCATTGTTACCTGAAATTCAAATGTAACTCTGTGTTTGTATTTTACCTGGCAACCCTAGCTGAGATTCTAATAGAAACTTGATTAAATTTGCACTTACTTTTGGGAGAACTGACAACTATTCAGATCTTGGTTGGGGGCATTTTAATAAGATTTCTATAGTTTTCTTCATACAGGTCCTGTGCTTTCCTTGTTATGTTGATCCTTAGATGTTATATAGGTTTGGTCAACACTAAATAGAATTTTTGTTTGTATCTAAGTGCTTACTACCAAAAGAAAGAGACGCTATTGATTTTTGTATACTTGTTCTGCATCTAGCCACTTACTAAAAATTATCTTGTTCTTTTAGTATTTGTGTTGCTTTTCTTTAGAGCCTCTTGACATTTTCTATGTCTGAAGTAATCAGCCATAGCAATATGATATAGTGTTGTCTCATTTTCTCTCAATGTTTATGCCAATTGTTTAATTTTCTTGTTTTACTGTATTTGCAAAAGTCACTAAAACATGTTCAACAAGCCCTATCCAGTTTGGCTCAGTGGATAGAGCATCGGCCTGTGGACTGAAGGGTTCCAGGTTTGATTCTGGCCAAGGGTACATGCCCAGGTTGCAGGCTCAATCCCCAGTAGGGCATGTACAGGAGGCAGCCTATCTATGAGTCTTCCTCAGCATTAATGTATCTCTCCCTTCCTCTCCCTTCCTCTCTGAAATCATAAACATATATTTTAAAAAATGTTCAATGATAATGAGCAGTCTTGCCTAATTCCTGATTTTAACTGACGTGCTTTTAGTGGTTTGTTACTTGACTAATGACTCAGTGCACAGATTCATGCACATTGAAAGGAAATTAATTAGAAGAAATATTTTAATATTGATATTCTTGTCTTGCTAATGAAAAGAAAATAGGATTCCACTGAATCTCCTATCTACCTACTCCAGGAATTCTGTGAGGATCAAATGAGATGAGGCACAGGAAACGCTTCACAGACATTTGCTTAAAGTCTAAAATGTTTGCATCTGGCTATAAAGCAAGTCGGGTCCCTGGGCTGATGTAACTCTAAGGATGCTAGTTGCTAGGGAGAGGAAGCCGGGCTTTGCTACATGACGTCATTACCCAGCGCCCACAATGACTGTTTCAGAGTTGGACTGGGTTGTGTGCTGCATTTTGTGGGTCTTGGCAGTGTTGGCTGTGATTTGGTAGGATGTTGCTCCAAGGTGGTGGCAGGGCCTGTGTCCCACTTGGGAGAAGCTGAGTGTTGGTTTGTTGGTGCCAGGTCTGTGGTGCCATTTATTTTTAAATGGCCAGTGCGTGTCACAGCAGCTCCTGTGTTGAGTGTCTGCCCCCCTGGTGGTCAGTGCGTGTCATAGCTACCAGTTGGAGGACATAGCCTTTTATATACATAGATAACATTTGCCTCTTGAATTTAGTTAACCTTCTTTATTCAAGTATTTTCCTCCATTCCTCTTTTTCTATTAGAATTTTTGTTGAGAATGTCTGCTGAATTTTAGCAATGACTTTTCAGTATGTATTAATATAATCACATGGTTGTCCTTTAAATGTAATGTAACGATTATATTGAAATGCACCAATCTTGAATTCCTAGATTAATTTCTGTTTGTCTTGCTGTTATTATTCTTATGATACATTGCTCATTTATTTTCGAAAACCGTACTAAACACCACAATTTTCTCCTGTCAACTTATATGTATCAGTATGAAAGATGCATGCAAATAGTACATATAAAATTATTAGCATTGGTTTTCTTTGATGGAAAGGGAAGGATGAGGCAGGATGGGTGGGAAGAGATTATTAAGCTTTTCTTTTTACTACACTACATTGATTAGCTTTTATAATAAAAAATCAAATTACTAAAAAATCCTCTGGCTTTAATTGTATTTTACACACACACACACACACACACACACACACACACACACACACAAACACATCCATGTGATAGACTCATAGAGTTATAAGGAACCTAGTTATCACTTTCTTTATTTGCTCAAATATCACCTTTCCACTGCCAAGTACTCTATTTCCCTGAAAATAAGACAGTGTCTTATATTAATTTTTGCTCCCAAAGATGCACTAGGTCTTATTTTCAGGGGATGTCTTATTTTTCCATGAAGAAGAATACGGTACACATTTATTGTTAAATGAAAATAAAGGAAATTTATTACCTGTATACGGTACGGTAGTATGGTAGTTGTCAACACAAACCAGACAAACTGTGAATCCTACAGTATCAAGAATTTACTCATTTATTCAATGACAATTATGTCATCATCTTCTGGAACATCATCATAACAATCCAATTCCTGAATTTCCTGGTGAATTTCTTGTGAATCCATTTCTTTCAGAATCAGTGGACCAAATCTCTCATGTTTAGCCTGGGGGGGCCTTATTTTCAGGGGGATGCCTTATATTTCACTCAGAAGGAAACCTGTAAGTAGGTCTTATTTTAGGAGGATGTCTTATTTTCGGGGAAACACGGTAGCATTCTTCATTCTCTCTGGTCTGCTTTATTCTATTTTATTAGCATCTGACATGCTATATATCTTGCTTTCTTATTTTTGGTAGTTTGCATCCTATCCTTAGAATATAATCATCATGAGGGTAGGAACTGTGACTGTATCCCCAGAAGAGTGCCTAGGTCATACAAGGGGCTCGATAATATTTGTTGGACCAAATACATGCATGAAAGGATGGCAGAGAAATCTGACCACTGTGGCACACACCAAGAAGCAAACAAATACAGCCCATAATCTGAGGCTGACATGAGACTCTGGAAATGAAGACAATCAGTCCAGGCCCTAAAGGAATCTTCCAAGGAGGATCTGCAGCCAGGCTCCCAAATTTCCATTGGTTCCGAGGGCATGGGTTTAGAATGTCCTTGGTGGAAACTGGATTGAGAGGGAAATATTATGTGGCTTCGTGAACAGTGGGAAAGGCCCTCAGGCATGCTTCTGGAAGGCGCCAGGGAAAGTCCCCACCCCTGGCTGTTCCTGGAGCACACGCCTGGGTTGGTCCCACTTCCCGCCCCTATCGGTCACGCCAACTCGGGATGTGAACCACCAGGGCAGCCTTACCGATGAGGAGACAGCAGAAGTTGATGTGGGACTTGTCCAGATTGACCAGAGGGTCAGAGGCTTTGCCCACCAGCAGGAAAGGGACTGTGATGTTGTGTTCGGGGACTGAGAAAGTCCAGAATGCTTCTGTGATTCTCAGATGCAAAGGCATGAACTGGAAGATAATCTGAGAAGACAGTTTGGAACACAGTGGTAAGAGGCACTACTGTTTACTTACCCCACGTGCCCTTAGAGGCTTGTGGGCACTGGGGTTCTGATGGCTGGTGATACCAGGTCACCACTACCTTTCTACCCTCTCTGAAGGGCATGCAAGTCTGGCTGTACTGTCTGCTTGCCCTGCTTGCCCAGAGGTCTTTTTAAGCGGGTCTACACCATCCGCAGCTTCTGCTGGCGAGGCTGCCATATTGGATGACGTGCACAAATAGAGAGATTCGGATGGGAATTTGAAATTCTGGCTTTTACCGAGAAGTCTGGGAAAGTTGGCAATCCTGGGCCCACTTGTCTGTGTGGTGGTGATATGCTGGAGAAGCACTATGGCCAGCCAGCTCTGCTCACACTCCCTGTCAAGGTCCCCTTGGCTTACACCATTTATTCGTATGACCTTCCTGGAGGCATCTGGATCCATAATTTCTGTTTCTCGGATTTGTTTCTGCCTCTAAGATTCCCTGTAGGACTTGCAGAACACAGGACCCCCAGGTCTATTTTGACCAGCGAGCCCATGTTTCTTTCAGCTGGACCCCCTAACCTATGTCACCGTGGAAACAGTACGACTGAGACATGGGACATGACTCCAATGTTCAGTTTTGACTTTTGTCCTGGACCAAGTGAAAACACATCTGTGTCCTTTCACTGCTCTCAGCCCCTTGGACAAAAATAACTTTGTCCTATAGTGTCCAGGCCTTTTCAGCTTCCCTGTCCTGCTTTCATAATCTCCATTTTAAAAACTCTAAATACTAAAGATCAGCTTCTCCATGGCCAACCAAGTGAACTCATGTCTGTCTTATCCATGAGAACTGCCTAACCTATACAGTAGCTACTCAAAAAATACTTGTGGATGGATGCACCCTTAGGCTGCCCTCCTTCACTCTTATCTCTGGTCTAAAGCACGCTTGTTACTCAAAGAGAGAATGATGGAAGCCCTGGGTCGCGTGGTCCTCATTCACACATACACACACCTCGGCTTTCTTTTCAGGTTGGATGCAGCCCTTCTCTGTAAGGCAGGTGAAGGCTGAAGGGTTCTGGAGACTTTCCGTTTCTTCAGAGACCCAGCGGAAGCAGTAGATGCTAGTGGTCGGGTTCAGGATTGTAAACGACCTGGCCAACGGTGAAGAATTGACAGCAGAGAGTGAGAAGGAGGGTTGAGGATGAAGAGAAACTTTCTCAGGACCTAACTGCCCTGGCTCGGTCCCCCTACGTGGACCGAGTGTTGCAGGTACTTTTTTTTTTTTTTTTTTTTTTTTTTTTTACTGTATAAATGAGAACCACATCTCATGTATGTGGTCCAATGTATGGAGCTCCAGACTTTGGAGTAATAATGGTGCCAAGGGCCCTTCTGTCCCAGAGATCCTCTGTGGTCAAGGTGGTGGTTAGGGATTTTATGCCTTTGAAACCCATCCTGGTGTCAAAACTAAGGAAACTGAATTCAGCGTTCTTACCGTAGCAGCTCTCTCAAGCCAGACCTCGGCATACCAAGCTGCTTCTAAGAACCCATCCAGCTCGATTCTCTGAATTCTACCTCTGAGTTCTTTAGAAGGATTGACTGATAGGAACGTGACTGATGCAAGCCGAGGCAACTCACCGGAGATTCTTCCCTCCTATGCCCACACAGGTGAACTCGATCACCCGGGTGTTTGGGTCCAGAGGCCCACCGCCAGGCCCTCGGAGATCCGGGTTGCGCCGATTACCAGTGATGTAGTCCGACTCTTTCAGTTCAAAGTGGCAGATAGGCAAGAAGCTCCGCCCTTTAACTGTTAGGACCGGGCCTTGCACTCCGGGTGCTAGATTGGGAATCCTGAGAGGGAGGATATAGTTATTTTTATTAATTTTTTTTAGTTTTAGCCAATTGTTGCTTTCTTAGATGGTTGGAAACGAATATTACATCTACTAAACTATGAGCTCCATGAGCACAGAGGCTGGGTCTATCTTGGTCAACAACATAACCCCAGCGTCTTGACCAGGGCACGCTACATAGTAGGTGTCCATTAACTAGTGGTTGCATGGATGAATGCATGAATGGGTTGAGTATGAGGCACCCGAATTCTGGTCTCTTCTGTGTACATAGTGTGTTACTTAGGTACTTCCCACACCAGGGTTGAGAAAAATCTCCCTGCTGTAAAATGAGCATAGAGGCTTACCCTCTGGCCCTCTCAGAGGCATTTGTGGGATAAAGATTGTGATGCCAAGATCCTAAAAAAGTACCCCGAGCTCCTCGGAGAAAGTGAACTGGATGTGAACAGATCTAAGTGGAGGTGGCCCAGGTGCAGGAGGGTCCCTGCAGTGTGATTGCAGGAGGCTCTTATGGCTCCCCTAGGTCCCTGCCACACTCAGCCATGGTTCACGGGATCCTTCTGTAGTAGTTTCTCCATGGAGCTTCCTTGGGAGTGGGTACCACATCAGGGACTTCCATGGCCAGGTGCTATTGGACTGATTATCTCTACCTGGGTCTGGACCCCATCTCTTCCTTGCTTACCATGCACCAGGTCTGTAACCTCCCTCCACAGTCCCCACCACCTAAAGCTTGTTGTGTTTACTGTGTGCCAGGCCCTGTGCTAAGCTTCGGTGAGTTACCTTATTCAATCTTAACTGGAACTCTGCAAGGTGTTATTGTTATTTGCATTTTATAGTTAGGGAAACCCGGTATCAGTAAAGGTACAAGAAAGCCTTCATAGGTTCCTGCTTGTCCCAGGACTGGAACCCACCTGGCTGCCAACTATGTTGTTGCCCAGTGGACTTTTGTCTGGGGCCAGGAAGAGAGAAGTGGGGCAGAAGAAGAAAGGTCTAGAGAGGGTTGCTGAGCCACACAAAAGACTCCATTCTCCTTGTACTCCAAAAGCGGGCGCCTTTGAATGTTTCCAAGGTGAAATGTGGCAAGTTGGGGCTGTGGAGGCTCCCGGGTTGGGAAGAATGGGTGGTAGTGGTGACGGAGAAGAGGGATGGGAGTGGCAGAGCTTTGTCTGGGGAGCACATCTCCTTACTGGCAGGAAATGGTGCTTTCGAAGTCTCCAACCTCCAACGGGGAGAATTTCACTTTAATCTTCTGAGACTTTCCCACGGGCACAATGCCGGAGACGGGATCCACAGAGAAGGTCATCAAGGGAGGTTCAGTCCAGGGTTCCGTGGCGCTGTCCATGGTGCTGCCCTGGCTGAGCAGATCCTTTTGCGAACCTGGGGGACAGACAGGGAGCCAGTGACATTCTGCGTGTGCAGTGGGAGGACAAGGAGAAGGCATCCCACTCACAGGTCCTCAGGGCCCCTCTGTGGGGTCTTCCAGCAGATATAGTTATCTTTAGGCTCTAGGGGTAAGGAATCGACTCCTAGCTCTCACAAGGTGACTCGTGGAAAAAAAAAATATTGTCATTAATTCCACCAAGTTTTTAAATCTGTTTCCTTTTGGTCCAAGGGAGTGGGTCAAGTAGATACCTGTGGGTGTTGTGCCTCAAAAAAGAATGGGCAGTGAACACAGTTTTTGGAGAATCACTGTTTTAAAGTAGGAGTTCACGATCCAGGGCCCACGGGAAAGGGCCCGCTCGGAAGGTCTGGGAATCTGCAACATTGAAGCAGGAATAATGGATATTCTCCCGCCAAGTGCTTTTAAAAAATATATATATATATTTTATTGATTTTTTTTTACAGAGAGGAAGGAAGAGGGATAGAGAGTTAGAAACATCGATGATGAGAGAGAAACATCGATCAACTGCCTCCTACATACCCCCTACTGGGGATGTGCCCACAACCAAGGTACATGCCCTTGACCGGAATCGAACCTGGGACCTTCCAGTCCACAGGTCGACGCTCTATCCACTGAGCCAAACCGGTTTCGACTGGGTCCCTTTTTCAAGGGCTTCACGCGCAGCAGCTTCAAGTTGGGCAAGGTATGTGATTTCCTAGGGAGACAGCTCTTAGCTTTTACCATTGTCTCCAAGGGTCTGTAATCTCCTAAAAGGTTAAGATCTAAAAAAAGAAAAATTTGCCGAAACCTGTTTGGCTCAGTGGTAGAGCATCGGTCAAGGGCATGTACATTGGTTGCGGGCACACCCCTGGTGGGGGGTGTGCAAGAGGCAGCTGGTCGATGTTTCTCATCAATGTTTCTAGCTTTCTATCCCTCTCTCCTCCTCTCTGTAAAAAAAAAAAAATCAATAAAATATATTTAAAAAAAGAAAAAAAGAAAAAATCCCCAGGGATCTGAGCTGGGATGCTGACCTTGCGAGGGGTGGGGGCGGGCAGGGTCCAGGCTCCGGGAGAGCAGAGGTCAGCTCTTGAGTTTCTCAGGCCCCATTGACTCCACAGACACCAGGAAGCCTCGGCTCTGCTTCCCCGTAGCTCCTTGTGAAGGCCGATGGAGCAAGGCTCTTCTACCGACTGGGGATTCTGCGCACACCCTGGGTTTTTCCTGCCCGCATTTACCTTGGTTATCTGGCATTGCAAAGCTGACAGCCTTCGCCACCTCTTCCACGATCCAGTTGAATTCCAGCTGCACACCTCCTGTATTGACCAGCTCCAACCTGCACACAGATGGGGGAACGCGTTTGAGAATTGTGCTGCACATGATTTGTGTCTTGTTGGCACACCCGTCATCTACACTTGCTACTTTTCCCTGTAGGTCAAGCCGCTTTGCTTCTAAAATATTTCTTTAAAAGACAGGTTGGAAGCACTTCCATCTGAAATCGTGCATTCGATGTACCAAGTGCATTTCCTTCCCCAAACACAAAATATATGCATAGCCATTGAAAGTGAAAATATCCACGGTGAACCCTTAAAGTCATCCTGCGTACCGATGGCACGTTACGCAGTGAGCTCTCAGCATGCGTCATGTAACCCTGAAAAATGCCCAGGAGAGAGGAAACAGAAGTCGATTTCACCTGACATAGTCTATTTTCACTTCCTGGGGTGCAAAACCCATAGTCCCTTCCCTTCCTGAATCACTCCCGCCAGAAACAATGCCTCTGTCCTCAGAAGCCACCTGACACCTTCCTGAGATGCTTTCACTGGCTGAGATATTTGTCTCAAATTCTGAACCAGTGGAGCTTCTTCTTGCCTCAAGTTTCCCTGCTCTAAGACAAGAAGTGGGAGAGAGAAGCTTTTTTTCTGGGACCACTATGAAACTTGATCATTGACAGTGACAGCCAGGAGGATGAGGTCTTGATACAAGAACATGATTGTGGCCCTGGCTGGTTTTGCTCAATGGTTAGAGCATCAGCCCATGGACTGAAGGGTCTTAGGTTTGATTCTGGGTCAAGGGCATATATCTCAGTTGTAGGCTTGATTCCCCTCGCCCAGCCCATTGGCGCATGAGGGAGGCAACCAATTGATGTGTCTCCCACATCAATGTTTCTCTCTCTCTCTCTCTCTCTCCTCCCCTCCACTCTTTCTAAAAATCAATGGAAAAAAAAAATATCCTTGAGTGAAGATTTTTTTTTTTAAAAAAAAGAAAGAAAATGATTGTGTAAGAGAAAGAAACATAATACTCTCCTGGCTTTAGGGGAGGAGGTCAAGGATGGGTTTAGGGATTAGATCTTCATTATCCCATCCAGGTAGACCAGCAGGTATGTCTGAAGTCAAGTGCTTTGACTTCAGGGGCTTATATTCATGTTTTGAATGCGTGAGTAGTGGCCTTCAGCCTAAAGGAAGTTTTCATAAAGTGGAGGAATCTTAGTGGCACAGAGTAGTCTTCACAAAAAGAATTCTGGGTTTAGGTGAAGGGCCAGAGAGTAAGAATTTTGGGGCTTTGCATGCAGTAGGTCTCTGCAGCCATCCCTCACTCTGCTATTGTGCAAACATAGCCACTGGACGATGCAGAAACGAATGGGCATGGCCTTGTGCCAACAAACACAACTACAAAAGTAGGTGGCTGGCTGGCTTGGGCCCATGGGCATAGCTTACTGATCCCTGCTTTAGGTGCATTGGGCACCAGCAGAAGATCCCACTCCTTTCCTTGTGCCGTTTGCTGCTATAATAACTTGAGAGGACTCTTCGAGTGCACTAAATGCAAAATGGTTGAACGAGTTAATTACTAATGTTCACAAAGTAGAAATGCCGGTGGTTTTCATTTTTGTGTTTGTAATTCTCAAAGATCAGTCACGTCCCAGCCCTTTTCTTTTGTCTCTGTTGCTCTCTCTGCTTAGAAGGCCCTTTTTTTTCTCACTTCTTCACTGGGCTACCTCCTGTTTGGTCTCCAAAATTCAGCTGGGGCTCCACTTTGGGGAGCCTTCCCTGACACTCTGTCCTATGTTGGTCTGCTTTTAGGCACTATTAAAAAATTATATATATATATATATATATATATATATATATATATATATATATTATAATATAAAATAAATCAATTTTATTTTATATAATATATATATTATATAAAATCAATTTTATTTTATATAATATATATATATATATATTATATAAAATAAAATTGATTTTTTTTTCAGAGAGGAAGGGAGAGGGATAGAGAGAAACATCATTGAGAGAGTAACATCGATCTCTGCACACCTCCTACTGGGGATGTGCCCACAACCAAGGTACATGCCCTTGACTGGAATTGAACCTGGGACCTTTCAGTCCACAGGCTGACGCTCTATCTACTGAGCCAAACTGGTTAAGGCTGCCTTAGGCACTCCTACTGCCTTCACAGAACACCATGCTGCAGCTGCCATGACACCTATTGTCACCTATCCCCCTGCTCCCCACCCGAGACTATGAACTCTGAGAGCAGGACCCATGGCATCCTTGTATCCCTGCGCCTGAGTGTGGGTGAAGGGTCAACACAACCCTTTCCCCTCTAAGGACAATTCTGACTCTGATCTAAACTTAAAGCTCAGTTTCCCTGGAAAGTAAAGGAAAAATGCCAGCGGTGTTATTAGGCAACGTTGTGTAGAGTAGAAACGACTCCCGCTTGGCAAATGGCAACTGGTCTGGAGGAATGATGATTGTCTGGAGGGAAGCTATAGCTGTGGGGTTCTCTGAGTACAATGACTCTTGCAACTGGGCATGTCCCCTGCAGGGATCCTGGAAGCGACACCAATGGTGCGGTCACGAGAAATGTTGCTTCTGCTGGTCATGGGGGCTTCTTAGCTAAGGATGGACCCTGTCCCTGCTAGTGTGGATACTGTCTGAGCTGTCACCTGAGGGCCCACATAGTTCCTGCGTGGTGGTATGGATTGCTGCAAGGACTCTTCCCACTGAGGCAGAGCAGCTGATGCCAGTTTTCCTGCTTATATCTTGATTTCAAGTGTAAACTTCAATTGCTTTGTGGGTCTGAGTGTTTCATTGGAGCCATGAAAACACGCTGGTGCATGCGACAGGGGACGCCTGGTATATGCTGTCGTAGACACGGAACGCATATTTGATTAATGCCTGAGTGGATGGACCATCAGCCTGTGGACCGAGAGGTCCCGGGTTCGATTCCCGTCAGGGGCATGTACCTTGGTTGCAGGCACATCCCCAGTAGGGGGTGTGCAGGAGGCAGCTGATCAATGTTTCTCTCTCATCGATGTTTCTGGCTCTCTATACCTCTCCCTTCCTCTCTGTAAAAAAAAAAAAAATCAATAAAATATATTAAAAAAAAAAAAAAAAAGACTGAGTGGATGACGAGACGAAAGAATGTTGAGTGCTGGGAGGCTTTTGATGACTCACTGAAACACGCGGGTCTGGTAAACTAGCGTGTCCTTAAAGTGCACATCGCTCGTCTGGCAGTTGTAGGACGCGAAGTTCACGTTGGCGCTGACCTGCAGCATCAACTCTCGGTAGCGCTCTTCCAGTACTGAGTGCGCAGGCTCAGGGTCCGTCTCTATCACCTGCAACAAAAGCAGCCACAGGGACACCGTGGGGAACAGCAGCACACTATTCTACAATGCAAGTTAACACCGACTCAGAAAGTCATGTTCCAGAGTAAAAGATTACGGCAAACCTAAAATGACTCATGCATGGGAAGGAAATGATGAATTACTGAAGGCATCAGAACTGCACAGACGTGAGTTTGGGGACAGACAGACTCCAAAGAACGTAGAAGGGAGAAAATCATAAAGATAGGAACAGATATTAACAAAACAGAAAATAAATCTAAAACAGAAAGGCCCAACAGAGCCAAAAATTATTTGAAAAGATTTGAAAGGCTTTTTGGTGAGATGGATCAGGAAAAATACAAATAACCAACCTCAGAAATGAAAAAGGGGACATTATTATTGATCCTACATATTTAAACATATGGTAAAAAATGTTATGAATAATTTTATGGAAATATATATGAAAACTTAGTTAAAGGGAAAACTCCTAAAAATAATTTAATAAAATTAACCCAAGAACAAATAAAAAAATCTAAAGAGTCCTAATACTATTAAAGACACCAAATGGTAGTAAAAAAATCTTAAAGACCTAAGTAAATAGAGCGACATACCTTGTTAATGGAAAGGATGGAATAATATTACTAAATTATCAATTCTTCCTAAACTGACTTATAAGAGCAATCTAATTCCAATGAATTTTCCATTTTATAGTATAGGTGACCCTTGAACTAAACAGATATCAAGGCTGATTATGAAACTACAGGAATTAAAGAAGCATAAAACTGGCACAGGGGTAGAAAAATTGACTATAGAGACAAGAAACATCTAGGCACATATGAAACTTAGATGACAAGGGAGTCATGGCAGATCACAAAAGAAGTGCTGGGCCAAAAAGGGATTTGGCAAGATTAGTTATCTAGATGGAAAAACATAAAATTCGATCCTTGCCTCATACCATAATATCCAGGTGGGACACACACACACACACACACACACACACACACACACAAAGTGATTACTTTCTTCACTGTTATAGAAAGGTTTTAAAAACAAGACACAAAATAATTATAAAGAGAGAGATGAACATTTTTGTTCACGAAAAGATAAAGAAAATGAAAAGATAAGCTAAAATTTGGTGAAGATGTTTGCAGACAAAAATATAAAAGTAGAGTTAATAAGAAATAAAATGACACATACAAAGGACAAGCATCATAGTTGAAAAATGGGCAAAAGGCATTTACAGAAGAGATAACTTATAATATGGTCAATAATCACATGAAGAAATATTCAACTTTAGTGACTGGAGAAATGCAAAAGCCCAAACTGAACCTATTTCCTATTTGTTTCTTTTCTTTTTTTTTTTTTTTTTTTTAAATCCTCACCTGAGGATATGTTCTACTGAATTTTTTAAAAAAATATATTTTTATTGATTTTGTACAGAAAGGAAGGGAGAGAGATAGGGAGTTAGAAACATCGATGAGAGAGAGTCATCGATCAGCTGCCTCTTGAACATCCCCTGGGGATATGCCCGCAACCAAGGTACATGCCCTTGACCGGAATCGAACCCGGGACCTTTCAGTCCCCAAGCCGACGCTCTATTCATTGAGCCAAACCAGTTCCGGCTGTTCTACTGAATTTTTAAAGATAAAGAAGGGAGAGAAAGAGAGAGAAACATTAATCAGCTGCCTCCTGAACCTGCCCCAACCATGGAATGAACCCACAACCCTTTTAGTATATGGGATGAGGCTCCAACCAACCCAGTCACCTGGCTAGTGCTATTTCCTATTCATTTCAATGATTAAAAAAAAAAGATCTCACAATGCCAAACGTTGGAGAGATCACAGATTAATAGAATCTCTCTGCTAGTAAAAATGTAAGTTGGTACAGCACTTTGGAAAAACATCTGGGAGTTACCCTGGAAAGTTGAACATTCATATATCCTATGGTTCAGTAATTCCACTTCTGGAAATATAAACTCTTTCAAATGAATACAATGTGACATGAATAATAAAGCTCATAGAAACACAGTCCCTACTAGAGAAGCCTCAAATAGCTTTCAAAAGAAGAATGGATGGTAAATAATAATGGAATTTTAGATAGTAGTGAAATGAGGGCACTGTAGCTACATGCCACAATATGGATAAGCACATGCAACAATCTTTAAAAAAATAAAGTAAAGAAGTACAATTAAATGTTTAGTTGCATAGATTAAAAAAGAAACAAAGGACAAAACTCAAGAAAATGAGCAAAAAAGATTCAGGAGATCATCTCCCTCTAGGAAGGAGGCCAGGGACAGCACAGCTGAGAACCACACAGGAACCCATGTTCTACTTCCTATGCTGTGTCTGGGTTCATCTTTGTTTATATTATTACTAGAAGCCCGATGTATGAAGATTCATGCAAGAATGGGCCTTCCTTTCCCTCGCTGCTGTCATCGCCTTTCTGTTCCGGCCCCAGAGCTGCCTCTTTCGGCTCCAGCCCTGCCTTCCCATGCTGCCCAGAGGCCCTGAATGGCTGGGGCAGTATGGAACATCTGCATCATCCCACACCGCCCCTGGCTGCTCATGCCTGCATATGCAAACCAACCCACCATATTTGTTGGGGTAATTTGCATACTCACTCCTGATTGGCTGGTGGGCATCACAAAGATTTGGTCAATTTGCATATTTCTCTTTTATTAGTGTAGACAAGGGAACCAACCAAGGAATAATTAAAAGAGGGGCATGCATGGACCAAAAGTAAGATTTTGTCTACAATTAATTAATTCTGGACACCTGAGGGAAAAAGGAAACAACTAAAAGACCAGGCATGACATTTGTGGAGATAAAGCTCTACCCATTCAGACATGTGGTTTATGTGGTATATGCAGTATGGATAGCAGGTGACATGCTTGGGAGTTCAGTTGGTCACTTTTGAAATCAAAGTCAAGTGGAATGGCCATGGAATACCATGCAGCTGTAAAAAGGAAGGATCTCTCACCTTTTGGGACAGCACGGATGGACCTGGAGATTATTATGCTAAGTGAAATAAGGCAGTCAGAGAAAGACGAATATCATATGATCTCACTCATCTGTGGAATCTAATGAACAAAATAAATTGGCCAACAAAATAAGTACCAAGGCATGGAGGCAGGCCTGGGACAGACTGCCATATCTCAGAGAGGGGAGGAGATGAGAAGGGATAAACCAAATAAGTTATAAACTTATATGCATAGCTCATGGACACAGACAATAGTACGGTGAAGGCCTGGGTGGGGGGGCAGAGTGCAGGCAGGGTCTTTCTTAATTACAAAGGGGACAAGGGGAAGAAGAAATGGAGATACCTGTAATACTGTTACACAATAAAAAAAATATATATATATATATATATATATATATATATATATATATATATATATTATAAAAAGTCAAGTTGAATGGCCACAATTTCTTTTTTCCATGAAAGAAGGAATTGGTGAGACATGGCCATGGTGAGGGCAGTAGGCCTGGCCAGATTTGTGACTAAAGTCTCTACTCACTTTTCGTTTTGTACTGAAAGTACTGGGCATGTTTCTGGGCACGTCCACCCACTTGACTGTGCGCATGCGGTCATCCCAGTCGGGCACCTGGTCCGCAGGCTGCTGAAACATGATCTTGGAGACCTTGCACTTGATATCCATCTTCTTCATGTTGATGGGGATGTCCGACTTCATGGTCACCACTACATCCTTGGCACACCCAGGGTGGAGGTGGCCAGCCTGGGGAAGAGCCTGGTATTAGTAACTTGGGAATTCAATCTTGAGGACTCTAGCTACCGTGTTTCCCTGAAAATAAGACATCCCCTGAAAATAAGACCTAGCGCAACTTTGGGAGAAAAAATTAATATAAGACACTGTCTTATTTTCGGGGAAACAGGGTACCTCATGATGCCATTTTAAAAAGAAGGGGTAGGAGCAAAAGTATTGGCAAGAAAAAAAATCATCATTCAAGCGTGATATGAAGAGTGTTTTAAAGATATACTAGAGCTTCTTATATAGAAATATAATAACAAAAACAAGAGCAGCTAATATTTATCACAGGGTTACTTGCTTCAGGCATGATTCAACACCTGGCCACAATTCCACCAAACCCCACAACAACTCTATGAGATGTATAGCTGTTACCTCTACTTTACAGACAAGGAAAAACTGTGACTTGCTCAAGGTCATACTATTAGTAGTGGAAGAGCTGGATTCACACCCAGGCAGTATGGCTCCAGATACCACACTCTTAACCACCTGTGTTTCTTAATCCTATATAAATCATGGACAGATGTACATCGTACAGAAGCAGCTCTCACAGTGTGTTCTAGTGGTCCTTCGGATCCCAAGACCTTGTCAGGAGTCCATGAGGTCAACACCATTTTCATCATGATACTTTTTTCATTCTCATTTTCTCATGACTATACAATGGAGTTTTCTAGCAGTTATGTGACATATGATTAGGCTGAATGCAGAAGCAAATATGAGAATTAGCTGTCTTCTATGAGGTCAGATATTAAAGAGATTTATTAAAATGTAAAATAATGCCTCTATTCTCACACAATTTCAATTTTGGAAACTATAGCCTTTTTTAAATAAAAATATATTTATATGACCATGTGATGGGTTTATTATTATAGTTTAAAATTAACAAATGAATGCAGTTTTTAAAAACACTCTCAGTTTTTATTTCTAATACGGTAAATATTGATAGATATAACCTACATAAACAAAAGCTCTTTGGGGGTATCCTCAATAATGTTTAGGCGTGTAAAGAAATCCTGACACCAAAAAGGCTCAGATTTCCTGAAATATAGCAAATACACGAGAAATCCGATCTGGGCTATAGAAAAAAAATCATTTATGATTTCACAAACATAAACATGCACACATACACAACTCACATATATACCGAAACTCATATATAAACAAAAATCACATATATAAAACTACATACATACATATACACACACACACACACACATATGTTAGAGGCCTGGTACATGAAAATTTGTGTCCTACTGATGGTTTAGATATCCCTATTTCCTCCTAAGCCACAGTCTGGCCTCCCTCTGAAGGAGGCAACTGGCTGCTCAGGGGAAGGCGCAGCCTCCATCACCCTGCTGCTGCTGCCACTGCTGGCTGGCTGTTGGCCCTCCTTGGCCCTCGCAGCTGCTGCAGCTTTGTCTGGAAGGATGTCCGGAAGATGCCTGGTCTATCTGGTCTAATTAGCATATTACTCTTTTATTATAATAGTATAGATATGCTAGTCCTTTCACGTTGATGAAATTGCCTCTTCTGGAAAGTGAAAGGAGAAGAAAGCTTTGTATTTGCTTCCCAGGGCCACAGATACGTGTGTGCATAAACAGGAGCGTGAGTGTGAGTGTGAGTGTGAGTGTGTGTGTGTGTGTGTGTGTGTGTGGAGGGGTGTGGACTATAAGAAGCTTATATCTGTCTACTTTCACTAATAATTCACATCCCTCCAGGCAGCAAACCTTCCTCCTGCTAGCACTCAAGCTTTAAATGTGGGGCCCTAACCCCCTTGCTCTATGCCCTGAGAATTCTGTGTTTGAAGAGTTGGAGGCTTGAAAAGAACAGGAGGCAGTGGGTATGCCTGTGTGTATCAGTGTCCTGGGACCTCAGAAATCAATAATCAATGAAAAACGCCTGCTGGCCAGAGGCTAGGGTCTGCTACCATGTTGTCTGAGGCCTTGGTCAATGGTGAGATTTGGTCAGCAACTCACAAAATGTGCACTGTGAGATGCTAAAAGGAGGGGTTAGAAAATTGCAGGCAAAACACACTGAGCTAGGTGTTAGAATGCTGAAGGGCACTGGGGGTGTTTAAGAGAAAGATATAACTTGAAACAGTTTCTAAATCTCAGATGTCCACACTATTACCCCCATGTTATCTTTTAGTGAACCACTTTTTCAGGACTAATGCAAAGAACACACACGAAGGGGACACAGGTGTACACTCTGGGATAGGAAGACTGGGACCTGTTTCCATCCACACAGGCTTCCATGGAATTTCTCAACACCAGCCTAACAACAGTCTAGGCGGACCTCATCCTCTGCTCTTAGATCAGAGTGCGCGCGCGCGTGTGTGTGTATGTGTGTGTGTGTGTGTGTGTGCGCACACACGCGTGCACGCGTGCATGAACAGTGTGTCTTTCAATACTAGGTCTGAATGAGGTCCATCACATCCCTTGTATCCACGGGAATGGACTAACAATCAAATAGGGTTGGCTTAGGCCTAAAGAAGTCCAGAAACAGTAAGTAGCTGTCACTTACCTGTGGGGAAAAGGTAATTGTAGCTAAAGAGGGCCATTCAAACCGAATCGCATTCACTTGGCTGTGGTTAGTGATTGTGAAGCTCACATTATAGCTGTTTCCAATGTGGCAGTCCCCGAACTGAATGTGGTCCATCAGAGCAGCTAGGGAACAGAAGCAGAAGGCATGTGGGTCACCTGGCCTCCTCCCAGGGCTCCTACCTAGCTGAGGCAGCATTGGAAAGACAATGTGTCTCATCCTCATGTAACCCCTCTCTCCTTGGATTGTTCTATTGGGAAAACTGAGTCCTGAGCCGTAAGCTTTCCTTCCTTGGGGAATCTACTTATCCATCCATTCATCCATTCACCCACCCACCCACCCACCTTGGCCTTTACTTCCAAGAGAAAAGTGTCCCCACTCCATTTATTTGCTGAAACATCACTTCTAAAGGTTAGGGTTGCCAGATAAAATACAGGAGTCCCATTAAATTTGAATTATAGAATAATTGAATCACTATGCATAATTAAAATATATTTTATTGATTTTTTACAGAGAGGAAAGGAGAGGGATAGAGAGTTAGAAATGTCAATGAGAGAGAAACATCGATCAGCTGCCTCTTGCACACTCCCTACTGGGGATTTTTTAGAAAATATATTTGTATTGACTTCAGAGAAAAAAGGAGAGGGAGAGAGAGACAGAAATATCAATGATGAGACAGTCATTGATCGGCTACCTCCTACATGCCTCCCAAACTGTGACTTCCTGTTTCATAGGTTGATGCTCAACCACTGAGCCATTCCAGCCAGGTCTAAAATTCACATTTAATGGGGACTTCTATAGTCTGATTTTTTGAAATCTGGCAATCCTCTTAGAAATTTGATTTCTGAACTAGGGCTTACTGCTAGCTCCTGCTTGACTTCTGAGAAGAGAGAAGCCACCCTGTAGCCACAAACAGGGGTGAGGAGTGCTGATTTTTACCCATGTCATATAGATTGCGCAATGCTCCATTCCAGGACTATGATGAAGCTCCTAGAGAAACTATGAGACAGTATTGATATAACTCACTTCGTGGCAATTAGGCACACCCGTAGGGTGCTTAGCAAATGCTTTCTGAGGGTAATGACCAAGTAAATTTTCTGAAGCATGTGGCTCTCAAGCTGCAGTTTGCCAGCCCAGGTCTAGGATCCGTGGTGCAGATGAAACAGACAATGTCAACGTGAGCCAGTTAAGGGATACAAACATAGGAAACTACAGAGAGACGTGTCTTCCGTTCTTAGCTAATCTGGAGTTTGAAGTTTGGTGATTAGCTAAATTTGAATTGGAATTCAAACAATAAGTCCCGTAAGGGCAGAGACTCTTACTACTCATCACAACTCCAGGGCTCAGCACAGTGCCTGGCACATGCACAGCGGTGCCCTGTGAATGCCCCTCGAGGGAACACATGAATGCATGCAGTGACGGAGCCAGGCATGGAAAGGGTGTACAGTGACGAAGAGGAGAGTCAGTCCTAAATTCCCAGGAAGCTAGCTGACCTGTTATTTAAATTTCACTCTCATTTAAAATGACCCAAGAGCCAACAGTCATCAACACCTCACTGTTGCTTCTCCCACCTGCCACCAAGCTTTCCATGGATCCGTCCTCGATGACCTCGGACGTGTCCGGGGGCTCCCCACTGGTGGATGTCACCAGCCCGTGGATGTTGTCCAAGGTGATGTCGTCCTCATAGCCTTCTCCCACCACGTGGATGACTGTGTCCTCGTACTGGTTGTCGATCACTGACAAGTGGATTTTGCCTGTCATCCTCCCAACATGTTGGGCTTGGAAAACCACATCAAATTCAGCTGTCTCTCCAGGAAGAACCACCAGGGAGGCCGTGTGAGCTTTCTTTGCTGCAAGGGGAAGAGAGAAGAATGCTTTAGGGTTCGTGTAAAGGAAGACGCCATCCATCGAGACCCGACTCAAGGGAAAGTGTGGACGTGAGCACTGCTGAGCGTGGCCATTGGTGACAAGACATCCTGCTCTCCCTGGGTCCTGACCAGTGCCCCAGTGAAACAGTGACTGGGCTCCGCTGCTCCCTAGAAGCTACTCTTCCCCAACTTGCCTTTTGCATGGGGATTGTTTTCCTCTATGATGTAGATGTAGGAGGTCGTGGGCCTCCCTTTCAGGGAGAAGACTTCCAGTTGGTCCTGCAGGTCAACATGCAGCTGGAGAAAGAAAGCAGGATTGAGTGTTACACTGACAGGCTGCCCGTGGATTTTGAGTCTATGGTGAGATCAGCCAGCTAAGTAGGGTCAACATGGGTTTGCCACGACCTCTTGACAGAGGTAGTTGTAAAATATACTCTAGACCAGTGGTCGGCAAACTCATTAGTCAACAAGAGCCAAATATCATCAGTATAGCAATTGAAATTTCTTTTGAGAACCAATTTTTTTAAACTAAACTTCTTCTAATGCTGTTTATTCAAATAGAGTCGCCCAGGCCGTGGTATTTTGTGGAAGAGCCACACTCAAGGTCCCAGGTTCAATTCCGGTCAAGGGCATGTACCTTGGTTGCGGCCACATAGCCAGTAGGGAGTGTGCAGGAGGCAGCTGACTGGTGTTTCTTAATAAAATATATATATATATATATATATATATATATATTTAAAAAAGTATTCTTTGGTCGGTAGGAAAAGAATTTCAGATGTAAAGTTGGAGATGCAGGAATGAAAAGCAAAAACAAACAAAAAACGAGAGAGATAATCATGTGGGTAGACCTAAAAGAGTCTTAACTGTATAAACAACATCAAAAATAATAATAGAAATAATGTCTTGTAGGGTTTACAAAATATACAGAATCTGAAGCCCTTGACAAGCTGTCCCCTTACTCTGCCTCCTGTGTTTATCTCCACTGCTCTCCTACCTGTACACTATGCCCTCATGAAGCTGGTGTACCTTATGCTTTTTTTTTTTCTTGTGTGACTTTGCATTTTCTTTTGCTACCTGGATGCATTTATTCACTGCCATGCCCACCAACTAAAACCCAGTTACCTTCAATGCCACTCAGATGTCATTTGATAGTGAAAATTTCCTTGATCCCCTAGATGGGATAAAGGTCATTTTCAAAAGTCCTACAGTCCTTCGCATAACCCTTACACAATTTAGCATTTTTTTTTTTGTAAAATAAAATTTTACAAAATTCAATGGCTGAACCAGAAGTCCCTACAGATGCTACATCTCCCACCCCTAATGAGGTTTCTTTTGTTTTCCTTTATTATAAATGCAATGTTTGTTACGGAAAAAACAAAGACCACACTAAGAATACCCATAATCCCACCCACTAAGCTTGGTGTGTATCACTGTACACGGCCTCACACAGTAATAGTTAGTGGACTTTGTAATCTGCTTTCTCACACTCCCTGAAGGTAGATTTACCTCTGCATGTTCTGTCTTACACAGGTTAATGGATGAGGAACATCAAAGAAGTCCTCATACAAGAGGGATGGCAGGGACCTCAATGTCAGAAGTCTGATTAAAAAAATATATATATTTACTGATTTTTCACAGAGTGGAAGAGAGAGGGATAGAGAGTTAGAAACATTGATGAGAGAGAAACATCGATTAGCTGCCTCCTGCACACCCCCCACTGGGGATGTGCCCACAACCAAGGTACATGCCCTTGACCGGAATTGAACCTGGGACCTTTCAGTCCGCAGGCAGACGCTCCATCCACTGAGCCAAACCAATTTCAGCAGAAGCCTGACCTCTGAGGGATTCTTCTCCCTTTCTACCTGGCGCTTCACCCCCCCCCCCCCCCCCAAGCAATACCTTGGCAGGGATATTGCCATTGTTCTTGAGGATGAGAGGGAGTTTCTCTGAATGGCCAAGAAGAAGCTTCTTAAAGAGGAGCAAGGGGTTTCCATATTGGTTTTGGAGAATTGGCCGCACAATGGTCACCCGAGGGAGGGTCCCCTCTCCCATGATATCAAACACGAGGCTTCGGTTCTTGGTCTGGAGGCTGCAGGGAACAGGGAGATGGAGGCCCGTCAGCCCGGCATGGCAGGAGTGACATTCCACAGAGTGTGGCCTGCAGCCCCGCTGCAGGAGAGGTTGCTGGGGTGCTGGTACCTGGGCACGCCGTCCAAGGCAGCCTCGAAGATGCACTGGTACGCCTGCATGGTCTGGGGGGTGAAGGTCACCGTGGCAAAGGCATGTGAACGACTGGCAACGCACACCTTGTTGGGTTCCACTTCAAAGATGTCAGTGATGCGGGCGGTGATCTGGTGAAGGGGGGCAGGAACCCACACATGTGTTAGCTATGTGGCACTGATACAGGGCTTGCTGCTTATCTCTATTGCCCCTCAAGACTCTGGGGGAAACATGTTCCGTTGCCTGCATAGTCATGCCCCTGGAAGGGGCAGTCTAGATACTCTGGGACCCATCTTCCAGCAATAACTAAGTTTCCTTCCTCCCCCACCCCCCACCACAATGGACAGACTGCAAATTAGGACAGGGAGAACATATTATGCTTGCAACCCCCCTCTTAGAAACTTAGTTTTATATATATATATATATATATATATATATATATATATATATATATATATATATATATATATATAGTTTATTTATAGAGAATCCCTCACAGCATCCTGCTCCCTGTGGTCTGCCCAGTTCCCTCCTACAACTTCCAGCAGGGCCAGCGTGCCAGATACTCCCCACTCATGTAGGCGGGCTCCCAAGGGTCCTCTCCCCGGCTTTCTGCCGACCGCGGTGGGCTGGGGCCGAGTGGGCTGCTCACCTTGTTGGAGACGGGCTTGACCACAATGCTCACATCGCAGCTGATCTTCGCCACGTTGCTGATCTTGAACCGAGCCTTGGCCTGATGGCCCACCAGGACATTGCTGAATATGAACTTGTTCTCATCCTCCACAAACAGCCCCTGGCTCTCTGTGGTCTGCAGGATGTTGTACAGGTTGGCACTGTTGCAGATCTGGTGCTCCTCAAATATGGAGGCATTGTTGTCCGTAATGAAGGCTGGGGAGTGGAGGGAACACTTAGACGCAGCCTGATAGCCCGCTTCCTGCTTTCTCTAATTCCTCACTTGGAGGTTTGGATTCCGACAAGAGACAATCATAGGAGAGAGACAGGGCGTGAGTGATGGAACGTAGTCTAATTTCTTTAATACTGACCTTGTGGGTCGCCAGACCCCAACCACCGTCCCTCCCAATGGCAAGGAGGGGTAAGATCAGGGTCTGGGGTGGACTTAAGAAAGGAGGAGGCATTTGGCTCCCTTTGGTGCGAAGGCTGCAGGGATCCTCTAGCCAATGCAAAAGCCCTCCCTGAGCTCCATCTGAGATCCGCTGGGTTAAAGCTGCAGCATGCTCAGCCACGGACATTGTGCTCCGTGTGCGTGTTGTCCACCGGGAGTGACCTGGCCATGAACAGGCTGGCCATGAACAGACTTGTGCCGTATCCCATCGAACCATGATTCCCAGAGGACATTGGTCATCTAAGAATCCCAGACCCCACTCAGGAAGAGCAGGAGTTTAAAGCTGCATCTCCCCTTGTAAGTGTGCATGCCTTGTAAGTCTTTAGGGAGAAATGTGGCTGAAGACACTAGACGAAGTTCTAAGGCCCCGAAGGCAGCAGCCCAGCCATGCTTGCCCAACATGTGCATGGAGGAGGGGTTGTGGCAGAGAAAGGTCTTTTAAGGGATGCGGTTCCATCTAAGTGCTCTGTACCTGGTACACAGGCTTCAGCCAACAGGCTGTAAGGAATGCCAGTAGGGTGGTCTCGGGGGTCTCGGTCGGAGATTTCGATCGCCATAAACTCCTCACACCTTCCCACAGGGTCGGCCAGGCAGTCAACGGTGATGATCTGTTGTCCTCCGGCAGAGACGGTGCCAAACCCAGGATACACGGTGAACATGCCATGGCAGTAGCGTGCTTGCTGGAAAGAGTGAGATTGTAGGAGGGGTGGAGGTAAGCAGGTGACAGAGACTCAGCCCTTCTACCAGAGCTGTGAGATGGTGTCAAGAGGGACTGTTGGGGGATCCCCCAGAGGCTTTCTCTGGGGCTCAGTTCTTCTCTCGGAGGGAGGGCCTGGGAGTTCTTCAGGGAGGGGATCTCTGTGCTTCCTACTCAGCAAGGTCTCAGAGGAAACACAGAGATAACTCCTTTTGCTCTGACCAATCATGACAGAGTGGGGGTTTCAGGGGACAGACATGTTCCGCATCCTACAACACTTACCCAGCTGGGAATCTCCCCTCCATTCTGTTGTTAAACCCCTTCATGAAATTTTATATTTTACATTTTGCTTTTTTTTTTTTAAATTCCAGAATTCCTATTTGGTTCTTCTTTATGGCTGCTCCTTCTTTGCGGAGACTTACTGTGTTTTCAATTGTCCCGAGCATTTGTACTTGCTCACAGAAGCACTTTTTCGTTGGCTGCTTCCACGTCTTTGTCAGAGAATCCTAACGTCTCTGTCATGCCAGTGTTGCCATATATGGCTTGACTATTTTCATTTGGTTTGAGATCTTCCTGGTTCTTGGGATGACAAGTGAGTTTCAGGTGAAACCTGGACCTTTTGGATGTTATATTACGAGACTCTGGATCTTACTTAAACCTCTTTGACCCGGCTTTCTCCGATGTCTCTTCAGCATGGGGAAGAGAAGCACTGCCTCATCACTTCCAGGTGGGGGTGGTAGTTCAATTCCCCACTCAGTCTGTTCCAGCTCCCCACTAGTCCTCAACGGCTAGCTCCCTGGCAAGGCGCGGGGGGGAAGGGGAGGGAGAGGAATGCTTCCTTACTGTCCTATTGCTGCCTGGGCGGAAAGGTCCACTGGGGGTGGGGGAGAAATGTCTCACGATGTCTCATTACCACTGGGTCAAGGTGAGACTCAAAGCTCCACGTGGTGTCTCCACTAGCAATGGGGAAGAAGGAGGAGGGTCTTGAAACTCCTGGCTACCTCCTGGGCGTTCTTGGGACACCACTCTGGCTGGGGGTTGGGCACCTCCTCATCACCTGGACAGGATGAACGTCTTCCCATTGTCCTTTGCTAGCCATGGTCGGGTAGGATCCTAGGTCTTGTCATGTTCAGCTGTCATTTGAAGTTCTCACTTGAAGTTTTCTGGTTTACTAGGCTGCTCTTGTCCTGGTTGTTTGGCCGGTGGGACTAGGCTTTTGTTGGGGCCCTTTTTTGATCTGTGCCTGGTGATGTTTCTGGATTGCCAGCTCCTTAAGCATCCCGAAGAGATATATGAGGCAAAAGGAAAACTCAGGGAACTCACCACCATGATGTTCATTGGGTCCCAAGGACCCTCTCTGATCTGATCTTTTTTTCTCTCCTCCTGTTTTATACGTAATATCCAGGGATTTAGTGTGTACTTGGTTAGAAAGAGTAGGGAGAAGTATATCTAACTCCATCTTACCAGAAGCAGGTGTCTTTGAATCTCTTTTTATTTAAGCCAGTCTTATTGGGCTTCTGTTTCATATAAGCAAAAGATTGCTAAGTAAAATATATATCAAAGAGTTGAAATGTAATCGGAAGGCAGTGAGGAGCCAAAGAAGGTTTTAAAACAAAAGAGGATATCTCAACGAAAGGCCATAATACCTTGTCTTGAAATGAAAGTGATATTTCATTATCACTAACATTCCTGCCACAATAGATTTCAAATCCTGCTATCCTGGGGAGGGGAGTATTTGAGCAAAGGAACAGTTGGAAGGTGGCCTTACAGGGTTTCTTTGGACAAGGGAAAGCCTTACCTGGCTAGAGATGTTTATCTCTTTCTGAACAGTTTCAGAGAACTTGGTTGCTCTAGAAGGGGCAATCTTGTAGGAGCTCTCGCTTTCCCGGGATCTTAAATGCCTCACGTGGCCGACTCTGATTAAAGAAACAAGAGTACAGCCTTAGGTTGGGGTGGTGATGTCAAACACCGCCTGTCTGTCTGCTTGCAAAGTCCCTTCTCCTAGGAATGGGGGAAGGGCCCTTTTTTGCCCAAGAGGACATTGGGGGTAGCATAGTCAGCATTCATCATTAGGCAAACTCATTTAACAACTGTGAGAAAATTATGCAGTAATTGTACTTGTTACATATGACTCATAAGGACATTGCAAATTATTCTGCAAGAGAATAATAGTTTTAAAATATTTACTTGAGTTCATTGGAAAGGAGAGTGTAGAAATTATTTCTAGACATCAAATCTTTTACCTGATGTCATTTAAAAAAAAAATGAAATGGTCAATAGATTAAATTCTGGCCTTTTTTTTCACATTGATAGTCATGATGTTTGCTTGTTGTTGTTGTTTTTTTTTTAATCCTCACTCAAGGATATTTCCCCCTCCCAATCCATCTCTAGAGAGAGTGGAAGGGAGGGAGGAGGGGGAGAGAGAAAGAGACACACATCGGCATGAGAGAGACACATCGATTGGTTGTCTCCTGCACATGCCCTACTGGGGCTGGGGAACCTGCAACCCAGGTATGTGCCCTTGACTAGGAATCAAGCCTTTGACACTTTGGTCTGCAGGCCGATGCTCTAACCACTGAGTCCAATTGGCCAGGACAGCCACGGTATTTTTAAGATGTAGCTCGAGGAATAGCACAAACACAAGTTTGGGTAACTGTTCACTTCACTTGAAGCTAGTTTACCCAACAATTAATTTTCCTAGCGGCTAGTTCCCCTAAAATATCCAAATGTATTTGAGGTTAAATTTTAACCTTCTGAGAGATTTATATATTTGAGCATTAATTTGTTTAATGACCAAATGAAGATAGAACAACTGAAGTTCTATCCTCTTTTGAGTATTTGCATAAATTTGTGCATGCTAAAGTGAAAAATAAACAAAAAACAATATAAAGAAACACATAATTATATTATAATATCTATAAATAAACATTATTGAATTATTATAAAATAAGTAAAAAATTAGGTTGAAATTAAATGAGGAAGACAGAGACTTTCAACAGTTTATCAACAACAACAAAAAAATCTCTTAATACTTTGCCAAAATGAAAGAGGATATCCACAGAAGTGTAAAACAACTACAAACAATGTAAAGGTGTATGTTTGCCTGATTTAAGCCAATTTATTAGAAAGTCAACTGTAAGTTAATGAATAAAACATTTTTAATTAATTAGAAAGTATGTGAAACCTGGAGTCAGAGATATGGCTCACAATTGAAATCGACTGGTGTGATTTCTTGCATAATCTTGGACAAGTAATTTTTTATTTTTTGAGAGAGGAAGGAAGAGGGATAGAGGAACATTGATCAGTTGCCTCTTGCACGCCCCCTGCCTGATGGGACCAAACCCACAACCTGGGTATGTACTCTGATAGGGAATTGAACCAGCCACATTTTGGAGTATGGGATGATGCTCTACCCAATTGAGCCACGGGGCCAGGATGGACGAGTCATTTCTTAATGACCTCACTCACAACAGGGAATAAGGTGAATTTAGATAAAATACATGAACGCGCATTGTAAAATATAAAGCACTACTTGACTGGGGAGTGGCATGAGTCAAGCAAATGGGTGTCTTACGTTTTCTTCTGAACGACGCTCTCCCCTGTCATCCTGTAGAGGGTGTACTTGAAGTCAGTAATACCTTGATTTTCTATGGTGAAGGTGGTGCTTTTTCGAGTGCCACAGATCAGAGCCCCAAAGTTGATGATGGAGGAGGGGCTGATGCTGTATTTGGAGAACACTGCATTCATAGAACACCTAATTGGGATGCTGGCAATGATCTCAGTTCCATCTGCCATATTGGGCTCAATGATCTAGAAAGGAAAGTAGGATTGGGAAGACATCAGCTACCGGCATAGCTCCAGAATTCCAATGACTGTCTAATTCATTGCCTATTTTCCTCGTTGACATGAAGACATGTTCCTTTCATTCTCTTTCAATTATTGCATCAACAATATTAGAAAATACTAATATAAAACTTACTATGAACTAGCCATGGACCATCTTAGACAAGCGATTTTCAACCTTTTCATAGACACTAATTACTAAAATTTTGCAGCACACCAAAAAATACATTTTTTTTGCCAATCTGACAAAAAAAAAATAGGTATAATTTTGATTAGTTCGCACCAGGTGGCTATTGTTATGTTGGCTGTTGTCATTTTTAAAGTTTATAGTCTAAGGGAAAAGAGGCCAGTGCCCCTGACTAAACAGTCAGGTGTTGCATGTTTTAAAAATTCCCGGGGCACACCCGTTGAAAATGGCTGACACAGACCAACTCTGCCTCCTGTTTTCACTTCCCCACGCCTCCTCTGCACTTGATGACTAACCTCGGCTTCCATGTCTCAGCAGCTCCCGAAAGATCAGGGTTCGCATTGCCTTTCTGGCGCTCTCGATTCTGATGACTTTGCCTACCTCCCACCTTTCCTACCTGTACCTACGAGTTGGGGACCAAACCCTGGTGCATCCTCTCTGGTTGCCCCCCAGGCCAGCCCTCCCTTTCCCCCTTTGGAGCATGGGTTAGACCAGTGGTCAGCAAACGGTGGCTCACGAGCCACATGCGCTCAGAAGCTGTGGTTTGCCACTCTGTTGACTAATGAGTCTGCCGACCACTGGACTAGACTCAATGTTACTGTGTTGGAAGCTGTGAGGATCAGGCAATTGTGGCATATCGTGTGCAAAGAGGTAAAGGGTAGTATACAGTAGTCGGCAAACTCATTAGTCAACATAGCGGCAGATCACAGCTCTTGAAATGCATTGCGGCTGGTGAGCCGCAGTTTGCCGACACCTGGGTTAGACTATGTGCTCTTCTTTCTTAGATGCATCTTACAACCCTGCCATTGAGCTCTCCCTTTGAGCTCTCTCACCTGACAGCGCAGGACCGGCTGCTGCTCTATCTTCACTTCCTTTTTTGCACGGAAGAACACCTGGACATTTGTGGGCTTATCTGTTGTGGTCAGTGAGCCCTTCCTGGGTTGGACTGAGATCATAGAATTTATATTGGTCGATGTAAGGCCTACAGAGTCCACAGAAAAGCTGAAAGAAATGAATGAAAGTTAGTATAAGTCATTATCCAGGGAACCCAAGATACTAGAGAGCAAACTCTAGACTGTTAAGTGCCTGCCATGTCTCTGGCCCTGGTTAACTAGGTTGCTTAGCAGTGTCCATTGTGTGTTGCACTCTGTGACCATCCATCCTTCGCCAGGATTGACCGGGCCAGTGAGTGATGCTTGAGGCAAAGATAGCCATCTCTAATCTGTGGTCAAGAAATCTCTTTCCAACAGGGAGACTTGATGCTGGATAAGGATCAACTAGATTAATTCATCTCCCTCCCTCCCTCTCTCTTTCCCTCCCCACCCCTGTTCCTCCCTTCCCTTTCTGAGACTGGATGCAGCACACACAGAAGGAACAGTGATGCAGAAGACAGGGGATCCAAGAAAGAAGAGAAAGGGGGCCGAAACCGGTTTGGCTCAGTGGATAGAGCTTCAGCCTGTGGACTGAAAGGTCCCAGGTTCGATTCCGGACAAGGGCATGTACCTTGGTTGCGGGCACATCCCCAGTAGGGGGTGTGCAAGAGGCAGCTGATAGATGATTCTCTCTCATCGATGTTTCGAACTCTCTATCCCTCTCTCTTCCTCTCTGTAAAAAAAATCAATAAAATATATTAAAAAAGAAAAGAAAAGAAGAGAAAGCAGGGGCGGGGTGGGGGGGGGAGAGGGGAGGAGCAGAAGCCCTGTAAGAGAGGCCCTCAGAAAGGGTGGCTGTGGCCCCAGGGAGGTGAGGTGGGATACCACAGAGAGGAGCTGACTCATGAAAATGGCAGGGGATTGGAGAAGGAGCAAGGAACTTAAGCTGAGATGAGACTCCTGGAGTTGCATGCCATCCCCATGCCCCAGGGGGCCCTGGTCACTCCATTGCTGCCTGCAGGTGCCTGAGCTCCCCAACCTCCCTGCACAATCCCCTCGTCTCCTGTTGGAACCAGAGGGCGACTCTTCCGTGCGACCTGAAAGAGCAGAGCTAACACCCTGCCATAATCTGAAACAAAACTCGCAGACAGGCACAGCTGCATTCAGCATTAGTGCCTGAGTGCCAGTGGCTTTCTTTTAGGTCTGCTAAGCTTTCGCTTGTATTTATTTATTTCAATACACAGTTCTAACTAATGGTAGTATTGAAGTGGCACCTCTCTAATTTTCAGCATTTTTTGAGCTAAAACAAAACCATCATGAATACACTGAATTTCTTCCAAATTATCAACTGTGAATTTTCCTGGGGAAAGGATGGCTTTTATAGAAATGGATTGGCCGTGGGTGCCGGCACTGCCACTGAGGTTTGTGTGACCCTGCCTGAGTGACCTCTTCCCTCGCCCCACCAAACACCACCCTTTCCTTTCTCAGGAAACTCCCTTAGGTAGTCTTCCATTAAAAAAAAAAATTAAGTTTATTGAGGTGACACTGGCTAATAAGACCATACATGTTTCAAGTGTACAGTTCAATAAAACATCTTCTGCATATTGCCCTTGTGCACTCACCAGTCAAGGTCAAGTCTCTTCCTATACCTATTTATCCCACCTTTGCCCACTTTCCCCTCCCTGAATCCTCTTTTTCCCTGGCTATCATCATATATATTAATTTCAGAAAGAGAGAGAGAGACATTAATGATGAGAAAGAATCATTGATTGGCTGCCTCCTGCATGCCCCCTACTGGGGATGGAGCCAGCAACCTGAGTATGTGCCCTGACCAAGAATAGACTATGACCTCTTGGTTCAACATCTGAGCCACGCTGGCTGGGCTATCATCATATTTTTAATCTTAAGAGATGAGCACAAGCTGGACCTCTCGTCCACCAGGATGTCATTAGGAACGTATACAAACAGTGCTTCTTAAAATTAAAAAAGAAAATCCGAACATCTACCCACCTGAAATCTTATGTAGAATGCCAATTTATGAAACAGGGGAGCTGAAGAGGGCAGGACAGCTTGAGGCCAGGTTCCCCATCTCTGCCTCTCCCTCCACCCCAGGCCCTCCTCCTCCCAGTATCTTCTATTCACACATCTCCCCCTCAGGTCCCGTGGCTCTAGGTGCCTTCAGAGGACCCTTAAGGGTCTCCACAAAGTCGCAGAGTTGAGAAGAGTGTGAGAATCTCTGCTCTCTTAGCAGTTAGAATTCCCTTCATTGAAACCAGGAGAGGCTAAAAGCAGAGATGGTTCTTAACGATTGTCCCAATCTTTTTTTAAATCTCCCAGACGTATTTTTCTGCCCAGGAGTGGACACAGATGGCCACATGCTGGATGGTTTCCGGGTTACCTGTACATGATCTCGTATTTCCCACGGTTCTTCAGTTGCAGGGGCTGCTTCACTTCCTCCATGACCCTCACGGTCCCAAAATCGAGTCCTCCTTCAGCTCCTGCAGAGGCCAGGGCCGGGATGGGGAAGTTAGTGGGCATGGGAACAAGAAACAGGGGGCCTTCCTATTGCAGGTCACATGGAAAATCCATGCTGACAATTTCAGAGAATTTGTTTTCTGAAAACATCATTGCTAGAAAAGCTTTTGTAATTGCATCTTAGCAAACAACAGACACTGCTCTTGCACCCAATTCAATGGGGCAGCTCCCTCTGCTTCCATCCTAGGATCACAGTCCTTTGTATGTCTCCAGTAGCTAAATCTCCCAGTATTCAAACAATTTGTTTGCACCAAGCATATGCTGTACAGAGTTGAGATATTATATATAAATTTGTAATACTTTACTTAGCATTACTTCATAACAATTTCCACACATAATTAACAACTCCTCATCAAAGTGACCTTTTGTTGTTGTTGTTGTTGTTGTTGTTAATCCTCAGCCCAGGATATTTTTCCATTGATTTTTAGAGAGAGAGGAAGGGAGGCAGAGAGACACACAGAGAGAAATGTTGGTGTGAGAGAGACTCATCAATTGGTTACCTCCCACACGTGCTCTGATCAACTGGGGCCGGGGAACAGAGCCTGGAACCAAGGTACATGCCCTTGAACATAAATTGAACCTGTGACCCTTCATTCTGTGAGCTGGCACCCTATCCACTGAGCCAAACTGGCCAGGGCGTCTTCAATGTGATCTTAATGGGTGTACAATATATTATGATATGGCTCTTCCATAATGTACAGTACTATTCCTACAATAACAATATTCCATTATTGATAGAAACTTAGGTTATTTCCAATCTTCCATTGTTATAAATAATGCTGTGGTAAATATCTTTGTACATAAGACTGATGACATGTAGGCAAATATGTAGTTCTAACATCCTATGAATCTTGTTGAGGAGATCTATCAGGGAAAGAAGGGAGGTGGAAAAGGGCATGGTCAAAGTATCTATCTAAGCTGGGTGATAGGGCCGTGTGGTGAGCAGAATCATGCCATTCCTGCCCCAAAGGGACCTGGGAATATGCTAGTTTAGATAGCAATGGGGAATTAAGGTATCAGATGGAATTCAGGTTGCCGATCATCAGCCTTTAACATAAGGAGATTATCCTGGATTCTCTGAAGGACCCAATGTAATCATAAGAAACCTTAAAAGTGAAAGAGAGAGACAAACATGGGAGAACCAGAGACACGGCAACTCGAGAAGGGCTTGACCCAACATTCCTGGCTTTGAAGATGGAGGAAGGGGATCATGAGACAGGAAATGGGGGTGGCTTCTAGAAGCTGGAAAAGGCCAGGAGATGGATTCTTGCCCAGAGTTTCCAGAAAGGAACACAGCTCTGCCAACACCGTAATTTTAATCCAGTGGCATTCACTTTGGATTTCCTGACCCACAGGACTGAAGGATAAGAAATTTCTACTGTTTGAAGCCACCAAGATTGTGGGAATTGGTTACAGCAGCGATAGAAGACTAATACAGGCAGGAAGATGGTACCCACTCTCAGATGACTGTTCAGAAAAGATCTCTGCAAATGTTGGATCTACACGACCCCTCCCCCTGCTGTCCTTGCAAGTTGGACTAACAGATTCTAGTAATGTTGTTGACATCATTCTGGGGTGTGCGTTACTATTTACTGAAATTCTACCCCTCCTCCAAACAACCACCCAAAGATTCCTATCTCAGGAAATGTCACCCTCCACCCAGTATATTTCTTGTCACCCTCACAAGCACTACATTGCACCAAAAGATGTGACCACTAAGCACCTTTGGGGAAGGTGATGTCCAAGGCCATATCATAGGACTCTGCAATGATCATGATGTTTTCAATCTGAACAACTCCAACAAGGTTGTCTGAGTCCAAAATCTGTTGGGATGAGAGAGAGTCTTCAGTAAAAGCAAGACCCACGAGGTGCTTAGAGCCTGAACTATGTAACATGCAGTGGGAATCATGAAGGGGATGTGATAGGAATATTAATTTTTTTAAAAAATTCTATCCTATGGGTATGTCCTACAGGACAGAATTTTGTTTCTGCCTTTTTTTTCCCCCCTCACCTGAGGGTATTTTCCCATTGATTTTGGAGAGAGTGGAAGGGTGGGGGAGAGACACAGAAAAAGACACATTGATTAGCTGCCTCCGGCACAAACCCCGCACTGAACATTTGGTAAGAGTAGTGTTCCTCATAGCACCCATTGGGGAATACTGGTGTAGACCATCAATATAAGAATGGGAAAATGAGACCGAATTTTCTATCTTGCCCAATTACTGAGTTTAAATTATTTGCATGATTGTTGCAATATTGTTGAAGTTTGGGCTGTGAGTATACATGGCAGAAAAGTGTTCTTTAGAACTCTTAAGTAAAATAAACCTGAAGAGCATTCTTATGATAACGGAAATGGAAAACTTGTATATTCCTAATCATCCTTGCTCTACTAATTTGGTAAATCTGAATTGTTCTGTTCTTTGTTTCTGGCTCACTATGTGGGAAAAGCCCTTGATTTTATGTTTTTCTTTTGCAAATTTCAAATGCCTTATTTACATGAACATAAATGTTTTAAAGTCATAAATGTAAAAAACAAAAAAACAAACCAAAAAAAAAAAAATGCAAAAGCAAGACCCCAGCCTTCAGTTGCTCACTGTCCCCCTCTGTTGGCATCCCTGGGGGTAATTCCTCTATAACTGTCCCAAGAAACATCTGAACTGGTGTCAGCTCAAACCAACCATTGACTCCTGAGACTAGTGAGGGGGTGAGAATGGGTCCATTTGTCATGGTGAAGGGCACTGGGTTGTGGGCACAGCTCTCCTGGATCTGCCTAGAGATCACCCGCTTCTCTGCCCAAGCTGCCAGTTGACAAATTGTCAGCACTCCCACATGCTTTGGGTGCCAGGAGGGAAATTTGTGAATATCACCAAATTCGAGTTTTAACTCGGGAGTTTCCATCTTTTCTTTCGCCAAGCACTCATTCACTCTGCATGGACTGAGTGCTCTGTTCTTAGCACTGGGAAATCCGCCATGAAAGAGACTGGCTTCAGGGAGCTTACAGTGTGTGCAGAGCAGATATTGTGGGTGGGCACTGTCAAATGGAATTAGATAAGAGTGTGTAACTGGGAGACCTGGCTTAGTGTGGGTTGGCAGTGTGAGGGTGTTGGTAGTGTGTGTGGTGTGTGTGTGTGTGTGTGTGTGGGCAGTGTGTGTGCAGGGTTGTGTATGTATTTGTGTTGCTAGTGTGTGTGTATGTGTTGGTAGTGGGTGTATGTGTCAGGGATCCCAACGTGGACACATTTTGACGACCACGTCTGAAGATGGGTGAAGCCTCACCTCCAATCGAATCGGCTTCTTGATGCTGACAGGCTTGGAGGGTTGGAAGTGCACATACAGGCTATACTCAGCCTTGGGGGGGACAGTGCCCTGTGGCAGGGACACGGAGAAGTCCTCGCCCAGGTGTTCCAGGCTGGTGATCCGCCAGGCCACGGGCAGGGCTGTGACGTTGTGGAGCAGAACTAGTTTGGATTCTTTTCTGAAGAGACCAAAAGACATTTTGTCAGTTTCAAATGATTTTTGATTTATGATGGCAGGGCAGAGGAAGTACTTCTGGTTATTTCAATGATAGCTTAGTTCACTAATCTGTATTGATCAAGGAATGAGGCCTGACAGTATCAACCAAAGAATGCAGCATCCATATCATAATAATATTTCATCCATTCTGTCCCAGCAGCTCCAGAAAGAAACATTCTTACTTAGAATCACAGATTCCAGGGAATGGATATGGACGTCCTAGTTTTGATCTAATAGTCTCTGTTTGTGCTATAATCTCTAGGCTAAATATTCTTAAACTTTTAGGGTAATGGGCTGCTTTGAGAATTGGGAAAAAGCTAGTCTTTCTTCTGAGAAAAATGCAATGTGCTCACACTTTGGCGGTTGGGTGTCTTAATGCTGCTGAAGTCTGGCAAAAAGGACTCCTAACCATCCTGATTTGCACAGGACCAGAAGTTTCCCATCACGTAGGCCTTAAAGTGTTTAAAGCCTGGAAAGCCCTGAGCAAATCAAGATGAGTTGGCCACCCTAGAACTAAATACTCTCTCAATTCCGTCCCACTCTGGTGGCATCGAGAACGCTGACCTGTGCAACAGAAGCCGGTCAAAATGCAATTGCCTGGGTTCCACATCCAGTTCTGGGCGGACCCCCTCACAGCTTAATTTGAAGATGGCAGGTTCTGGGTTCTCCTTGATGCAGCAGACTATGCTGTCTTCAAAGACCCCGACAGCAGTAGGGTAGGCCCACACGGTCAGCAGCTAGTGGAAGAGGCAAAACAAAGGGCATTTACTCACTGGGGGAGGCCAAGGCCTCAAATTTCCCAAGAAAGTCTTGCTCTGGGTGGACTGGCTTCCATGGGGCTGTACCTGCTTCTCGTTGGGTTTGAGAATCATGCTCATGGGTTCCAGGAAGTAGGTGTTTGCTTTGACATCATTCTGGAAACAGAAGAACACCTCCGTGACCAGTGGGGAATTGTTCAGGATTGTCAGTGTCTCCATGTTGCCTGGGAACAAAGATGACTTATACCTGGAAGTGAACAAAAAACGAGGGATAAATTAGGGATGTGGATGTGAGGATTGACTGAGATCTCAGATGGAAAAAGGCAGTGGCGGGGATCAAGACAAATTCCAAAGGACAGCGTGGTTACACGGAGGCAGCCCCCAAGTCTCGGTCTCCTCATCTCTAAGATGGGAGGATGGTACCTTTTAGGATTTCTGGGAGTATTAAATGAATTTGTGCAGCCAATGCTCTTAACACAGCAGCAGATATCAAATGCTCAAAAAAAAGAAAAAAAAGAAAAAGAAAAAAAAAAAAAGGTAGTTATTATGGTAAAGAATTCTAAGAAATATACAGCTCTATCCTTTCCAGGGCTTGTATTCTCAGAAGAGCTGATCATCTGAGTAATTTACTTCACATCTGTCTCAGAGATGACCTCCTTCACTGCCTTTGGCACCCGCACAGGATGTCACTGTTCCGCCCTGGACCCATTTGGCGATGTTGGCTGTGTTTCCTGGGACATTAGGATGAGAGCCATAGAGTCCAAGCAGCCTGAGCCCTGGAAGCTGCTCAGCTCTTGGCACTCAGAAAAGGAGCCGTGGGTAGCACAAGAAATGCCGGGAAAGGCACACATCATCAGAGAGCATAGCGTAGGCCAGGAAAGCAAGGTACCCTAGTACCCACTGGTGCCCAGAAACAGCCCGCAAAGCTTTGAGGACAGGCTATGGTGGAGGAAGGAGAGAGAGTGCATGGCAGAGACCAAACCAGAGTCAGAGAGACAACACTGTCACTATCTGGGGGACTGCCGGAGGGGTAGTGGCTTTCACAGCCACCCTCCAGCGCTGTGCTATGAGCCTCACGTGTGCAATCCAGGGCAGTCTTCACAAGTCTGGGAGGTGGGTGCTGTTGTTTTCCCACTTGGCAAATTAGGACGCGGAGGCTCAGTAAGGTTTAAAGAATAAATGGATTATACCTGGTTGCTCTGGTCCTTGTTTCTGGGCCACTGTAATTGTCCTTCTCCTGGACCAGTGCTGTTTGCCCCCAAATCCTGTGTTCCAATTCCAGTGCTGTCCTGAACGGCCATGTTTTCCCTGATTCCCACCACCAGGCTTCTCTGTACTTCATGCCCATCAACCTGACTCACACTCCTCTCTTCCAAGCCCTTCTCCTGGGCCTTAAAGATCCTCTCTATCATCAGCAAACCTTCTTCACTTTCACTTCAGGAAACAAACTGGGGGGATTAAGGGAATGGGGGAACAAAGATGGCTCTTTAGCTCCAACAGAAAAATAGAAATAAACCCTCTATACTTATCACAATGCATGCTAGACTGAATGATGATGACATGTTGAGACCTTGGTTTCAGTTTGGGTCTTACCTTCCTGCCTATAGAATAAGGAATTTGTCTATAACTGAAAAAAACTAATATCACAAAAAATGTATGATCATCAACCTTACCTGGGCTTTCAATTTTGCTGGGAATCTTAATCTATTTTTCTAATATGTTCTCTCACTTTCCACAAAATCTTTTTCTCACTTTCTCTATTTTCTCAACATTTCCCTCCACTTCCCTCGCTGGGGAAGTCCTCCCATCATTTCCCATGGAGACAACAGGCAGTTGCACGGGAACCTTCTCACTGTTCCAACCAAAATCTGTAAGCCTACCTGCACCTGAAACCATCTCACCTTCATCCCTGCTTGTAATAGATGAAGGCCACTCTTCCTGGCAAAGCCAATATCTACGTATTCCATTGTGTTGTCTTGGGGAGCTGACAGCCTGTACTTTATCCTGCAACTCCAACCTCTCCCTCCCTACTTCCCCTTGGCATTCAAACATTGTAAGAACTACCGTGTATGAACAGCCCTCCCTGAACTCCATGCCTCCCTCCCATTTTCAATTCCCTTCACAGCCGAGCTTTCCCAAAGAGCTATCTTCACACCTAGCCTTCATTTTCTCACCCTCCATGGACTCCTCAAATTATTTCACTTGGGTTACATCTTCAGAAATTCCCCTCACAAGAGCTTTTGCTAAAGCCCCTGGGGATTTCCATGTTGTTGAATCCTGTGGACATTGATGTCCTCATCTCTTTACCTTCTCTGCTATATTCAACTGTGGTCAATAATACCCTCCTCTTAAACAATAAGAAAGCCCACTGTATGGGAGAATACATTCTCCCATACAGTTATCAATGATAAATGTTATCAATGATAAAGGTTTAATCTCCAACATCTACAGACAGCTTATACAACTAAATAAAAGGAAAATGAATGATCCAATTAAAAAATGGGCAATGGACCTAAATAGAATATTTTCAAAAGAAGACAGAAGGAAGGCCAAGAGGCACATGAAAACATGCTCAAAGTCACTAATTATCCAAGATATGCAAATCAAAACAACAATGCGGAACCATCTCACACCTGTCAGAACGGCCAACATCAACAAATCAAGTCTTGGCGAGGTTGCAGAGAAAAAGGAACCCTTGTGCACTGCTGGTGGGAATGCAGACTGGTGCAACCACTGTGGAGAACAGTATGAAGTTTCCTCAAAAAACTGAAAATGGAACTCCCATTTGACCCAGTAATCCCACTCCTAGGATTATATCCCAAGAAACTAGAAACACCAATCAGAAAGGATATATGCACCCCTATGTTCATAGCAGCACAATCTACAATAGCTAGGATTTGGAAACAGCCTAGGTGTCCATCAGCAAATGATTGGATCAAAAAACTATGGTATATCTACACAGTGGAATACTATGCTGCCACAAAAAAGAAGGAACTCTCATCATTTGCAGCAACCTGGATGGAATTGGAGAACATCATGCTGAGTGAAATAAGCCAGTCAATGAAAGAGAAATAGCACATGACCTCACTCATTTATGGATAAAAAAGAACATTATAAACCGATGAACCAAAAGATAGATATAGAGACAGTAAAGCAATAAGCAGACTGTCAAATTACAGCAGGAGGGAGATAAAAGATCAATTGAAGGACTTGTATACATGCATATAAGTATAACCAATGGACACAAAACTCTGGGGTATAAGAACTCAGTTCTCCTAATTTGTGGTTCAGGGACCAAGGCAGCATTAATAAAAGTTATGTCTACAGAGAAACTCTGCTTGTACCATTCATGAGCCCAACCCAGGGGTCTAAAATCTGTCTTGAGATAATGGCACACTTACTTATCTCTTGATTTTCCACAAAGCAGCGGCCCAAAGCAAAAGGTGTCCATGCTTATAATATACTTCTTAAAGACGATCTCATCTGTTTTCATGTCCATCTTCCGCTGAGGGAATACCACTCTGAACACAGGGGAGGAAGAGAGGAGGAGAGGCTGCTTGAGAGGAAGTTCAATGCCACCCCCTGATGTTTACATGAACCCAACACTCCCTGTTCATCAAAGGGTCCAGTTGTCTGGAGACAGAAGACTCTTAATTTGAAGACTTTTGTTGAGCCTTTATTCCTTCTCCTTCCCTTCCCCTGGCCTGAGTGAAAATAGTGTAGTTTGAACTTGGAAAAAAAAAAAAAAGATTCCTACTACCGTCTTTCATAACGAGGGGCTGATGATAGAATTGAGTTGGGTGAACTGTTCTGGTGTGCCCAGCTAGAAAAATTCCCCAGAATCCCATAAAAAACTAGTTCTTGTAGATATTAACTAGTTTCTCAGTTCCTTGTCCAACATGGCTCCTTAATCAGAATTGCAAAAGGCCCTCTTGGTGGACAAACTATAAAAGGCCCCTTCCTTAGGGGCGGGGAGGGTGCTTGCCCCACTAGCTTGCTCAGCCAGGTGCCTTTATGTGGTGCATAGGGGGCTCATAAAAAAGCTCACCCATCGAGACTCACACCTATCACAGCATAAAATATCTTATAGTAGATATAAAACCTGTTTGTTTGCTTAATAGTTGAATAAGCAAAGTAACTGGTCAAATATTAGCTTCATCTCAATCTCATAGTATCACATCATTCCTGTGGCTTAGTCAGGGTCTAAGACACGGAAGCCCAGTATAAAAGGATCTGGGAGTCTGTCCCAGTTCCACCTTGGTATTAATATTAAGAGTCTCCGTGTTCAGCCCAGTCAGCATGGCTCAGTGGTTGAGCATTGACTTATGAACCAGGAGATCATGGTTTGATTCCCAGTCAGGGCACATGTCTAGGTTGCAGCTCGATCCCCGTGTTTAGTCATTTAGTTGTCCCCCACTAACCCTCCTGCCAGCTTGGTCAGAGGCAGCCATCTTGTGAGGACGTGAGGGTCAATTTGCATATTAGCTCTTTATTATATAGGAAAGATACTCTGAGTGGCCAGATTATTATGTATTTAGAGATCATAATAATCTGGCCACTCAGTGTATCTTGTATTTAGAGATCATAATAATCTGGCCACTCAGTGTATCTTGTATTTAGAGATCATAATAATCTGGCCACTCAGTGTATCTTCCCTATATAATAAAGAGCTAATAGGCAAATTGACCCTCACATCCTCACAAGATGGCTACCTATGACCAGGCTGGCAGGAGGGTTAGTGAGGGACAACTAAATGACTGAACAGCAGGCTGCATGGGGTAACCAGGCCAACAAGGGGGAAGGGGGAAGTTGTGGGAGACCAGGCCAGCAGGAGGGACAGTTGGGGGCAACCAGGCTGGCAGGGGGGCAGTTAGGGGTGATCAGGTCAGCATGCAGAGGCAGTGAGGGGTGATCAGGTCGGTGGGGAGGGGAGGCAGTTAGGGGTGACCAGGCAGGCAGGCAGGTGAGCGATTAGGAGCCAGTGATCCAAGATTGTGAGAGGGAAGTTCGACTGGCAGTTGGACATCCCTCAAGGGGTTCTGGATTGGAGAGGGTGCAGGATTTCCCCCCCGCCCCTTGCACAAATTTCATGCACTGGGCCTCTAGTGTATATATATATATATATATATATATATATATATATATATATATATATATGGCTAAGTAACTGGCTGACCAGCCGACTGGCTGACCAGCTGGTAAGTATGATGTTCACCGACCACCAGAGGGCAGACATTCAAAGCAAGAGCTGCCGAGCTACAGCAACTTTGCAGAGTGCCCTCTCCCATTCTGGGACCCCTCGGGGGATGTCAGACTGCCGGTTTTGGCCTGATCCCTGGCAGGCCAGGCTGAGGGACCCACCCACTCTGCAGATGCCCTTTAAGCCCTGGTGCCGCCCCAGGGCATGTCCAGCCCGTCTCGCCCAGTACCACCCAGCTGGCCACTTTCTAATTTCCTTTCAATGTGCATGAATCCATGCACCGGGCCTCTAACACCCATACACACACACACACACACACACACACACACACACACGAGCTTCCCTGTTCAAAGTAGCATGGAGGAAAACTAAAATGTGTTTGTCAACCTTTTCTTTGAAAACAAAAGACACTTACCTTGGGTCTTGGCAAATGTAAGGATAAGCACAAATGCCACGGCAATAAAGCTGGTACTGGCGGCAAGTTCCAAGGATCTCAAAGTTGAACGTCTGGTCATAGTTCCCGAGATCGGTAGCAGAGAACTGCACTCTCAACGTGGTTTCGCCATTGGCCGGCACGATCCACCGGAAATGATTCAACCTGCAGACGAGCACAGGGGCATTTCAAGCGAGAACGCTTCCTTTGCTGCCCAGGAGGAGCCCTGTCCTGCTGGGGTTCTGCAGGGCGGTCCGCAGGGCCCCCCAGGCAGAGCTGCCCCGTTCCCATCGGGTACCCTGACGGCTGCCCCCTCCATGTGGGGCGTGGGCATTATCTCTCCCCGGCTGCGGTTGCTCGGAGGCCCACCTGATGAACTTTTCCTGGGAGTGCTGCCCAGACAAGTTGTTCTGGTCCATTTCCGACAGGGGGGAAATGGTTCCGGAAACGGCCCCAGCGAGGCCCTTCCTGTTGAAGGCGATACGACGTTTGTCCTTCAGAGTATCGCGTACCTGGTCCGTTTTTTCTTTCTGTTTCTGTTTGTTCCCTTTAGACAAGGTGTTCAGCTCCTCCTGGAGTTAAATTAGAAATGAGCACAAGGTCGTACATGCTCATCTTACTTACATATGAACAGGAGACACGGATGCCTACAGCCGTCTGCAGTCTGGGGTAACGCGCCACAGGCGTGGAATGCCGGTGGCTGCCTGGAGCAGGCCAGGGCCCAGCCTCCCGCAGGAGGGTAGAAGAGAAGTAGAGGAGAGAAGTCTAGAACTTGGCCATTCCCCGAGGAGGCCGAGACCTAAAGGAAGCTTGACTGGCAGGGACTGGGTTCCTATATTGCATTTTGTTGTCTTTCTTTAGTATCTTTTTTTGTTTGTTTATCCTCACCTGAGGACATTTCCCCCCCACTGTTTTCAGGAGAGAGAGAGTAGAAGGGTGGGAGGGATGGAGAAAGAGAGAAACATTGATGTGAGACACATGGATTGACTGCCTCCCACATATGCCCGACAGGGCGGGGGGAAAGGGGAAGGGATGAGGAGTGAACCTGCAGCAGAGGCATCTGCCCTTCACCAAGATTCAGACCCACGACTCTTCAGTGAGAGGGCTGATGCTCCAACCACTGAGCGAAACTGGCCAGGGCTCTTTAGTATCTTTTAACGTAGATAGCTTGCCCTCTACAATCGCACTGATTTTTTTGGAGATACCAGTTCTATGTTCTTACAGGACATTCCATAGTTTGAAATTTCCTGACTGTTCTCAGAGTGACATCTAACTTATTCCTTTATTCCCTGTATTTTCTATAAACTGAAAATTAGGCTTAAACGCTTGATTAGATTTATAGATGCTGTGTACATCACACTCCGCCACAGTGTGGGGGACTAGTAATGCCAGGTTGGCCCACCGTGACGGACGCAAAGTGTGTTCGTGTGGCTGGAGTGGTGCCTGCAAGATGTGGCCATGATAGACGCTTCCCTCCAAAGCAGGCCAGTCACCGGTGGGATGCCACGCCAGCTTCAGGGAGCGTCTTGTTCCCCAACAAACTGCTGTTTTTTGTACCCACTGGAGCACCTTAATCACCCCCCACCCACTGCGGATGACAGAATAGTACTTTTCTCATTCGATTCTTTCTACAATTTCAGCTGTCATTCTTCTAGAATGAAGAGCTAGCCTTTGTCAACTGGAGGTAAACTAGACTACCTCCTAAAAATGGTTAAGCTAAAGAATGCTCGGCTCTTTCCTGGTAATGACCAATTTTCAGAAAAGAAAAATTGAGGTTGGCAAGATTTCTTTATCTTTTTCCCTGGGGCTTTGCTCTAGGAAGCCCTGCCCACGGCTTGCTGGTCAGCGCAGATGTTGGCCTCCTGCTTACTTATTAACTGAAGACGGGCACATTCTCTGCCGCCCACTGGAGCTGTAGGCAGGGCCTAAAGGTAATTCTATTTGCTGCTGATTTTATTTAGTCTTTGCTGATGTGCAAGGTTTGTAGGTGGTCATCTGAAGAGATTAAAATTTTGGCCCACCATACTCTTCTGGGAATAAAAAGGCCCTCCATAATTTTGAATTATACATATCCCCTGCACATCATCGGTCCAATCTATTTTTTTCCTTTGTGATTTGTTTTAGTCATTGTGTACATCTTTTCTTCTACTTTTACATTATTTCATGTTGTTGCTTATATTTTTAATCCAGCTGGAATTAATTTTACTGCATTGTATCGGGCAAGAAGAGAAAAGAGCCAATTTTCCCATCACAGTTTCTTCAATAATCGGTCTTTTCTCTAGTGGTGTGTGTTCCCTTAATTTGTGTCAGTCAATTCTTGTATTCTTATGCACTGTGTACAATACTTAGCTTCATCCATACTCTATACTATCTTTTTAAAAGACTAGTGTTGCTTCCTTTTTTTTTCAAATTAGTCAGAAGCAGGTGAGCTTCTGACTAATTTGACAAGTTCCCTAGACCAAGTGGTCAACAAACTCATTACTCAACAGAGCCAAATATCAACAGTTCAACGATTTGAAATTTCTTTTGAGAGCCAAATTTTTAAAACTTAAACTTCTTCTAATGTCACTTGTTCAAAAGAGTACCAGGCCGTGGTATTCTGTGGAAGAGCCACACTCCAGGGGCCAAAAAGCCACACGTGGCTCTCGAGCCACAGTTTGCCTATCACTGCCCTAGACCATGCCTGGGGAATGGACAGGTTGGAAGGTGAACATCAGTCATTTTCAGTTTCCTCTTGGGAAGCGGAAAGCGTCAGACTCGGGGAGAGGCTGGTGCGGGGTCCCCGGCAGGATCCCCAGCCGGTGGAGGGGAAGCACCTGAGCGGCCATGACCCCAGCACCATGCTCCACGGCGGGCCTGTGGAGGGAGACGGCCGAGGTCAGGACGCGCTGCTCGCTCTTTACCTTCACGGAGCTGGTGGTGGTGGTGGTCGCTGAGAGGTCTGCCTCTGATTCCGCCTCTCTTTTCTCCTCCAGCAGGGCCAGCTCTTCGGAGAGCGGGATGAGAAACATAAAATGCTTCATGATTTCCGTTGAGGCCAACGGCAGCCGCTTCAGAGGGTAGGAGATGAGTGAGAATAAGACCGGAGGCGGGATGGGCAGTCCAGAGGTACCCAGGCCCAAGTAGTCTAGGATCTAAAGGAAAAACCCAGTGTTAATTTGCTGCGCAGAGGGCGGGCTACCTCTCATCTCCTCCCCCGAGGACAGGGCGGTTCAGACTTCCTAGTGTTTCAACGTAGAAAAAGTTTGTCCCTGGGCAAAAGGCGGCGATAACCTTCGCCGAAGGTGGCTTTTGGTTATGCAATATTTTTTGTTTTTAGGAACATAAAAGCTGTCGAATAGTATAATTTTTGTTACTGTGGGAAGCTTGTGGGAAAAGGATTTTTGAGTGGTTGAGCCTGTTGCTTCACTCCCTACATCTGCCGGCCTTGTCAGCATGTGACCCTGAAGGTGGCTTTTTATGAGGTTAGATGGAATAACTTTTATCTGTGGAACTTTACATATGGATTCTCTCCAGGCAGAAAAAGGCCCTTTTAGCCATTAATGTCTTATCTAGAGGGGTATCAGAGATGAAGGGAATTAAGGGGATGTAGATGTTAATGTAGAAAGAAGTTCCTTCATGACGATTAGCACAGTACCTGCTCCCTGATTGGTTACATTCCCCCCATCCTGGAGAAGGGTCTGTACCAGTACCTGCTCCCTGATTGGTTACATCTCCATCCTGGAGAAGGGTCTGTACCTGCTCCGCTTTGGGAAGCTTGTCATTCTCCAGGATTTGCTTCCACTTGGAGCCTTCAAGGTCGGGTGTCTGGATATTTATGAATGGCACACCCAGGTCCTTCTTCCCTTCGTGGTCCTCCTCCCGGTCCGCCTCTCCTCCATCCGGCTGCTCCTCCAGGGCCCGGAGCCTCTCCAGCCGCTCCCTCTCGGCCCTCTCCCGCTCCAGGCGCTCCCGCTCCAAGCGCTCCTTCTCGGCGCGCTCCCGCTCGCGGTCCTTGCGGCCTTTGCGCCCGCCCGATGGAACCTGGCGCTGGTCATCGGGCTCGTGGGCCAGGTCCTCGGCCCCAACGTGAGGCACCTGGATGCCTTGCTTCCGGTCCCAGTACATGAGGATGTTCTGGATATCCTTCAGCGTCAGCTCGTAGGTCTTAAACTTCTGGGCCAGAGGCTTGTCGGCTTCCTTCTGGAGGTCCCCGTCGCTGTCCTCTTGTTCCTGGGCCAGGGGAAACCCAAGGACGTTGTTATCTACCCCTTGGTTCTTTTTCCTTTTGCTCTGCTCTTCCTTCTCAGCCGCTCCCTGGTCCTTCTCAGAAGCTTTTGCTTCTACCGATTCCATCTTGCCTTCTACTTTGGAAAAGGCAAGAGTCTAGAAGGCAAAACATGTAACATAGGCTTAAAACGGTTCTTTCGGGGAGAGCAAATCACAGAATCACATGAAAAAAGACCAAGAGGATGCTTTGTTTTGTAAAAAGTCCTCACGGGATTCCAGCCACTTACACACACTGGACTTGTGCCTAAGGATCACCGTGGGGACCTTTATCAAAATGTCCATTCTGCGGTCCTCCCTTGGTACAGACCTAGCTGGGCACAGTGACTTCGGTATGCATTCTGGTTGAGGGCTGGGCACTCTGCAGGATCGACAGGAAAAGATGACCTGGACAGAATGGCCCCTCTACACCTGCTTCCGGGTGCCCTGTGCGAGGCACAGGTGTTGTGGTCACTGACTCTTGCTCACCCACCGGGACCAGCCGGCACCTTGTCTGGGAGTCTGGCTTTCCCTTCACTCCCAGAACTCACAGTGCTGAACGAGCACCATGCACCCGGGCCAGCTGTACCCCTCAGCCACGATGGCCGCCTGGGGGCGCTGCTTGGGCTGCTCTGCCCCCTCCCCATCACAGTGGACATAGACGTGACCCCCGAGCTTGACAGGTTGAAAGGCTGATGATCCTTGTTCTGCAAGGACAAGCTGATGCTGAACTTCTTCCTGGACTATTATTGCCAAGGGCAAGCTCACTGACTTGGGAACTTACTGGAGGCAAATCTTTACTCCCAGCCTCTGTAGCACTGTCCAGGGGACTTTAAGAGATAATGTGAAGAGCAAGGGCTGTGGTTAGACAGAACTGGGTGAGATCCTGGAATGTTGACTTCCTTTCCCTCAACCTCAAACGGGGTTCCTGTCTTTGAACCTCGGAGGGTGGGGGTCACGATGCCAAAAATGACAGGATTACATGAAGCATAAGCCCAGAGCTTGGCACACAACTATTGCTCCACAGATGTTGGTCCCTTTCCTTCTACCTTCTGCTCCAACATAAAACCCACCTAGTATTATAGTATCGGGTCAGTTTTCTGGGGGGGAAACGTGCTGGACTGAAGGGCCGGCTACAATGGTTGATCCCACTGCTTTCTCCAAGGGGAAGGGGCAAGAGAGGGCTGCTACCTGCCGGCTGGGCTGAGATTTCTTCAGGGGTGGTTCGTCCTTTGCTGCTACTTGCTTTGTTTTTCTGGTCTTCTTTTTTTGCTCATCTTCTTCCTTTTGTCGCTCAAGCTCCTGTTGTAGCTTCTTTTCATGCAACTCCCTTGCCAACCTCTCCAGCTCCCTTTATGAAACCAGACAGAGAAAGCTGAGTTCAGAGGCCACCGGTTCGAGCTCCTTCCTGTCTGGGATTGCTGGGTGGGAGGTGACGGGAGTAGCAGGGTGGTAGGGGGTGGGAACCGGTGGCAGAGTTTTCTTGGGCATAAAAAGAAAAAACACACGCAAAACAATGAAAGCTCAGAAACTAGGAAGGGAGGAAGGAAAAAAAAAAAGGAAAAAGGGAGGGAAAGATGGCTCACGCCTATATTGAATGGTCTTTCAGCAAAACGGATGGACTGAAACGCAACTATGAGTTCTCACTTAGGCCTGACTGGTGTGGCTCAGATCTATGCACCAGGAGGTCACGGTTCGATTCCTGGTAAGGTAACGTGCCCGGGTTGTGGGCTCCATCTCCAGTCGGGGGCCTGTAGGAGGCAGTGATCGATGATTCTCTCTCACCATTGACGCTTCTATTTTTCCCTCTCTTTTCCTCTCTGAAATCAATAAAAATATATTAAAAAAAGAGTTCTCACTTAATTTGTAGTTCTATTCTAACATCCTTTCCTAGGAGAGCAAGGCAGTGGCTGAAAGTAGGCTTGATGTTTTAAAAGAAGCCCTCAAAGATGTTTCTGATATTAGTGCAGTATCCCAGCTCCCTACACTGTCATCTTATGGTCAGAAAGCAAGAAAAGGTGTTTTCAATAGCAGTCCCTACCATGGCTAGCTTGGGAGCACAACATTGGCTCTGACAGCCACATTCCTCTCCTCTCTCTTTCTTTCCCTTCCTGTAATGAATTCAGCTGTGCCTGCCCTGCTGCTAATGGCAGTGAGGGCACCAAGGCCAGGCACCAGTGTGAACACATGTGGAGGGAACAGCATCTCTGGCATTACAAAACCCACCTATTTTCATCTCTAGGAATCCCTGGTTGTTCTTTGTTGCTATGGCTCTCCACCCACTGAAGCTGAATCATTTCTGTGTGTGTATGCGAGTGCATGCGTGTGTGTGTGTGTGTGTGTGTGTGTGTGTGTGTGTGTGTGTGGCACAGGTAATTGCTGAGCTCTGATGACCAGATATGCATTTTCTAAGTCTACTTTCAGATGAATGCCTGAAAGAATGGCCTGGATGAGAAAAAGAGATTCCTTTGGAATTCCAGAATGAGGCTTTCAGACCCCTGGAAGACAGGCATTTTACAGTGGACCAAGCAGGGGAAGAACTGAGGGTCTCCTTTCAGGCTCTTTGGGGGTTAGTGGGAGGAGCCTGGGGGTAGAAGGAAAAGGCAGAAGGAAGGAGGTAAAATTGCAGGCAAGCATCTTGGCTCTGCCACCTCCAATGCTGGCATCCTAGGGAGTGGTAGGAAATGGGACCCCCTGCCCCCAGCACATCTGAAGGCAACAAGGACATATATCCCACTGCCTGAAACAGCAGCCCTGCATCTGCTGGGCCCTAGGGGATGTGGAGGGGTCTGGTCATTCCCATGTGGTCCCAAAGATGGGCCTAGAAGGGGCTGACAGTGCTGGCTGGGAGCACGCTCTGGTCTTTGTGAGCTGCTCAGGCCGAGGATCAAGCTGGAGAAGCAGCCAGACCTCAGGGGATGGACGGCACCACCCGGGGCCAAGCTGATGGCCAGGGAAGGAGGAGAAATGGCCGAGTTCTGGGGAGCAACCATGATGCCCCCCCACCCCCACCCTGTGCAGAGAGTGGCCCCTGGTCACACACACCTGGGGCACAGTGGTCCGGGGAACCAATGGAAGCCCTAGGATAGCACTGGGGCCAAAAGCCCCTCCCCCATTACATGGCACAGCCTTCACCCAGCCCCAGTGTCCCTGAGAGAGGAGGAGGGAGAGGAGAACGGAGAGGCCCTGCAAGGCAGGGCGATTTCCTGCTCCCAGTCGGTCATTCTCCTGGTCTCTCGTGGCCATGGCTTCCACCCTGGAGGACGACCCTGGTCCCCGGGATGGGCTGTGGACCCCATGGGAGTTGTTCCCAGGGGAATGGCCCCCCTCGGGCCGGCCCTTGACTCTAACCTCTTCTTCCTCTCCCGCAGGGCCTGCTGAACCTCTCGATTGAACGCGATTTTCTCGTCCTCTGTCAAGGCATCATATTCTTCCTCATCCATGTTCTGGAGACGCTCCTTCTCTTTTTCGAGTGCCTCCTTCTGTTTCTGCTCTGTGCGGGGGGACAGAGACGGGAAGGGGAGGAGAGTCACACCCCAGCCACCTCTCGGGGAGAGGTGGCTGGGGTGGCAGCAGCATGCCTAGTCCCTGGTGGGGCTTCCTCAGTCACACAGTTCCAAAACCAGTCTCCGTCTGTGGCCGGCTGTATAGCGGCCCCAAGGTGATGAGTTCCCCTGGGGTCAGCCGTAGTTCCGGAGAAGATGAGTGTGAACAGTGAGGTCCTAGGTGAAAGAGGGCCGTGCCTGTTGTGAGAAGAGCCAAGTGTACCCATGTCCTGATCCCCGGAGCCCACGCCTATGTCCCCCTGACGATGTAGGAAGGATGTGGCAGATGCGATGACGCTAAGGACCTTGGGTTGGAGAGGTTTTCCTGGATTAGCTGAGTGAACCCAATACAATCACAAAGGGCGGGAGTCGGAGAAGGTGATGCGGTGATGAAGCAGAGGGAGAGTCGACGTGACAACAGAAACAAACGCCAGTGGGCTGTGAGGTAGGGATCATGAGCCAAGGAAACAGCAGGCCTCTAGGAAGTGGGAAAGGGAAGGGAGGGAAGGGATTCTCTCCTGGAGCCTATGAAGGAGGAGAGCCCTGCTGACACCTCGATTTTAGGACTTCTGACCTCCGGACTGTAAGATAACACATCTGTATTGTTTTAAGTCACCACATGTGTGGTAATGGGTTACAGCAGTGATAGGAAATATACCACCTACTGGCATCACCTTTTCTGAGCGTAGCCACTGAAGAGCTCAGGGCGACAGGACTCAGGATCGTCTTCCATGTCTGACGATTCGGGTCCAAAGTGTGGTTCACAGTCAGCACAAAGGTAGCCGGCTTCTCCTTCACACATCACCGGCATGCTAGCCACCCCTTACATTCTCGTTTTAGCTCTGGGCTCAGAGATCTGCATCTGAGTCCTTTTCCCAACACTTACCCAGGGACAGAAGCAGATAAGAGCAATAATTCCTCCTTCGTAGGGTGTTGTGGGCTCAAATAAGCAATCATGCAAAACCCAGTGCCTGGCATAGTCATAAATGTTCATTAAGCATTAGATTTGGATATAATAATATTATTACATTTACTGTCTCAGGACTTTTTTCAAAATGCAACTATGAAAAACTTCAATCCACAGACAACTGAGAAAATGAAGAGAGATGTTTTAAGTCGGTCCTCGTGGGGACACGAGCTTTCTGGAAAACGAGGGGCCTGGAGTTTGAAATCCTGCTGGAAATCCTGCCTGGTCATTCTTCCTAACCATCTCTCTCTGAGTGAGAATGGAAGGAGGCAGTACGAGTTCTGTTTAAGAACTAAGAGAGCTCAGTGCTTGTGAATATTCCCTTCACTGGAAAAGCATTACGATTTGTGTGGATGGTTCTAGAAGAGAGAGGGAAGGCCACGTGGGGAAGGGCAGTGATGGGGATGGAGTGTAAGCCAGAGCAGGACTCTACCTCCCAGGGACAGTGCCACCTCCTCTCTTGGGGGCCACAATTTGCTAGGTCTGCTTCTGACTAAATTGGGAACTTGTTCACTAATATTACTCTGTGTGCATGTGCCTGTTTTTCAATCAGTGAAAATTATTTCCAGACTACTGGTGTAACGACAGAAAGAAAAAAAAAAAAAAAAAAAAAAGGAAAGGCCTTAGAGTTACACAGACCTTACCAACTTGGCATGTGATCTTACATTGTGTCTCTGAGCCACATTCTCCTCATCTGTAAAATGGGAACAACACACCATGTGAAGACATCTAATATGTACACAAGATCTGCTGCACAGCCTGGTGCACAGTAGGCTAAAATGTAGACTGTGTTTTGTAATGTTTAGCAGCACCTCTAGTTTTACAGGAACTGCTAAAACAAAAACCAACATGCTAACCGGTCACCTGAGTCCAGATGGGACTTGTGGTGTGTTCCCCGGGGATCAGCTGTAGTTCCGGAGAAGATGAGTGTGCACAGTGAGATCCTGGGTGGAAGAGGGCTGTGCCTCTTGTGAGAAGAGCCAAGTCTACCCTTCCCTCTGTAATCTCTCCACAGGCCCTTTCTGCCTCAGTTTCCTCACACGCAAAGTGGACGAAATAAGAACTTCCAGACACCTTGTGGGGCACCCATGAGATGGTAAATGTAACAGTTTCAGTGAAGCCCAATGGGTCATCATGCCAGGGGAGCTTTTACAAAAGGCAGATGCTTATAGGGGAAGGAAAGACTCGTGAGGGCCTGTGAAGGACAGCCCAGAAGGGTAGGGGCCTTGCCTTCTTGCTCCTTTTTGGCTTTCTCCTGGGCCTTCATGGCTACGTAATCCTGGGCCATGTTGAGGATGTAGATGTGCTCCCGGTTGCCAATGGCCTTCAGCAGGCAGAGGAGAGCAAAGGCCGCGTTCCGAGCAAAGAGCGTCTCGAGGCCGTCAAACACCACTCCCAGGCTGCAGTCACTCAGCTGAAACCAGAGAGGACAGAGGCAGTTACCATGGCCACCGGGCCATCTGTTCTCTATAGAGCTGCTTGTTCTTCTGCCAGTGCTTTTACTGGAGCTGCAATTGCTTCTGCAAACCTGCTGAGCCCCGATGAAAGTACCATTCAGCTACCTGTGAAACTCAAGGTGCTGTTATAAAATAAAAGAGGAAAGTAAAAATATTTGATCGGTCGTGGAAGAGCTTCCTCGTTGTACATACTTGAAGAGCAAAGGGTTTATGCTGTCTCTATGGAAACAAAGAAAACAAACTAAATGTTACAGTGCTGGTCTGGGAAGATCCAGGAGACCCAGGGAAGGAAGATGCCAGGAAATGTGTCCTCGTGTGCAGGGTCAGAGGCAGCAAGGACAGAGGTAGCAGATGGGCCATTCTTAGTGGTGTTACTGCCTTGGCGTGTAATGCTTTTGATACTATTAACCATTCAAGAATAGTCTCTTTGCATGGCAGTCTTACTCAAAGTGTAGTGCCTAGACTGGCCACCACTGGCCAGGGACAGGTTACTACCAGTATTTGACGAGGCAAGAAATCTTATGTCAGAATGTAAATTGATGACATCACTAAATACATGACTTAATTCAAGTCTGCATTTTTTTTTTTTCTTCTTTCTTTGTAGCAAAACCTTGTGGATGAAGGAAACCGTGCAGGCTCCATGTCTCAACTCTGAGGAGCACAGCTCTACTGGCTTCCTTTTGGCTTTCCCAGTCATTCACAACCTTTAATCTGGATTCATGAAATACCTGCACACGTATGTGACCTGCTTGCTCAAGTGAGTTGAGGGCGATGGTGCCTGGAACATAGCAGCCGTCCAAACATTACATAAGTAATTTCCAGGAACAACGTTCTTCCTCTGCTGGGAACTTCAAGTCTGATTTTATTATATTTAAACTAGAGGCCCGGCTCATGAAAATTCATGCACTGGAGGGGATGTCCCTCAGCCTGGCCTGCCCCCTCTCACAGTCCGGGAGCCCTCAGGGATGGGAGGTGACCTGGCGATCAAGGGAAGGCGATACCACATCACACCTCTGCTGCGGCCACTGCTGGCAGCACAAGCCTTGGCCGGCCCTGGTTACCTGAACCTCAGGTGGCCCTGGGAAGCTGGGCAGCCACTATCCAAGGCTTGCCTGTGCCTTGGGCCGGCCCTGAGTGGCTGGGGTGCTGAGGGGACTGAGTGCTGCCATCTTGTGGTGTGGCAGTCAATTAGCATATTCCTTCCTATTGGCTGTGGGTGCGTCCATCTTTGTGATGGTGTGAAGGTCAATTAACATATTATTACAATACCGGAGGCCCTATGCATGAAATTCATGCAAGAGTGGGTCTTCCTTCCCCTGGCTGCCAGCACCGGCTTCCCTCTGGCACCCGGGACCCAGGCTTCTCTTTGGCACCCGGATCTAGACTTCCCTGTAGTCCTGGTTTCGTCCAGAAGGTCATTCAAGATGTCCAGTCTAATTAGCATATTACACTTTTATTATTATAGACTAGGGGCCCAATGCACGAAATTCATGCAAGGGACTTGGCCCTCGCAGCCCCGGCTTCCTCTGGAAGGTTGTCCAGATGGTCATTCTGCTATTTGATCTAATTAGCATATTAAGTAGAATTATTGACTATCTCCCCTAGGCTGTACTTTACATCCCTGTGAGGATTTTGTGACTATTAATTGTAGTTCTTAATCCTTTCACCCAACCCCCCAAGTCTCCCTCCCATCTGACAACCTTCAATTTGTTCTCTATTTTTAATGAGTCTCTTTCTGTTTTGTTTATTTTATTCTTTAGATTCCACAGATAGTGAAATCTTATGGAACATAACCTGCTTTTCTCACTTAATAACATGCCAGCAGCAAACTTTTACAGCAATTCACATGTCTCCAAATTTTAACTCTGAACGGCTCCACCTTACAGTTTTAAAACCACCACTGAGGGTTGTGGCGTGACTCTTCTGATCACTGGTCCTTCAAAGTGAGTGGCTTCAGGCAGCAGACTGAGCCAGGGCCTGGGACTGACAGGACTGTCAAAAGGACACGTAAATGACGGGTGAGGGTGAGGAAACCCATCTTTCCTCTCCAGGGCCCGGGGTTCTACGCTGCTGTGGGTGACGAGGGCTCAGTCTCGGCTCGGCCTGGGAGAGGTGTGTGAGCGCTGCAGCTCCATGCATGTGTGTGGACGCACCTGTATGCGATCGGCCAGGATCTGAACAAGTATTTCCTCAGGGAGCACACAGCTGAGGAGGCCGGTCTCACCTCCGATGCTGGTGCTGACGCTAATCTTTCGTGGTGTGGGCCCCGAGGGGAGAGGGCTGGAGGAGATCTGTTGAGAGAAGGTTCAGAAGTTAGAACCCAGCTTGGTGTCCAAACAACTTCTACACATACAAGCCACATGACCTCAGGAAAGTCATGTCGTCTCTTGGGGCCTCACTTCCTCATCTGTAAAACGGGATGTTCCTATCTTCCTCAAAGATTTGCCATACGCCTTGAGTGGGAACACCAATTGGAAGGTGCTTTGTGTATGTACTGAACAGCACCCATTTGTTCTTTCAATCAAACATTATTTGAGCACCTACTATGCACCAGGGTCTCCTACAGTACCAGGGACACAACAACACACAAGCCTGGCAATGTTGCTGCCAGTCTGGTCCTTGCATTCAAGTGGGGGGGAGACAAAAAAGGGACAGATGAATATGCAAATCAGTGATAATTTCACATCGTAATGAATGCCGAGGAGAAGATGATCAGGCAAGGGAATAAAAGGCAATGGCAGGGTTGGACAACGGCTATTGAGAAAGGGTGGTCACATTACCCGGGTATGAGAGAATATGAAAGAACAAGACAAGATCCCGCGAGAAGCGTCTTTCTGAGAGGCGTCTTTCTCAAGTTTCCTCAACACAACTGCATGTGTGGGTATTTGGGGAGCACGTGGGAGCCAAGTCCATTGGGAACTGAGTGAGCAATGGGAAAGGTGGTGAGGCGTAAAGTCAAAGACATAGGCAGGCCAGAATATGCAGGGCTTGTCAACTACGGTAAGAAATGTGAATGTTATTCCAAGTATTATGGGAAGTTGTTGGCATGTTTTAGGCAGACAAACGATTGGACTTTTATTTTTTTATTTTAAAAAAATGTGTTTTTAAAAATCTATTTCAGGGAGAGGAAGAAAGGGTAGAAATTTATTTCAGGTAGAGGAAGAAAGGAAGGGTAGAAACATCAATGATGAGAGAGAATCACTGAGTGGCTGCCTCCTGCATGCTCCCTACTGGGGATCGAGCCCGCAACCCCCGGCATGTGCCCTGATCGGGAATCAAACCATGACCTCCGGGTTAATAGGTTACATCCAACCAGTGAGTCACACTGGCCAGCCGGACTTTTATTTTTAAGAGAGCATTGTACCTGCTGCATGATGTGACAAGAGTGGCAGCAGGAAGGCGAGTGGGTCATATAGCTCCATGGTCAAGGCAGGAGATGATGGCAGCAGGACGCTCACAGTGGAGGTGGTAAGAAGTGGCTGATACAGGATATATTTTAGAATAGAGCCAATAGGATTTGAGATGAGACATGAAAGAAAGAGAGGCATCAAGAATGACTCCTTGAGTGTTAACCTGAGCAAATTGAAAAAATGGTGAAGTTATTTATTAAGAAAGAGAAGACTGAGGAAAAGACAAGTTATTATTATTTTTATTATTATTATTATTATTATTATTATTTGGTATTGTTTTGTTTTATTCTTTTTTGGGGGAGCAATAACCACTTTTTTCAACATATAAATTTTGAGATGCCTCTAAGCCATTTGATAGAGATATTAAATGTGTCTTGGGTATATGAACCTACGCATGAGAAGAAATTAGGGCTAGAGATAGAAATTTGAGGGTCCTAAGCATAATGAAAATATTTAAGCATTTTAATATTTAAGAAAACATTGAAGTATATGAAGAAAATATTTAAGTATTTAATGAACTGGAAGAGATTACCTATAAAGAAAAGGTAAATACAAAAAGTAAAAGAGGAGATGTCTTAGTTTTGGCCTACTCTGAAAAACCAGAGTGGAGAGTCCTTAATGAGGTAGAGGGAAAGTAGAAGACTATGGTGTTTTGGAAGCCAAGTGAAGAGAGCTTTTCTGGAGGAGGGGTTATCAGCTGCTAAGAGATCATGCAAGATGTACAGGGGAAATAAACAAATGGTAGAGAGAGGGGACCACTGCAGGAATTTAGCTCTTGGGTAAGAGAGAAGGGATCGGGTCCACTTGCAGGGCCTTTGTTAAGAGCAGGGACACTTGCTCAGCTGTAGGGAAGGCATGGCATTGGCCTAGGATCAAGGCTGTCTGGTAGATTTGGTGGTGAGAGGATAAGGCATTGTCTTCTGGTTGTTGCTAAGATCCCTCATTTTCTGATCATTAGCTAAGAATGAGGAAGAGGCTTGGAGAGTGATAACAGCCAATAAAATAGTTATCTCGAAAAAGTTGAGGGCAAATTTGCTAGGACAGACCAAAGGGTCGGCTTGAGATTTGGAGTCTTCAGCTTAAATTAAGACTATTCAGGAGAGATGGTCAGCTGTCCTGAAGGGAGGAGGTGGAGAATGGGGTTTACCAGGGCTAAAGCTTTGCTTGAAAAGTACTAAGAAGGGGAAGGGGCAAATTACCTTATATTATAGGCCATGTCTTCGTTATGTAACATATTATACATTTCTTCCCGCTTGCAGCTGATGACTGCAATTCCTCAGAGAGCTCATGCTCAGAGGAGAATGTTAAAAGACCAAAAGGCCATCTCCATCTGGGTAAAGCGCTCTTACAGTGTGACTGTTGTCCAAACGGTTGGAGGCCTGTGCAGGCAGCCACATGTGGGGATCTGTGAGGTCTGGTGTCTATTGTGAACGTTGACAAGCTTTAAATTCCCTATTCAGTGAAAGGGGATTGTAGTCTGCATTGGGATTTTCTGTTGCCTTTGGTATATTCCAAAAGGCCTTACTTCACTGTTCAGATGGACCGAACCAAGCCAAAGGAAATGGTTCCCCATGACACCCTATTAAATACAGATAAATGGCTTTTGGTTCATCCATACATACTTATGTAAAGAACATGTATTAGATATTGGGAAAGAGGGTTAAAAGGATATTGTTTCAAAATAAATGGAATCAATGGTTTCAGTTTCCAAGGTGTTAAAAAAACAACAACATGTGACTAAAGTAAAGACCAGAGAGGTCACTTGGCATAAATTCAACCCTGGGTGATGCCCCATCCAACCAACATACCTCCTGTCACACAAAGACCTTCGCCTCCAGTCCCTCCACTTGCCCCATCCAGTGCTCCACTACTCACATGCCCTCCATTTACCTGCCCCAGCCAATGTGCGGGCATCCTCTCTTATAAGGAGCTTCATCTCCACTCTATCCACTTCAGCAATCTTCTCTAAAACGACCGCTCCCACCACTCCTACAGAACTCTACACTGTAACAAGACCTACACACCTTTCACCCTTCCTATGTCTCTCATTCTATTGTCCCCTTAGTTTCTTCCCTACCTAGGCTGTCTTCCCATATTGATGCCACTTTCAACTCCCTTACCCCTTATTCTGAGCACACCGTGTCCCTGCAGCGGTGAAAACGCCTCTCTCTGCTTCTGAATGGAGGGCTGCAGGGAGCCCCTTAGTGAAATCTGTGAACTGATGGCTTCCTGTCTGGCTGGGCCAACAGCATTCCAAACTACCTTTTCTTTTGTCCACCACCAACTTCCGGTTCTGTTCCTCACAGTGGACATACTGGGACTCAGCCACTCTCCTCAGGTTGCTCTGCAACCCGACCCCCTCGATATTTCTGGGAAAGACTCAGAGGCCTGCACACATCTTAGAGTTATCCAGTGAGACCTCCTCCAAATTCTGCTCTCCACCTTGCTTCTGCCACAAGCAGCTCCATCTGGTTTTCCCCTTTACTAACTCTAGAAGAAGCTAGCTCATGTCTTTTAAATTGTGTTTAATCCTGCCTTTTTTTTTTTTGTCTCCTTCTGGAGCGGCATGCCTTCTTGGGTGGATCATTATTTTTTCTTTGTTTATTTATAGACTTCCTTTCAAAAAAAGAACTCTCTTGACCCTGGGTTTGCCCCTCTGACGAACTCTTTTATCTTTCTTCAATTTCTTTCAAACATCTCAGAAACCTACAATCACTGGACACTACTTTCTGAGTGACTGCTTGTCACACACTTGTCTGTCATGGTGCCATCCATCTTTGCCTTCAGCACCTGCTATTCTCCTGAGATTGTTCTCAAAAGTCCCTTCGCACATGGCTCCAATTCTCTGACTTTTTAATGACTTTCCAAGACTCCCTTGTAGGCATCCCACAACTTATATTAATGTTTTTTTTTTAATCTTTAGCATTCCTTTAGTATACAATTGAGCCATATCAAATTGCTATGGAGTTCCCAAATGGTTGAATATTGGCAATTTTATATGGTTTAACCTAACTCTTTTTATACAGCTATTTGTCACCAGTTTCTTTTTTTAAAAAAGATCCTCACTCAAGGAGTGAAGACATTTTCCCATGATTCTAGAGAGAGTGGAAGAGAGGAAGAAGGGAAAGAGAAGGGAGGAGGAAGAGAGAGAGTGGGAAACATTGATGTGACAGAAACACATTGATTGGTTGCAAACACACTGATTGGTTGTCTCCCACACGTGCCCTGAGGGAGGATGGAGACTGGACTTGCAACCCAGGTACCTGCCCTGGACCGGGAATTGAACCTGCAACTCTCCAGTGCACAGGCTGATGCTCTAATCACTGATCCTCACAGGCCAGGGAACCAATCTCATTTTATTGCAAATATTTGAAGGTGCGGTTCTTTCATTGGACCCTTAGCAGAGCTCGAGTGCAGGGATTCTGCTTTATTTATCTTCACTTTGCCAGCATTCAGCCCAGTTCCTATACTGTTATTGAACACCTGCTGGATGAACCTCCTTTCAAGAGGAGTGGTGCAGGGACAGGGCTCGGGCCTGCCTGGCAAAGGCGCCCGCTGAATGAATTTGTGCTGACCTGGCTGCAGGATGCTGAAGACAAGGAGGAGGAAGAGAGGGAGAAGAAGGAGGAAAAAGGAGGAAGGATCCCAGTCCTGCCTCTGGGCAGCCCTGGTTTGTACCTGCGGTGTTTCAGACACGTGCTGGTGATGCTGCTTCTGAGAGCCAGAGCCATGCTCTAACTTGTTTTTGGCGAGCAGCATGCTCCCACGTACGGACTTTGCAGATTTCACTTCGGGGTTTACCAGAGCGGTTTCCGACATTAACCTGCCCAGGGTCTCACTGCTCATTCGTGACTGTCCTACACCACCTTGACTCGAAGCAGTCTCCTGGGCTACACAGAGAGAGTGGGTTTGTATGAAAAGTCACCTTAGTAGAAGAAGGAAATCGCAGTGGGGATGGCATACCGAGGGCATGGAGGACTGGGTGTCGGGTTCCATGGAGAGCCTGGCCTGGAGTTCCGGGCTTTTCCCCGCTCAGGCCCGTATTATCGCTCACTTTCTCTTCCAGTCCAGAGGGCAAGCATTTCGGAGACAGCCCTGTCTTGGGAGCCTAACACCTGCCTTTCTGTGGTCCTAGACAGTGGTGATGTCAATGAGTGGAATGAGATGGCGCTGCCCAAATCAACCAGTAGGCTGAGTAACTACAGCGAGCCTATTGGCAAGCATCGCTTTAACCTGAAAGTCTTCCTCTCACCTCTGCCCTTCCTTCCAATCAGATCGCCATCCCTCCCAGGAAGTACCGCTGAGCTGTTCCCTTTCAGAACCAGTGGTCGATGTAATTATTTAAAAGGTTCCATGACAGCTGTTCAGAAAACTCCTGGCCCTCTTAACCTCCCAACCACGGTGGCAAGGCCCCTGCGACCTGCTCTCCTGGTTGCCCGCCCCTGACCCCTCACTCCACGTCTCAGCCTCCCCCTGGCAGTGTTCCCCCAGGTCCCAGCCTGCCCTGTCCATCCCACTCCTTTCTTTGTGGAACTTCCTGGGCGGATTTCCTCTATTCCGGCTGCCGCACCTGCTACTTTGTGGAGGAAGACTCCCCAGTTATGCCCTTAGGTTGACATTCTGTTCTCAGGGAGCTCAACTTCACGATATGTCACAGGACATGAGCAGCTCCAAAGACCTCAGTGAAACAGAGTTTATTTGCCACAAAAGGAAACAAAAATCTAAGAGAACTGGAATTATGATTCAGCTCAGGGTTCCCACTGGAGGGTAGCAGAGTATGTCACCCCAACATATTACTCCAGGGGATTCAGGACATGCCACCTCAAAACCGCTGCACCAACCGGGGAGGATGGACTCTATCACGGGAGAGGAGGCTGGAGGCCAGCAGCATCCCATACAAACGATCGCGCCTCCCTCCGTTGTTCCAAGGGTTCGGCCATCATTCCTAAAAGTCATTTGCTTTCACCTAAGAGGACTACGTCCCTCCTCTTCTTTCCTTATTAAGCGGGTAATTAATTCTGAATTCTAAAGCCACCTTTGAGTTACTCGTTTCCCCTCCCTCCCTCCTTCCTTCCCTCCCTCCCATGTATACAGGAAGTTTACATGCTAATAAGCTTGTGTTTTCTCTTGTTAAGCTGTTTTTCTTATCACAGGAGTCTCAGCTGAGAACTCAGAGAGGTGGAGGGAAAATTATTCTTCCTTCCCTTCACGACTAAAGACAGGTTCCCTGGAGCCGCTGTTCTCCTAACCTGTAGGTCATTAAGATGACCCGATGGAGCCAGGATTCCCTGCCTCTGGAAGTCAGGCCATCCCAAGCCTCACTACCCAAAAACTCAGTTCTCTCTGGCAAACTTTCTCTTCCTCCCGCATCCCCTGTCCCCCTCTTCCAGGTGTCTGACCCTATCTTGGTGTGAAGTCCTGAGCGCCTCCCACCCCTCAGTCCGCACTGCCTGCCGTGTCGGCAATCAGGCCAGCTTGCCCAGCCTTGCCACCTCACCTCCGGCTTTCTTTAGGAGACCTGACAAGAGCTACTTGCTGGCCATTGCTCCCACGGGGTGAAAAGCACCCAACTCTTTCCCTTCCGAGGAAAACCCAAACTCCTCATCTTGGGCGTCAGGTCAACTACCACTGGCCTCAGCTCCCCTCCCCGCCTCTCATTCACTGTTGGTGTCCCTGTTTTCTTTGTCTGGAGTGTCCTCGCCTTCATCGTGACCTGTCCACCTAGTTCTGCTCCTTCAAAGCCCGTTCCCATGAAAACTACCCCCGATCATGCTTGTTGGCTTGCAATCTCCCCACACTCGCTCTTTCACAGAGCCGGCACGCCTGCCCCCCTCTTCTCCTCTGCTCTGTACGAGCGCATGTCTGCTCCTCGCCGAAGGTGTGGGCCACGAGCTGAGCCACTCACTGTCCCGTCCCTGAAGTGCCACGTGATGTGTGGGGAGGAAAGTTTTCCTCGGGGCTACTAAGGGAGCAGCACGTTATAGGTCAGTGGAGGGAGAAAATTTCAGTGAGGGGAACCGAGAAGATGGGGGTTACCAAGTGTGGGCACTGGCCACCTGGCCACAGGAAGTCAGGGGAAGTGGCTCTCACCAGCCTCTTCGCCTTCCCGCATGGACTGCTCGATGGCCGCCCTGATGCAGAGCTCCCGGGCCCGGATCCCGGGGATGTTGATGCCGTCGGAGATGGCCTCCAGCACGATGGAGTCGATGTTCAAGCAGGCCGCGCCGTAGTACTTGGCAATGCTCAAGGCCGTGGCCGACTTCCCTATAAAAAAAGGTCGGGGGCTGAATGTCATTTCCTTAGTGTCCCTACACAGAAGCTTCTAGAACAGAGGCCCCTGTACAGCGATCTCTCCAGGTGCCCTGCCTCTGGGTCTCTGCTGTGCTCAGGGGTGGCAGCAGAAAGAGAAGGAAGACCCGAGGCCCGAATCAGGCCCCGGGGATTCTGCTCCTGATTCTGCCGTCGATCGGCTGCGTGCTTCGGCAAGCCACAGCTTCTCTAGGTCCTTTCCTCAATTTAAAAAGTGATTCTACCAGATCTTCAACAATCTTGTAGCTCCTACTGTCTCTCAATCTAATAGAAAGACTTTTTGTTGTTGTTGTTTAAAGGATAATGTGTGTTGATTTTTTTTTTCTCTCTCTCTCATTTCAACATAGGCGCTTATTAAAAAGAAAGCAGAAAATTCAGAAATAACAGGCAGGGGAAAAGGAAAAAAAAAGATCCATGATTTGCTCATCCAGAAAGATTATAGTTCACAGATGGTTGGTAAGTATGCATATGTAATTATTTTATTTTATTTCTCATAAAAAAAAAAAAAGAAGTGGGTTATGTGTCAGGCTGAATAATGGCCCCTCAAAGATGTCTACATCCTAATTCCTGGGACTTGTGAATGTTGCCTTAGACAGTGGTTGGCAAACTGCAGCTCACGAGCCACAAGCGGCTCTTTGGCCCCTTGAGTGTGGCTCTTCCACAAAATACCACGGCCTGGGCGAGTCTATTTTGAAGAAGTGGCGTTAAAAGAAGTTTAGGTTTAAAAAATTTGGCTCTCAAAAGAAATTTCATTCGTTGTCCTGTTGATATTTGGCTCTGATGAATAATGAGTTTAGTCAACAGAGCCTTCGACAGTAGAGGGACTTTGCAGGTGTGATTAAGGCAAGGTGCTTGCTATGGGGAGATCCCCTGACTTATCTGGGTGACCAGGAAATAATCACAAGGTCCTTACAAGAGAAAAGCAGGAGGGTCAGAGTCAGACCAGGTGAAAAGACGATGAAAGCAAGGAGAGAGAGACTGGACGATGCTATGACGCTGACTTTGAAGATGGAGGAAGGGGCTGAGAGCCAAGGGAGGGAGGCAGCATTTCTAGAAGCCAGAAAAGGAGAGGAAATGGGTTCTCCCTTGGAACCTCTGGAAGGAATGCAGCTGAACTGACCGATTTTTGACTTCTGACCCTCAGAACTGTAAGGAAGCAAATTTGCATTTTTTTAAAGCCACTAAGTTTATTTGTTATAGTAGCAATAGGAAATGAATATAGAATCCAGATCATAAATGTGACATTTTTTTTTTTTATCACTTAAAACAATATATCAGCCGAAACTGGTTTGGCTCAGTGGATAGAGCATCGGCCTGTGGACTTAAGGATCCTGGGTTCGATTCCTGGTCAAGGGCATATACCTTGGTTGCGGGCACATCCCCAGTAGGGGGTCGATGTTTCTCTCTCATCGATGTTTCTAACTCTCTATCCCTCTCTGTAAAAAATCAATAAAATATATTTAAAAAACAAACAAACAAAAAAACACACACAATATATCATGAATATCTTTCAATTCATTCAATACACGTCTATGGCACTGTGTGTGTGTGTGTGTGTGTGTGTGTATGTTTTAATGTGGCAATATGCATACACAATTCACCACTTTTGAATGTATGGTTCAGTAGCATAATATGCTCACATTGTTGTGTAACCACCACTAGCATTTTTTCACCTTCCCAAGTGTGCACCTTAAACAACAAGGCCCATTCAGCAGTCCCCCAGCCCCAGCAAACCACCACTCCACTTTTGGTTTCTATGAATTTGACTACTCTAAGTAGCCCATATAACTGGAGTGATATAGTTATTGTGCTTTTGCCAATGGCTTATTTCACTTAGCACACTGTCTTTAAGGTTCATTCCTGTTGTAGTATGTATCAGAATTTTCCTCCTTCTAAAGGCTGAGTGCTCTCCCACTGCACCACATTTTGTTTAGCTATTCATCTGTCAGTGGACAATTCAGCTCTACCCACCGTATGGCTATTGTTTTTTTTTTTTTTTTTAATATATTTTTATTGATTTTTTACAGAGAGGAAGGGAGAGAGATAAAGAGCTAGAAACGCTGATGAGAGAGAAACATCGACCAGCTGCCTCTTGCACACCCCCCACCTGGGATGTGCCCGCAACCAATGTACATGCCCTTGACCGGAATCGAACCTGGGACCTTTCAGTCCACAGACCGATGCTCTACCACTGAGCCAAACCGGGTTCGGCCACCTTAGGGCTATTGTCAATAATGCTGCCACAAACATGGGTGCACTGACACTGTTTTTAATGGTGATAATAATTCGCTCTATGAATGTGCTATGGCTTAATTAACCAGTTTGCCATATTGAAGGCTTAGATTGCTCCCGTTTTTTTTAAAAATTATGGTTAACAGTGCTGCAGTGAACTTTCACGCTATTCATCTTTGTCCATGTCATTAATTAGTTTCCTAAGATAAAACTTTAGAAGCAATATTGCCAGGTCAAAGAGTTTGCACATATTTCCTCCCTTTATTTTTTAAATGATATAATGGAAAGATGACAAGTTCAAATAGTTCAGATGTACTAATTAAAAGTGAGGCATCTCTGCTCTTTCTCTAATCCTGTATCTCTGAGGTTGGCAATTTAACAGTTTGGGCATAATCCTTGATATATAAATTAAAAAAAAAAAAAACCACACCCCCCCAAAAACAAACAAACAAAACCCCCCCCAAAAAAACTCTTATGTCCTCAAAATGACACGTGCAGGCTTTTCCCCATAAAAGGGGCAACCCCTCCGAACTGGCACAGACCTGACACGGGCGTCCCGTGGAGGATGATCGCGATGCCTTTCCGGTTCTTCAGGTGACCTTCCGCGGACACGTCGATGCCCAGGTAGCGAGCAATGGCCTTGGTCACTGGGTTGTTCTCCACTTCTCCATCGTCCTCTGCCGAGTGGCTGTCGGTGCTCTGTAGCTTCTCAGCTGCAAATTAGACATACACGTATGGGTGTGCGTGTGTGCGTGCTTGTGGACGCAACCGGAGTCCCCGTGAGTTCTGAGGGAATTGGGGGTTACTCTTTCCTTTTAAATACTGTTTGGAATGAGAACCAATGTGCTGCAGTCCTCATTCCTTCCTGCATTGTACGAGAGCGCCCTTTCTAGCTAATAATTTGCCCCCATGGCTACTAGGATTTGCAATTATAGATATTCCTTGACTCTTAATTCCATGTTTGGGAATCTCTTCTGCTGAAAAAAAAAAAAAATGATGTTGGAAACTAGCTGACTTTGCAACATTAAGGGAAATGGCTAAATAAATGATGGCACAGTCATCTTAGAGAATCCATACACAGTCATGCTAGAAGGTTTGGAAGATGCTCTTCATGGAGGAAGGTGAAAAGTCATCGAGCACTCTTCCCATTGCTGCTTAGAGAAAACTGGCCCCCAAACATTAAAATGTTAGCCCTGGCTGGTGTGGCTCGTTGGTTAGAACATTTCCCCCGTGTACGGAAAGGTCGCGGGTTCAATTCCTAGTTGGGGCACACACCTGGGTTGCAGGTTTGCTCAGGTCAGGGACACTTACTAGGCAACTGATCCATGTTCCTCACAATGATTTTTTTCCCCTTTCCCTCTCCCTCTCCCTTTCCCCCTCCCCCTCTCCCCATCCCCCTCCCTCTCTCCCTCCCCCTCCCTCTCCCCCTCCTCCTCTCTCTCCCTCTCCCTTTCCTTCTCCTCTTCCCTCTCCCTCTCTTCCTTTCCTCCCTCTCTAAAATAAAAATAAAATAAACGAAATAATTGGTTACTTTGAAACACTATTTTTTCCAGGCTGTCATCATCCTCTTCATCATCTGGATTGACCTTGGCCTCCTCCCACTCCTCCAGGTCGGATGCCACAGAGACCCCTCGGCTCAGTGAGGACCTTTTCAGGTTGGAGGGGGCTATCCCCTCTGAGATGGGTATATCTTCGTCTTCTGCCAGGGAGCCAGGGAGCCAGGGGGACGGGGAGAGTGGGTGAGAAAGGAAGACGACAAAGAGGAGAATTGCTGGGCTGGTTACCATCACCTGGAGCATCCAACGCAAATCAACAAGAACAGCAGTTTCTCTGCCCGGAGTGTTTCTGCATTTTAACATAAAGTGCCCCCCCATAAAGTATTGCTCCAGAAAATTTGGGAAATTCAGAAAAGAAAAGAAAAAAAATAATAATGATAATAATAAAAAATTATAAAATTCAATTTCCAAAAGAGAGATAGATGAAGAAATGATGACAGAGGACTTGCAGCTGGGTTTTGTGATACCAGTGCAGGACAGCTAGCGACCTCTCACACGGCTAATGTCTCAAAACCTATCTTGCACACACCAATCTGTAACCTGCTTCCCCTTGTACCTTGTCACGGCGGACATCTCTCCCTGTTGTTAAATATACTGACCCCTGTCGGCCCAGCGTGTCCTCACTGCCCATCCCATAGCGTTTCAGGGGGTGCACAGAAGAGGGGGGCGCACACCCCAGGGTCAAGGCATCCTCTTTGTTGAGGATTTGCATTTGGGCCAGAGAGGTGGCAGCTCTCTTGGGAAGGTGGCCATGTGACCTGGGACCGTGGCCTTCCCTGGACGTGGTGTGCGAAGGGGAGCAGGATGGTCTATGGTGAGAGAGCAGAGCGAGCAGAGGCCCGGAAAGCACTGGTAAGAAGCAGAGTGCCACCTTCCTGGGCTCCTCGGTGGGCCAGGTGGGAAAAGGAACCCACAGCTGCGGAGGGTAACGGGCATGAGAGGGACAGGGCCCTCCCCTGACTCCATGACGTCCTCTGTACGTCACAGCCTCTCAGCTGTGTCCCGGCCATCGGGCAGCCCCCCGAGCAGAAATGTCTTTCCCTCCACCCACTTCCTGACGGTGATCTCTCACAGGCAGGGGCTGTCTCACTGATCTTTTCCCACTCCCACTCAGTGCTTGCAACACAGCATGTTTGCAGGGGCTTTAACTGGCTCCCCTGAAACTCATAATTGAAGTCCTGGCTCCCCAGAACCCCAGATGTGACAGTGGTTGAGGACAGGGCCTTCCAAGAGCAGAAAGTGTCCCTTCTGCGCACCCATACAGCGGGGCTAACAGGACCACGTGGTGAGGATTAGAAATACAATGCCTAAGGCACCTCGCCCTGGCCCAGGGACCATTCGGAGAAGCCAGGGCCGTGGTGGGAGGGGAGCCGGCCCCTGAGGTGAGCTCTCACCGTTGTCCTGAGCCAGAGCCTCCAGGTACTTCGCCTTCATCTGCTCCTCCTTGGACTGCTTCATCTCCCGAAAGTACTCGTACACCTCGGGGGGCAGCTTCTCCCCGGGGACGCGGAGTGGCAGCAGCAGGGTGTTGTAGGAGTCATAGCCCTTCAGCGACCTCAAGATCTGCGTGAGGACAGAGGGAAGTGCTGGCGGTGTCCCTGGAAGCTCCTTCCCACAGTCCTCCGTGGGGCTGCTCGCCCACCCGTCAGGCCCCTGCGCCTGCCCGAAGCGGGTGCGTGCAGAGGGCAGGGTGCTTCGGAGGGTCTAAAAGGTTCGCTGAGCCCTGAACCTGGGGAGATGGATCTTTATTTTGCTCCATTTCAGCTTGGACATTTAACGTGTGGAAGAGAATTTTCTTCTTGTTTTTAATTTGTTATTGTTGTTAATCTTCACCTAAGGATATATTTTTCCATTGATTTTTTTAGAGAGTGGGAGGAACGGGGAGAGACAGGGAGAGAGAAACATTGATGTGAGAGAGATACATCGACTGGTTGCCTCCCGCATGCGCCCTTGAGCAGGGCTGGGGATCGAGCCTGCAACCTAGGTATAGGACCCTGACGGAAATTGAACCTGGGGCCCTTCAGTCTACAGGCCCATGCTCTAACCACTGAGCAAAACTGGTGAGAGCTGTTCTTGTTTTGGTATTGTACTGATATTGTTGTAGTTTTCCATGGACAAAAGTACAGAACTCCTTTATCCACTTTGACAGATTCTTATAAAATATCATGCAGCATTATTATACTAAGTAAGGTGGTTTTCTCATAAATGGAGGATCCAGGGGGTAAACAAGTAAAATAGAATTAAGTATGCTATGTGTACACGTGTCTGAGAGAGAGAGAGAGATAGAGAGGAAGAGGGAAGAGGTAGAGAGGAAATGTGTAAATGTGTATTAGGATTGTCAGATGAAATATGGATGCCCAGTTAAATCTGAATTTCAGATAAACAATGAACACATTTTTTAGTATAAATATGTCCAATATTGCTTATCTGAAATTCAAATTTAACTGGGAAAACTGTGTTGTTGTTTTTTTTCCTGATAAATGTGGCAACTTTGGTGTATATGCATATTTATAAAACAAAGTCCTAGAAAGCAGTTACTTCCCATCTGACTCAATTTATCGCTACTGGCAAGTAATTGGACACCTGGCTCCACTGGTATGAAAAAAATCCGTCTTGTTAGATAACCTTTCTCCAGGATCACCATTTTCAGTTGCTTGAAAACAGCGGTTAATAAGATCATCTAAAATATATATATATTGAAGAACAAAGGGCTAAGAATAGTTAGAGAATAAAGAAGATTGAGGAGAGAGGATCGTCATACCAGATATCAGGATTTACGAAGCTGGAGTGATAGATATGGTGGCATTTATTTTGGGATAGATAAACTGACCAGTGAAACGGAAGAGAGTGTAGGACTGACATTCATAGATGGAGATTTGACATGGGACAGAGGTCAGTGTGGGAAGGAAGGGATATTCCAAAGACGGCTTGCTATGGAGACACTAAGCCTTGGCCAATGGCTTCAGTTGGGTAACTAAAGAGCCAGCTCCAGAGCTTCCCGTGGCATCAGCTGAAGGCTCTGCTGCAATCTCTCACAGCTGGTCTTCTTCTCGCCCAAGTGTACTTTCCTACTCTTCCCAGGAGTTTCCCCCAAGAGTGCTCCCTAATCAACCTTCTGTACGCAGACCGCAGAATCTTAAATTCTGTTCTCCATTGAGCTTGACCCACAACTGAGAATGCTGTGCCAACGTAAGCCATTGAGCATTTTATAAATACCCCATGAAAAGGTAGCCTTTAGAGGGACAGAGTCCCATTCTGAAAAAAACCTCTGGAGGCAGCATCTAAGTTAGGTAAAGCATAAACACTGGATGTAAACAAAGTATAAGATTCAAAGACCAAGTTGGGGGAGGGTCCCGAGGAAGCAGAGCCACCTTAGTTAGCTCAGCCAGTCCCAAATTCTTAACCCATGCAAAACATGAGATAACAGACATCCAAGTTGCTAAGCTTGGCGGTATTTTGTTGTGCAGTAATAAATAACTAATAAGAATCAGATAGCTAAGCATCAGACTCCATGAACAGCAAAACTTCCTTAAAGTTAAAAATTTCTGCTCTGGAAAAGATATTAAGAGAATGAGAAAAAGAACCACAGACTGGGAGAAAATATTTCAAAAGACACATCTGACAAAGGACTGTTATTTAAAAATATATATAAAAAACTCTTAAAAGTCAACAATAAGAAAACAAACAACCTGATGAAAAAGAAGGCAAAAGACCTTAACAGATACCTCAGCAAAAAAGATGTACTGATGGCAAATAAGCATATGAGTACATGCCCCACGTTATATGTTATCAGGGAAATGCAATTAAGACAGCGATGAGTAGTACTACAGACCTAACAGAATGGCCAAGGTCCAGAACACTGACGACATCAAATGCTGGTGAGGATGAGGAGCAACAGAGACTCTTAATTATTGCTGACAAGAATGCAAAACGGTACAAGCACTTTGGGTGACATGTTGGCTGTTTCTTAGAAACCTGAACGTATTCTTATGCATTGTGCTCCTTGGTATTTAGCAAAAGGAGTAAAAATTTTGTCTGCGCAATATCCTGCACATGGGTGCTTACAGCGGCTTTATTCATAATTGCCGAAATTTGGAAGCAACCAAGATGTCCTTTAGTAGGTGAGTGGGTAAATAAATTGTAGTATTAATAGATCCAAACAATGGAATGTTATTCAGCGACCAAAATAATTAGTTATCAAGCCACAAAATGACATGAAAGAAACTTAAGTGCATATTATTAAGTGAAAGAAGCCAAGTTAAAAAGGCTACATACTGATTATGACTATATGACATCTTGGAAAAGACCAAGTTATGGAGACAGTAAAAAGACCAGTGATTGCCAGGGCTCACAGGAGGAGGAGGAGATTAATAGGCTGAGCACTGATTTTTAGAGCTGTGAAATTTCTCTATATGATACTATAATGATGCATAAATATCATTATACATCTAGTCCATAGCGCATATAACATCAAGAGTGAACTTGAATGTACTATAGATTCTGGGTGATTATCGTGGGTCAATGCAGGTTCATCAATTGAAGCAAATGTACATTCTAGAAAGGGATATTGACAAAGAGGGAAGCTATGATGTGTAGGGGCAGGAGGATATTCCAATCTCTGTACCGTCCCCTCAATTTTAATATATTAAAACTGCTCTAAAAAAACAAAGTTAAAAAAAAAAGAACATGAAGGAGCAGCTAGAAATTATACAGCTCAGAACAAACAGAAAAAAAGTGGCATTTTTATACATCAACATAATTATATTAAATGTAAATGATCTAAATATACCAGCTATGGACAGAGACTGTCAGAGTGTATTAAAAAAAAAAAAGACCTACTTATGTGCTATCTACAAGAAACTCACTTCAGATATGACTGCTGCATATATTCTTCACTGTTTGAATTTTAACCATTAGCATGTGTTAATTTTCCAACTGGTTGTTTAAACGCATAATGAGATCACAAAGAGGTAATGGATTCTGCTCAGGGCAAGGGAAGGTGGTTAGAAAAGTCTACAAAGTGACCTTTAAATTGACAAGGAAGGGTTCAAAGGGAAGGAGAGGCAAAGGTCAGGGGGCAGTTGCCTTGGCAGAGAGAAGGGCACCAGCACATGGCAGGGCCCGATGTGGGCAGGAAGTGGAGGATGGGCTTCGGCCTCTGCTCACCTTCTCCTCTACGAGATACTGCTGGTCAAATTCTAAGGAGTAAAACTCAATGGGGAAGTCACAGGGGTTCTTCACCACCACCTCGGCCTCGTCTCCGGGGGCGTAAGGCAGCAGTGGCCCCAGCTCCAGGATTAAAGGACTGAATTCCAAGCGTGGCTCTAAACCCTGCCCCTGTGCCAGCAGCGTAAGCTTCTGAGTACTACGGGCAAGCTGGAACGTCAGGGTTTGACTGTAGAATTTCTGGAAAACATAAAAACAAAACAAACATCTGATTTTTTCCCCCTGTTACACACCATGTGAAACTGAAAACCACTAGGGTTCGGGGTGAGGGGAACAAAATTTAGATAAAGAGAGAAGTTCAGATGAAGAGAGAAAAGTTTTCTTATGAAATAGCATGAGAGTAATTTCTGTTACAGGATGAATGCTGCCTATTGCAGGCCAGGTGCTGTATCAGTCCTCTATCACTTGGAGAAGGTCCTCTTAGTGCCTTGCTCATGTCCCTCAGACGTCCAGGCTACTCAGATGTCCCACTGCCACGCTCTGAACCTCTGGGCCTGCTCCCCTGGGCTCTCATTTCATGGGCCTGGCTACCCAGGGACAGGGTGGGGCAGAGTGACAGAGAGTAACACCTCCTGAGTGCGGCCCTCTATCAGGGACTCTAAGGCCTTAGCTCCCTCGCTCCTGGGGAGGGGCAACTCTGAAATGTGCACTTTGCATATTTTCTAAGTGTTTCCCGTGGGATGAGGTTCCAGTCTCCAAGGTAGCTGAGTCACTCATACATCCTATCAGCTGCCTTCCTTTCCTTTACCGTTTTTCTACGTTTCTATCGGCATTCCCTACGCTTCTCAGATAATCTGTTCACTTGAAAAAATGCCTCCAGGGACGAAACTGGTTTGGCTCAGTGGGTAGAGCGTCGGCCTGCGAACCAAAAGGTCCCAGGTTCGATTCTGGTCAAGGCATGTACCTTAGTTGCGGGCACATCCCCAGTGTGTAGGAGGCAGCTGATTGATGTTTCTAACTCTATCCCTCTCCCTTCCTCTCTGTAAAAAAAATAAATAAAATATATTTTTAAAAATGTCTCCAGGCTTGTCTCCTGGAGAATCTGAATGACTGTATTTTCATTTTTTGACCACAGAGTTAAGTCATGGGTAATCAGCTACAGAATTCACTTCATCTGATATAGTTCGGATCCAAGTACCATTTGGTAGTGATGCCACTGATCGTACTCTCGTTTCACTAAGGAACTTATTTAAAGATGTGGGGTTCATGGGCCTCATCCCAAACTTCTATGTTTTAATTGCTTTCTATGGAAACATTGCAAAAACATCCCATTCATTTCCTTGTTTTCTAACGCGAAGTATTCTGAACACGTTATAATGTCTAGGAGTTGTGTGTATGGACATCAGTGATTTCTCTGCTGCTGATGCTGATGGAGGTATAGGTGCGGATTGTATGGGCTGCAGGGCAAACCAATGACGTGTATATAGCTAATAAATTCCTCTCCTAATCAATGGAAGCATTTTATTAACTCTGACCAATTCAATCTTTATGGAACTGCCTGAAGGAAGATTTTTTAGAACTATATTTACTAACATTTCCCTTTCAATAAAACAACCAAAACCTTGAGTAGGCCCCTTGACAGTCTTAAGATTCTCTAACAATGAAAAACATATTAATTCTATTTTCTTTTTAAAAGGGTTGGGGATATTTTTATAATAATAGAAACAGGGATTTTATTTTATCTTGTTTTAATTTTTTGTTGTTGTTAATCCTCACCCAAGGGTATTTTTCCCCCCATTGTTTTTTAGAGGAAGTGGAAGGGAGAGAGGGAGGAGGAGAGAGAAAGAGAGACACATCAATTGGTTGCTTCTTGCATGTACCCCGATGGGACCTCCAATGCAGGTATATGCCCTGGACTGGGAATCGAACCTGTGACCCTTCAGTGCATGGGCCGACACTCTAACCATTGAGAACACTGGCCAGTCATAGAAACAGGGATTTTATTTCAGAATCAGATATGAAGTCATTCACTTTCTTTCTCACTGCAGATTCTTAAACATTTCCTCAAAGCCATTACCAGGAAAACCATAGGTATTTTAAAAACTTGCATGCTTTTTTTTCCTTTTAAAATAAATTTTTAAAAAGACTCTCAAATGCCTTAAGCTTAGAACAAAAGTCTTCATAGTGTAACCTTTTGAAATCCTCTCTGGTTCTAAGTTTTTATTATTTTTACTGTGTTCTTTGTCAGAAGTAGCTTTGTGCTGTGGTATTCACAAATGAAACATTTCTGAGGCTCAGACAGTGTCCTCCAGGAGGTACTTATTATTATCAAAACTACTAATGATAACAGTTAATAGTTCTTGAGACACTTACTACATATAGAGCAGTACTGCTGTCCATTTTATTCACATTAATCCACTTATTCTACAACATGACCCTAGGAGGTAGCTATTGCACTTGATAATGTCTTACCTGAAACCCTGGGGACAGACACATTCAAATTCAGAATTTTACAGAGAACAGGTACCCTATGTTACCCAATAGCCCCAGCAGGGTCTGGGGCAGGTCCTCTGGAGTCAAACACATTAACATTTCTGCATTGCATTGTTAGACTCCGCTAACTAAGTGGGATAAATAAAGGTTATGTAGTCTCATGACAGTTCAGATGAGGTTTTTCTGCCAAATGAGTTTGGGTCTGAAACTTATGAAATTTCCCCAGTTTTTGGAGCTTATTTGGATTCAGAATTGCAATAAGGGATTATTATTATTTTTCATACTATCTCTGAGGAAACTGAAGTTGAGCGAGGTTAAGGAATTTGCTCAAAGCGACACAGTCTCTAATTGCAGAGGCAGGGGGCCGTTAACCCAGACCTGCTGGGAAAGCCGATGTGTCAGGCAGATGTGCTGATTGCAGAGCAGATGCTCTTAACTTCAGGCCACACAGCTTCTACGTGAACCGAAGCATTGGCCATACCATAATCAGAACAGAAGGCACAGGTCGCTTAAAGCTTCCCTGGACACCCACTGGAGACCCCATGAAGCCTGGGCTTTGAGTAAAGCTCGGAGATTCGAAGTCTGAATGGAACCACATTTCTTTTCCGCTTACCTCTTCTTTGGGCATGAACCTCACTTGCACATTATACTTCTCACCAGGATCCAAGACCCCTGAAGTGGGCTGGATCTCAAAGATCCGTGTCTTTGGCTTGAATTCAGTATGTAGCTTCCGTCTTAAGTACTTTGGCATGTGTTTCTCCAGCTGATTAATAAATATTAGGCAATTAGATAACCATCTCTGGAAAATGGACTTATTCCAGCCTCTACTCACTCCACCTGCTCAGTGCCTCCCAGGCATCAGGGAATGGGTAGGTACCAGGGGTCCAAAGATGAATAAGACATTCACCAGACAGATGGCCTGATGGATGCTCAAGTGCTGAGCGAAGGAACTAGATTTTATTTAGGAGGCGATGGCTGTCACTCAAAGTCTGAGCAGGAGAGTGAAATGACAAGAATGAACCCCTAGAACATCTGGCTGAAGTGGAGACGAAAAAAGGGGATCAACGGGCCGCAACTCACTTACCTTGTTAAATGGCTTATGGATGACGACAAACCATTCACAGGGAACTTGAAGCTGATTGTAGAGCTGAATAGTTTCCACAAGGCACTGTCCACACTGAATTGTGGCAAACTCCACTCTTTCACAAGACAGTGTCATCGTGGGAATGGCCACGTGGACTTGCAGACAGATGTGAACTGTTGGCCCTCCAACCACCTAGAGCGACCGTGAAATTGTGTTAACGTAGCATGTGGCCCAGGGTCAGGGGTTGGGGGTGGTGGGGAGAGAATCATGACTCTGAAGTAGTAACTGGATCACCCCAGGGGTGATGGACCAGCAGAGGTGGGAGCTGGGAAGGCTCAGCTGGCCCCAGCGGTGCATCTTACTTTGATGGGCAGAAGGGCTTCTTTGTTTCCAACAAAATTATTGGTCCCTTGCGAGTCAAATCTCATTTCAAATGATTCCGTTTCGCAGTAAGGCAGATGCTTTACACGATCCAGCTCAGTACTAAAGCCTGGACCAAGACAGACAACATTTCTTTGTGGGAAAGAGAAATAGTAAACAAGAGCTGCTTTAGTTAGAAGCCCCCTCTGGGGCAGGATAACCATTCAAAGACCTAATTAATGACCCAACAGTTCTTTCTGCTGACCCCAGAGGAAACACACATTCTTCTCCAGAAAGACAGGACAGATGGCCTTGTTGGGAATGGCAAGGGGCAGTGGGAAAGGTCTTCCCGGCCTGGTTACCTGTGTCGTGAAGGACGCGCTTTTCCGCATGGAAGGACACTGGGATGTGACTGGTGTTGGTGATCTTGACGATGTGTGATCGGGTGTCACCAAGGATGATATGGCCAAAGTCTAGGATATACTCTGGCAGCTGGATCCTGAAATGAGTAACAAGCTCTCCTTCCAGTCACTCTTCCAAAAGCGAGGGAGCGTGGGGCTCTCTCCCATCTCCTGTGCACAATGCTATACTCTGGAGTTGGGGACAATGAATGGCCCCAGAAGGGAGACCAGGTACCAGCTACATCTTCCCTCATCAGAGCCCACACTGTTGTTTCAGCCATGACCTCAAAACACCTTCAACGTGGGCTCTCATGACCCTGAACCTGGGCCTGTCCGTCAGACAAACCCAGTGGGTTCCTGCCTGGTTAGCTGGAAGCTAAAGGATAGCAGATGCATGATGAGAAGGGATTACACTCCTGCATGACCAACCATCATGCCAGGGAGCACTCTGCTGGGCGGCAGTGCTCGCTCTACTATACCCTGAAACAAACAACACGGAAGGGCACTCACTTGGCTAGTCTGTGGCGACCCCGATGGCCGACTTCGTCCAGGGGATCGTAGATGACTGTTTTCTGATGTTCCATGGTATAGTTTTGGACTATTAGTCGCTCTACTTCCATCTGGAGCTGGGCATTTACCTGGAGCAACGGAGAAGAGCAAAGGAGCAAACTTTCCCAGAACACGCATTCTCAGTGTGGGCACTATCACCCCTCGGGGTGATAGGCAGTCTATTGTGATATTAACATTTCCACGGGGGTGGGTGGAGTATGCAAATAGCACAGCTATAGCATGAGCAGTCTCAGCTATAGAAAGGGATGAACTACTCATATTGATGGATCTCAAGGGCATCATGCTGAATGAAAAAAAGCCAACCTCAAAGATTACATACTGTGTGATTCCATTTACACAACATTCTTGAAATAACAAAAGTATAGAGGTGAAGAACAGATTAGTGGTTGGTAGGGCAACAGATGGAGAGATTTAGGATAGGTAGGATGTCAGAGCAAATAAAATAAAAAAGAAGGAAAGCGACTTCTTCCCACTCCCTCTTCTTCTTCTTCTTTAAAAAAAATATTTTATTGACTTTTACAAAGAGGGAGAGGGGTAGAGAGTTAGAAACACTGATCAGCTGCTTCCTGCACACCCCCTACTGAGGCTATGCCCACAACCAAGGTACACGCCCTTGACTGGAATCTAACCTGGGACCTTTCAGTCCACAGGCCGATGCTCTATCCACTGAGCCAAACCAGTCAGGGCTACCCAGTCCCTCTTCTTAGAGCATTCACTTTAGAGAACTTGTTACTTTTTTTTTCTGCCTCTTTGAAATGCATGTAAATCTTCCTGAGGGCCATATAAGCTTCTTGTCAGCTTTACTACTCAAAGTGCCTTTCTTAAGGATCTGGGACTGTTTCTTGATGTGATCATCAAGGATAATGGAGCCCCTACCGCCCAGTTTTTTTAAATATATATATTTTATTGATTTCAGATAGGAAGGGAGAGAGAGAGACACCACGGATGAGAGAAAACCACTGATAGACTGCCTCTTGCATGCACCCTATTAAGGATTTAGCAAGGTGGGCATGTGCCCTTGACTGGAATTGAACCCGGGACCCTTCAGTCCACAGGCTGATGCTCTATTCACTGAGCCAGACAAGCTAGGGCTCTACTGCCCGGTTTCTGTGGGAGCCTAAAGTCAGAGGGCCCTGTCATAAAAACACAAGAAGTTTGGTTTCCTTTGGATAAGGCCAATTAGCTAACACAGATGGTCACTCCAATCACCATGTGATTTTAGAATGAACTATGTGTGACAAATGGTGCTGCCAAGTCTGCTCGTGAGGACGAGTGATAGCTCTTACTTTGGGATTAGTTACTGACTCACTTGAAAATATTTATGCATCTGCTCAGCTAAATATAAGAGGCTGAGCCTTCTTCCTGTCATGGCAATCTCTTAGTAAACTGCCTGTGACACAGATCGCATTCTGGTTTCATAATAATTTTTTTTTTTAATTTTTCATTTATCTTTGTGGAGAGATTTTTCTGGCTTGGAAGGAGATTTTGTGTAATTCTGTTTCCCCAACAAGCACAAGGATCCTTGTGGTGAAGGAGCTGTTCTATTTCTTAACGGTGGCGGTGGTTTACACATATCTACACATGAAAAACTCACGAAAGAGCATCCCCTACCCCCACATGCCAGTGCACATGAAATTGATGCATGATCTCCTCAGCAAGTACCAATGTCGATCTCCTGGTGTTGATGTTATACTATAGTTATGGAAGATGCTACCAATGGGAAATATATTTTTCACAACTTCCTGTGAAAAATTATTTCAAAATAAAAATTAAAACATTTAATGCCAAACCATTCAAAATAGATTATGTTTTACATATAATGCATGTATTTCATGGGGTATCACCCAGTACACTTCCTGGAAAACTCTCTATCTCCTGTGATCACAGTGACCATCTGATAACTCTCAAATCACTTTCTCCAACTTCTCTCTCCCCCCGGGTCCATAGCAATGGTTCCAGCTCCCTATCGGGTGCCTCTACGTGGAGGATGCACAGAAATCTCAGATGTAATAATGGACCATTTGAATTCATCTGCCTTCCTCCTCTTCCACCCAAAACTTGTTTCTCATCCCGAGTTTCTTATCTGAGTGTCCCCTCCTTACTTTGTCATACAAGCAAATCACTTACAAGTTACCTCCTCTTCACTCCAACATGTGCTCAATCCATGACCAACCCACCTCCAAACTATTTCTTGAATTCACCCAATTCTCCCTACTTTCCGGGCCATCACCTGTTATCTAGAATGACTCCAGCAGATTTAAAATAAAAGATGCAAAATACGATTATGTACGGCCTCCATTGAAACACAGCGCCTTCTTCCTGTGGCCCTCAGGATAAAGTTCACAATCCTCAATAGGTTCAACAGCGCTTGGTTCCCTTTCCTCACCTCATCTCTGCTATACCCTTTCCTCCTTTCCATGTTCTTTCTGCCCCTGGATCTTTGCACATACGGCCCTTCTGCCACATACATGCTGTGCAAGGACTAAGGTTAGTCTTACCATAATATGCTCATCCTCAGGAATTTCCTCAATGATCTCTGTGTGACTAAATGTTTCATATTTGTCTAACTCATTTTTTAGGTTCTCTCTGGCCTGATTCAAGAAGAATTCGTACTTTTCATTTCCTGTGGGGATTGGGAGAGAAGAAAATCAGGAGGGTTAGAAATATATGAATTATGTCCCAAACACAGACCCTTAGTTCAGGTTAAATAGTGAGAAGAGAAATGAACGTTTTTGGTGCCTTTGTTTTCTCTGCTTTAGAGGGTGAGGTCATGTGTGAGCGAGCTGAATTTGTACCAGAGACATCACTGCGTTTAATGAGATGATGCTTTAGTACCAGCTGGTTCTCAAGAAGCGGGTGGTGGTAACATCCTAAGCCAATCTTACGTTGACTGCCTGGATCCCAGCTTACCTGGTACATTCCCAGTTCTAGTACAGACAGCTGCACAACTAGAGAAATCCCTCAGGCTGGACCAACCCAGACAGCTGGTCACCCTTTCAATTAGTTTTCATGGGCCTTAAATCTCAAGTTGCTTTAATTACAACTAAATAAACTACAATCCCCAAAATCAGGGAGGGCAGGCAAGTGGCGGAGAGGTTTCAGATCCTCAAGTCTACCAGTAAGCAATGCAAGGCAGGCAGAGGAACTACAGTGCCTTTAGGAAATGATGGGAAGCCGGGGGACTGCAGGGGACCGGCGCACAGAAGACCCGGCTAATGGTAGTCAGATTTCAATGATTTTAAAGCCTGTACTGGCCTACCCATGTCTGCTGCCATAGGAGGCCAGCTGGGTGCCTATGTCCAGCTGTGGTAAAGGCCTTCCTTCCTGTCAATTCTGTGTGGACTTGGTCTGACTTCTGTCTGCTGGAACTCCAGATGCCAGGGTGTGACATGGTCTTAGTTTTACTAATGCTTGTGTTCATATTTCCAGGGAGCAGACTATTAGCATTTGATAGATGATTATCAACAGTTGAGTTAGTGACTTTGGGGAATGGGATGGCAGGAAAGGAAGAAGTGTGAAGGTTTAGTCTGAATCTATTTAGGAGCTAGAAGAGGGATTCATGAAGAAGAGTGAAGTTTCTCTGGCCTCTGTCTCAACAAGAAAGAACCAGAGTCTATGGCTATAAGAGAGCTGATCGCCTTTCAGATCTGCCAAGACAGAGGGAGGCCAGATGCTACGAGGAAGCCTTGGCTAGAGATGTGGGCAGGCGATTAACAAGTCTCAATTCTCTTCCAAACTCCGTAATACCAAAAAGGAATCAGAACCTTGGTTGCCTTTCAGTAGAGTTTATATTTTGAGAATTCTACACCTGGCAGTAAAATCAGCCTTCAGGTTCTCAGCGGGCACCTGTGAGGGTGCCACTGGGGAAGGACAACTCGGAGGGAGATGACAGTTGGGAGGAACATGCGCTGGAAGGAAATGCAGTTGGAAGAGCAATTTCCTGATGCCTCAATGATGGCAAAGCTGACCAGGGGTCTTAATGTGCGACTGCCAGGACCACGTCTTATCTCACTAAACCCAGGTCACCACGTCAATTTCAACTCTTGACTTTCTTGCAGTGGAGGAATAACACAGAAGGGAACTAGTAGGGACTGCCACGGAAATGATGTGGGTTGCCTTCAACCTTCAAGAGAGCAAAGCTAAAATGCATATTTTGTCCCCTGTGGTGAACTATGATGGCGGGTAGCAGTACCTTTGAGGTTTCTGGGGAGATCGAGGCAGATTCGGGGGAAGATTCCCTCTCCACTCAGTGTGATACACTCCGGGTCCAGGTGGGCGATCTGTACCTGAAAACTTCTTTGAAAGATCTCAGGAACTCCAGGTAAGTAGTAAACCTTCAACTCCTGCTCTTTAAGTGAACTGATAAAACCCTGTGCAGCAGAAAGACCAGAGTGAAGATTCAAATTGGTACAATGGACTCCTGCTGCTGGCAGTTTGATGGACTAGGTAACCCCAAGGGCCTGCAGTGCTGTGTATTCTCCATTCAACATTCCCTCCCCAGGATTTATTTTCATGAGGAAATTATTTTCATGATGAGAAAACTTCAACAAAAGTACCTTAAAGCTGGTAGGTTAACGTACAATGTACAAGAAAGTACTCCCTCCATTTGCTTTGAAAACCAATTTGGCCCATTGCAGTCTACTGTTGTTTTCATACCTGCTAGTGAAAAATTGCTCTTGTTGTGGTCCATGGACAGAAGGCCCTCAGCTTCAAAGGATCACAAGGGAAGTGTGAGGACATAAGTAGGAAACTATTTTGCCCGCGCTGACAAGTGGATTAAGTGTCAGCCTGCAGACTGAAGGGTCTTCTTTGGGTTTGAATCTGATAAAGGGCATCTTCCTCGGTTGTGGGCTCCATCCCTGGCCCTGGTTGAGGTATGTGTGCAGAAGACAACCAATTGATGTGTCTCTCCCACAACGATGTTTTCTCTCTCCTCTCTCTCTCTTTTCCGCCTTTTCTCCCTTCCTCTCTTTCTAAAAATCAATGGAAAAATATTCTTGGGTGAGGATTAACAACAACAAAAAAGAATAAAAAGGGAAAAAAAATCTATCTTAAAAATATGAAAAAAACATCTAGGGGGTTGTATTGTCTTTTTCCTTATTGGACTCCTGGTGCTTGAATGGTGCCTGGCGAATGCAGGACTCAGTAAATATTTGTTTAGTGAATGAGTGAAGTGCTTGGATTGATTTATTTTTCTTGCTTCTGAGAGCTCTTTGATTTTAAAAATATCATTTCCATAATCCTGGCCGGGAATGTTTAGTGTAATGTGACCTGGCTCTGGGTTGACTTGAAGGTTGGAATTGGGGCTCCTCTGACCATCATCACATGGCTGCTTACTGAAAGAGGCAGGATGAGTGGCACTCCGGGCATGAGGTTGTCCGGCGAAGAATGGTAATTGGTCAGCACCTTGAACTCGAAGCCGACTTTCCCAGTGTTCTTCAGTGTGACTTTATTCTCTGTGACCCGGTCGAACAGCTTGAGGAGAAGGAGGAAAACAGTGACCCCTGTGCCATCGCCCTTGGGGATGCTGCTGTCATCCTAACAAAGGTGGCTGGACAAACATGCCTCAGAGACACGGATTTTATTTCTCAGGATGCTAGACGCTGCCAGTCTCATTTCAGTATCACAAAAAGGTGCCGACTAGCTCTACCTTAGTTCTCGTAACAACTCATATAGGTCAGTATGACTGTGGGGTGAGCATCTCATCTCCCCAGACTTCAGTTTCTTCACCACAAAGACCTCATATTATAGGATCTTAAAGTAAGCTTTTCTACACCAAGATTCCCCCCCCCTCCTCCTCCTCCTCCTCTTCCTCCTTCTTCTTCTAAAAGATTTTTCTAGAATGAATTTCTCTATTTATATGGTAAGACTGGGAATAATAGGTCAGACATGATCTTGTTTACACAATTCAGCAGCTAACCAGCAAGTCCAATAATCACAAACTAAGGCCACCTTAGAGTCCTTAGGACAAGAGAGGGCAAGGACTAGCTGCTTTAAAAAATACGCTCTGAGCTGAGCCAGGACCAATTGCCAGCAGGACCCTGGAGATAAGGAATGAAAGAGAATTCTGTTTGGTCAGTGCAATAAAAAAGGTCTCAAAAGGTGCTGGGTAGATTTGATTTTAGCCACAATCTTTAACCTATAGATACACACGAACACACACACATATGATTCAGTAATTTAACTGCAGTAGCTACATTATGGGGATCCAGTTCCCATTAAAGTTTAGTAGGAAATATGGTCTCTGAGTACATAACACAAAATCTAATTGGGAAGAGAAGATGTAAAGACATTGAATTAACTAGCAATTATTCCAAAGCAAAAATTAGAAGATACAAGATATTATGGCAAAGACTATACATTAGTGCTCAGAGAATATCAAATAAGAGAAAGACAAGTGAGGAATGGAGCTGAGCTGGACCTCCCAGTATGCATAAGTCTGGGCTGCAGGATGGAGGATGAGTGGGGTAATTTAAGAGTAAGTGTGCAGGCCTGAGGGGCTGGGATGCATTAGGACCAGCGGGTAAAACATCTTGGCCCCAAATGAATGAAGAGCTGTAATGGGGAGGGATGAAGAACCAAGTTTAACCTGTTAACCGAGCAAATTTATAAATACATTAAACGTAAACAATATCTGGAACAAGGATGACATATGAATACGTCCTTGAAATATATGTTGCGCCCTGAAACGAACAGTATACATTTTTTGTAATCTTTATAAGTGTTTTAATTCGATGTTTCCATTTTTTTGTTGGTATTCTTTTCTATTTGTTTGTAATTTTGTATTTTCCTTTGTGCTTTATATATAAATAAATGAAAAAATATATATTTCATTTATTTTAAGTAAGTATAAATAAAAATAATAATAATATGAAATTACATCCACCGGGCGTGACGTACTGACACGTCCTAGTGTAAGAGTATGCGCCCGTTATACTTTGCGTATAATTAAAAAGGGAACTCCCCGGTTAACAGGTTAATGTAAGGAGCAGCAGTTAATGGGGGGACTTGGGATGCCCTTACCCAATAGAGAAACCTGCAATAGCTATGTTATGGGCGGCAGAGGAAGGGACTCATGACTGAAGACCTTCTCTGGCCCAGCACAGTATTGACCGGTCCCTTAAGTAACCACAACCACTTGGTGAGACAGGCATTGCTACCCCATCCCCATTGTATAGGTGAGGGACGCTGAGGTTTGGAGAGGTTAGGTGATGTGCCCAAGGTGACACATTAGGAAGTAAAATCAGGATAATATCCCAGTTCTCCTGACTACAAAACCATACTACTAATATTTCCTCAATACTACGAGGCCTTCCCAAATGCCGCTGGATGAACTGTTCAGGGATTAATGGGATAAAAATGAAATTTGGGGACCATCTGTCTGGCAATAGATGTTTAAATGGGTTAGCAGAGTTAGCTAAGCATGGGTTGTAATCCCTCACTTCCTTGGGGTCCGTGGACCAGCGGTAAAGTCATCACGTAGGAGCTTGTTAGAAATACAGATCCTCAGGCCCCGCCCTGGATCTACTGGACCAGAATCTGTACCTGAACAAGATTCCCAGGTGACTCGTACACACATTACAGTTTGAGAAAAACTGCTGTAACAATTTAGGCGTGGCTTGATGGGACTCTGCAGTGTGATAACCACAGTGGCGGTGGGGAAGGAAAATCGATTCAGAGGGGTCCCGCTGGATGAATCAGCAACCCATGGGTGCCGGAAGGCTGCGGGGAGGTGAAGGAGAGAGTGCAGTGGGAATGCCGTGGAGACGGTAAACTCCAGGGACTGAGGCGGTAGTGTGACACTGAGAGAAACAGAGAGGTTGGGATGAGTTTGTGGATTGAGAGGGAAGATGCACATTTTAGCATCTAGCATGCTGAATTTCAGGAGACGGTGAGAAAAGCAAGCGAAGACACTTGGCAAATGGTTGGCAGCGGGAGGATGCCCAGGGTTAGCAGGAGCGGGAGGGGGAGGCAGATGAGAGGTCAAGGATAGCGGTGATGGTGAGACTATGGTGATTGGGGTTCCAGAGAGCTTAGCGCACAAGGATGATTTAAGGCAAAAGCAGAAAACCTCCTGATGGTGGCCATACCTGTAACCCATAGTTGATGTCCTTGGTGTCAAAGGAATAGCTGACCACAGAGGCCTCTCCCCGTAGTGTTATCTCATAGTTGGGCCCTCCTTCCACTTTGCACAGAGCTTTCGCCTGGGCGACCATGTCACAGTGTCCATAAAAGGTGAAAGCTATCTGGTAGCTACGGTACGGCTCCAGCTCTCCATACAGGGGCAAGATGTCAAACACCTGCAGGGAGAGTCATTCTAGATGAGAGAATCTATCGGGATGGGGAGCCGGCAAAAGGTAAGTTTAAGTCCAGGCGATTTACAGATCATTTCCTCACTAATTTGTTTGACTCCATGCCAGGTGACTAACCCAGCACCTTGAAAATACAGGATGGTCACGGCAGTAACAGTGCTCTGGCAAGACTTAAATGTCTAACGTGGGGCAGTAATAAGAATTGGTGTGAGGTGACTTTGGTGCCCAGGAGATGTTACTTCTTCTATCCCAAGGGAAAGTCTCTCTTCCTGTTCGGAGAGCCGTAGGGATTCCTGAAACTCCACCTGGCTCTGGTTTGGCTCTATTCTTTCTGTTTCAGCAGAGTTCCCTTTTAATCCCTCAAAATTAGAGGTGTGAGGGGAAGTTAGCAAGCAGTTACAATGGGGTCATCAATGTGCTTCTCCCCATCACAAAGAAAAATGAAGCATGTTGTGTATATTTTAAGAATACAGGCATATTTCGTTTTAGTGCACCTTACGTTTTATTGTGTTTTGCAGATATTGCTTGTTTTTTTTTTTTTTGTTTTGTTTTTTTTACAAATTGAAGGTAAGACCCTCCACTAGCAAAAAGATTATGACTCCCTGAAGGCTCAGAGAGGTTAACAATTGTTAGCAATAAAGTAATTTTTAATTAAGGTATGTATATTGTCTCTTTTAATACATATGCTATTGCACACTAAATAGACTACACTATAGTGTAAACATAACTTTTACTAGAGGCTCAGTGCACGAATTCATGCACTAGTCGGGTTCGGCCAGCCCACCCTGATTGGGGCCGATTGTGTTTGGGCCAGCCAAGGCAAGGGGACACAGGAGGTTGGCTGGCCGGCCCCACCCTCAATTGGGCCGGTTGGCCAGATGCAATGTGTGTCATAGCTATGGGTCATTCCAGTCATCCCAGTCACTTGACTTTTATATAATAGATTTACTTTATTGTGGTGGTCTGAAAAGAACTGACATATTATAGTACGCCTATAATACATTTTTTTCCCTATGGAGATAATTGGACAATTTTTTTTTCCTATGGAGATAATTGGACAAAATGTATGTACAGGGATGTTTACTGCAGCGTTATTTAAAGTAGCAAGACTTTAGAAGCCAATTAAATGCCTATCAATAAGGGATCACTTTAAATGAAGTGTATGTGGTATTCTACTCATGAAGGATGATGCAATGTGTATTTATGGACTAGAAATAATGCGCACAATAGATTATTGAGTGAAGAAGCAGTTCCATCTATGTAAAATGAGATATGCCATTGTATCACCCTGGAAGATGTGAGCATATGTACATTCATTCAGAGATTTGCATATGCAAATAGATATACCTGGGAGGCTGTTTGCTAAAATTTCAGTAATATTTTTTTCTATAAATGTTGGGATTTTGAGGATTTTTGCTTTCAATTTTCTGTTTTTTTGAGTTTCCTCTGACAATCATCTTTAGCTATAGGAAAAAAATTAACATTTCAAAGACAAGTGTTTTATATACAAACACATACACATTCTAAAAAAATGTGAAAAATACAGAAACATTAAAATAGGGAAATACAAATCAACCATGAGATTATACTGTAGATATATGAATATATGTGTGTATATTTGTATATATATTTATATTTTGAGTTTTCAGTTGATATTATGAGTGGTGCTTTCCCATGTAACTAAATATTCTTTACAAGTATCATTTAAAATAATTTAAAAAAATTGGCCCTAACTGGGTTTGCTCAGTGGCTAGAGCTTCAACCTATGGACTGAAACGTCCCAGGTTCCATTTTGGTTAAGAGCATGTGCATACGTACATACATAGTACATACCTATGTACATACTTCAGCTGCAGGTTTGACCTGCACATATGGGAGGTAACCAATTGATGTATCTCTCTTACAATGATGTTTCTCTCTCTCCCTCCCCTTCCTCTATTTCTAAATATCGATGGGAAAATAACCCTTGGGTGAGGAATAACAACAAAAATAGAACATGTAGTATTTTTTACTTAATATATCAGAGATTGATCCAAGTCAATATATAAAAAAACTTCCTCATTTTCTGCAAAAGAATTTCATAGTATAATTCTTCTGCAGATGCAATTTAGTATATTTAACTGGTCTCGTATTATGGAGCCATTGCAGTTTTTCTTGCTTTTACCAACAGCGCTGCAATGAATGAGAACAATGACATGTCTTGATGTAAATGTAAAGGTGTATCTGGAGAATAATATCCCCCGCAGAGGAAGTGTGCATTTTAAATTCTGACACTCTCACCAAACCGTATGTCGAGAGGCTAAGCCAATGCATCCTCCTACTTAAGGAGGGTGACAATGCTTGCTTACCCCGCTCCGCAGCTGCAGTCGGCTATCCTCATGGACATACGCTACTTTATTTTTCCAATTTTTTTGCTATTTCTAAAGTGTTGTAACCAACATCTTTGTATGCAAATCTATGCATCTCCAATGATTTGCCCTAAGTCATTATTCTAGGAGAGCTTAAGGGTATGAATATGTAAAATCCCTTGATTCCCTCTTTGTTTTTACTGGGAAATCACCGAGGAAAATATTTCTCCTCTTAGAGCCTCATCGAGGGGCTGCAAAGAGCGCGAGGTCCCTCAGGTTCAGCGGAAACTGGCTTTTCCATCCTAGAGAGCGTTTGCTGCTGAGGTGTCTGCGCTCTCACTGAGGTGTCGGGCTCTGTGGGTGTTTGGTTGGGACGTGATCCGGATTGAATTTCGCAGCCTCATCACAGCCAAACCCCATCCCCCCCTGGCCCCTCTGCCCCTGGATCTGCTTCTGCCTCTGTTTTACAGAAAGTTCCCTGGACTTGCCACCCCGCCCCAGGCGAAGGAAACCGTACGTCTGAGTTGACCAGCTTGGGCGCTTCTGTTCTTCTGTGTTCTTTTTCTTTAAACCAAGTGTCTTCATCTGCAAGGGTGCTCCTGGGAGTGAACGAAATGTAGAGAATCACTGCTTTGACAGCCATCACAACACGGTAACCCCGTCTTCCTCCCGCCGCCCCTTGCCCCAAACAAGGACGCTTTTCTCAAGCGGTCAGCCGAGCAGCTCTCTGCCACTCCCCGCCCCAGGCAAGCAGCGCAGGGCAGCAGGCTGATCGATTTCCTGCAGGCCCAAGCCCTCTTTCCTGGCCTGTCACGTCTGCGTTCGACCTATGAAAAGCTCTGGGAGGGTCTGGAGGCTCTGGCGATCCCCCAGGTACTCTGGATGTGTTCCCCGTGCTCAAAGTTAAGTTGCATCATTTATTGGAGCATTTCGTTGTGAGGGTGTAATGCTTGATGAGTTCTCATATCCTCTTCTGCTTGCTGACCTTGACCTGACCTGGTGGTGGGCCTTAGGCAGATGGAGAGGGCACCATGGTAGGAAGGGCTCAGTCCCACAGGACTCAGGAGACTATGTGTGGCCTACTGAGAGCAGAGGTGACTTCTAGTCTAGGGCCTGACCTACAGAAGGCACTCATTAAACTGTAGACTGGTTGGATGAGTCTAAGAATATAAGTAAGTGCAGAGAGGAGAATGCTATTAAAATCATTCCAGTCTGGCTTTGCACTTACTTAACAAAATCACTTAGATCAATCTCAGGGGATTCGATCGCGGAGACTGCTGGCGAGCTGGTGGAGGCCGAGGACTCCATCTGGGGCAGGCGGGCACGGTCAGGCTTCCCCAGCCTCATCACAAACCTACAAGCTCATGGGCAAGTGACAGTCACACCAGCTGGTACAAGTCGGCGCCTGAGTGGACTCTTGATTCCAAATCCTAGACCAAGCAGGCCTAGAAGGGACTGCCCTACACCCTCCCTTGCTCAAATCTTAGCTGACGTTCACTTCCTCCTAAAAGTTTGCTGACCACCCTTCCCGGTCTGGATGGAGTCTCTCTTCTTTGAGTACCCACAAGCTCCTGAGCTTCCCCTCCGCACTTAAGTCTCCTGTCCCTGCTGGACCGTGAGCTCGATGCATCTGCTTCATCCTAATATGGTGCCTGGAACGCAGCAGGCACTCAGGCATGTCTGTGAATGAATGGGTACCAGGATCCTGCTCCCAGAGACCCAGAAAGCAGGGCAGGACTCGGGCGAGGAAGGTGGGGCACTCAGCCTCTGGCCCTGTGGGTGCGGCTCAGCCTTCGCAGGGCCCTGCTTCCACAGGTTTGCTCTTGGGTCCCCTACTGCTCCACCCAGGTCCTGGCCCAGCCAGTTGGCTCTACTGCCACTCAAGTTCCTCCGAGCAGAGGATGGAGGGGGAAATCGGTGACTGTCCAGGTCTCATTGACCAGAAAGGCCTTTGGATGTCACAAAGGCCCGAGTGGCAGGGTCACCCCCATTCTTCCTGTTCCCCTCAGGCTGCACGTGGCTTTTAGGGACTCCTCCCCTCCCACGACTCAGGCCGTTATATTAATATCAACCCAATGTCACTTGCATATTCATTCTGGCCCCGCGTGCACTTCACTCTGTCTCAGAGGCCCAGCGGAAATGTCACTTGTTACACCAAGCACTCAACACTGTCCCATCTTGCCATGGGCGTTTTCCTCCCTCTTGAGTTTCAGATCATCTCATCTGCACTCTTTTAGGATACTGTCCACTCTCTAGCATGCACCCTTTCCTTTGCCAACTTTTTGACTTCTGCCAAATCGAGTATCACTTGTTAAATCAATTTTCACCGAGGTATAATTTACAGACACGATGCACTCATGGTAAGCATACAGTTTGATGCGTTTTTACAAATACACACACACCTACAAAACCATGATCACATTAACACACTGAACAATTCCAACCTCCCCCAAAGTTTCCCTGTGCCCCTACCCAGTCCGTTGGTTCCGCACACTCACCTCTCCTGAGCACTGTGGACTAGACATGCTGACAGCTGCACACACGTGTGTTTATTAATATTGCACTCTTTTGTACCTGACTTCTTTCAAACAGTGGGATGCTTTTATTTTTAAAATATTTTTTATTGATTTCAGAGAGGAAGGGTGAGGGAGATAGAAATATCAATGATGAGAGAGAATCACTGATGAAATATCAATGATGAGAGAGAATCATTGATTGGCTGCCTCCTGTACACTCCACAGTGGGGATTGAGCCCGCAACCCAGCATGTGCCCCAACCAAGAATCGAACCATGACCTCCTGGTTCACAGGTTGATGCTCAACCACTGAGCAACACCAGCTGGGCAGAACAGTGGGATGCTTTTAGATTCACTGATTTTATTGCCAGAGCAGTAGTCTGTTCTTTTAATCACTGAGCAATAATAGCTGATTAGTGTGTTTATCCATTTTCTTTCTGACACTCAGTTGTTTCCAGCTTTAAATAGACAGTATATATTTATTGATTTCACAGAGGAAGGGAGAGGGAGATAGAAACATCAATGATGAGAATCATTGATGGGCTGCCTCCTGCACGCCCCCTACTGGGGATTAAGCCCAAAACCCAGGCATGTGCCCTGACCAGGAAATGAACCCTGACCTTCCTGGTTCATAGGTCGACACTCAACCACTGAACCATAGCAGCTGGGCTCTAGCTTTTAATACTATGAATAAAGGTGCTTAAAAGCATATGGGAATATCTGTATAGGAAAGACACACAGCTGCAGCAGATCCACCCGCAGACCTGAGGACACACAACACCTCAGGTGACAATGGTGCCTGGACAACTGGGAAGTGAGAGGTCTCTTTGGAAACGAGCAAAGGAGAGCAGTCAGGCAGCCCTGCTGCTAACAGTCGAGCCACAGGAGACGGCAGAACCTTTATCCTAACGGAGGCTTCCGCGCACCCTCAGAGGCAAAAACCTGCCCCACGAAGCTGAAATAGAACGCTGGTAGAGTCTTTTTGGACCAGATTTCGTTTTATCCTCAGGAGCAGATGATTGCGTTCCTGTTATGCTGACCCAAACAGGATTAGATTCAGTTATTTTTAAAAGACAGTGCACAGCAAACTAGCAAAAAATAAAATAAAAATAAAAATCAATATGGGTCCAATTCCAGAGCTACCCACTTCAGAGGAAGAGCCCACCCCCCACCATGCCCTTTAGCTGTGACGGGACCATGTGACTGTCAGACACACTGTCAATCAGATATGCTGGTTTGGGCTCAGCAGTTTCCCTCTCCGTGTTTTATTTTCAATTTTTGGTAACCTTGGGTCAATACATCCTTTTGTGCTGAAAATTAAAAAAAATGTCTGCTGCTCTTATTGCCTGGGAGGCAGTGGCCCATCAAAATAAAACCCCAAAGGACATGTTTGTGTTCCAGTTAATATTTTGTGCTGTCGTCCAGACAATAGTTGGAGGTAGAATGGTGTATGGTGGCTTTCCACTAAAGTCTGTGTCTTGCAAATGAGCCCCCTCCCCCCCCCAAAAAAAGGGTAGGGACAGTCTTGCAGTGGACACAATGACTTCTAATTCATTTATTCATTGGGCCTGGATTCTGGGCGTGTCCAGAGGGTGAAGCCAGCTACGCTGGCTGAAAGGGTCCTGCAGGTGTGTTATGTGTGGCTCATGCGTCATTTAATTTTTTGCAGTCACCACTGTAGCAGATGCCATGGGCACACTGCCTGCGACCCCTTTACCAGAATGGTGTGCCATCATCCCCTGGGTGCTGGGGGTGTTGGCTGCACCTTTCTCTGGAGCATTGCCCTGGCTCTGGGGAGCTGCCTGGGACGTTATGTCCTCCCACCCATTCAGGTGTGAGCTGCAGGCAAGGGTGTCTGATGAGGGTGAGGACCCAGCCTCTGCGTGGGATAATCTCTGATGCAATTCACACTCCAGAGCTCCCCCGGGTCAGACAGAGGCAAGACATCTGAAATCACACCTCCCCATAATGTTCTCCTGCACTCTATACTGTCTCTTTTACTCTTATAATTCCTCCTGAGAGCCCTCCCTCAATTAATCACCTGCCGGAAATCACCATCCTAGGCTCGGGCTCTGCTTCTAGGGAACCACTGTAATATTGTATTGTATTGTATTGTATTGTATTGTATTGTATTGTATTGTATTGTATTGTATTGTATTGTATGATTCCAGAGGTGAGAAAGCCAACGCTTGCTTCACGGGACTCAGAGCCACGGGGTCAGAGTCAGGGATACAGGAACGGAGGCAGCTCAGGGTTCCGGGGCTCAGCAGCAAGGTGTGCAGAGTGCACCGCGGTTCAGGGCAAGGCAGATGCTTGAATTTACACACCACGCGCCTGGGTATTGTGTGAGTGATGGAACTCTCCTCCTCTGATTGCTGTGGGGTTTAGTTCGCGTCACACACTCGGCAGGGTGCCGGGGTCATGCTAAACATCCTGTGCTGGGATGGGTGGGAACTGCCATCAGTTTTGAAATTCAGATGAAAGGAGAGCCTGTTTGGCTTCAGAGGAGGGCTCCACGCACCTCCCCTGGCTGCCTGGGGAAGTCCTCATGAGGAGGAGCTATCTCACTGCCCGGGAGGAAGCGTGGTGCCTCCTGGCGAGGAGTGGAAAGGATGCGGGGTCAGAGGGGAAGCTCTTTGTAAAGGGAAAAGGGTTGGGAGAACCTGGTCCTCTTGGAACAAGTGAGACATTTGCTGCAGACGGAGGGTGCGTGTAGGAGCCCAATGGAAGCGGATGATGATGGGAGGATGGTGATGGTGACGATGGCAATGATGGTGAAGACCAGCAATGAGTGGGGGTCAGTGAGGCCAGCCGAGGAGGCAGCCATGAGGGGAAGGGGTCAGCAGCATGGGGACAGGAGAGGTTCTGATCCGCCTCCACTTCTCTGCCCTGTTCTCACATCTCTTCCTCCTGGCACTGGGTGGAGGGGTTGCAAAGCACAAACAGCAAATGTAGGTACTGACTGTGGTGGCCCTCACTGCTCCTCCACTACTCTCTTATTTCCACCCCTCTGTCCCACCAGCCACTCAGCCTCGCTCATGGATAGGCCAGGAGGCAGCAGTGGCAAGTGAGTCTTGGGCTGTCCTTGTCAGGATGGGATTCTGAGCCCAGGATCAAGGACCTGCTATTCCACCTCCTAATGTGCACTGGGCACTGCATCTCCATCAGCATGTTCACCTTTTTCTTAAAAAAATTTTTTTTTAAATGTTGATTTCAGAGAGGAAGGGAGAGGGAGAGAGATAGAAACATCAATGAAGAGAGAGAATCACTGGTCACTGCCTCCTGTACACCCCCTTCTGGGGATCGAGCCCATAACCCAGGCATGTGCCCTCACCAGGAATTGAACCGTGACCTCCTGATTCATAGGTTGACGCTCAACCACTGAGCCATGCTGGCTGGGTCATTGTCACCTTCTTGACGAAGGCTGCCCCTCTCTGCCTGGATTCCTAACGCTGTTTTCTCTGAAGGCTTCCTGATGTTCATTCTTGCATACTATAAAAACAGGTAAAAATCCTACTGGGTTCTGTCTTCCCTCACTGTTTATAACATGGTTCAGGGTTTTGGGCATTTTGGGTTGTCCCTGTCTCACCCATGCTCCCTTTGCGGCCCAAGTGAACTTTCTGATTCTTCACTTCCCCATTTAAACCTCTCAGAAGACTCTCCATGGTCCTGAGGATCAAGCATCGCCTGAGACAGGCTGGTCAAGGCCCTCTGCCCCATTTTGACAGCAGAAGGGGAACATGACCCATTGCCGCCACTGGTGTCCCATCTGTCCCCCCAGCACGGTCCAGAGGTGGGTTTAAGTTCTCAGCCACCCGAGAATAAAGGTGTGCTACCCG